GCACGGTGTACTGTGAATTGTTAGTATTAAATGGTTGGAGGCAATCGGCCACAGGAAGCCTTGGACCACCTAGGTTTCAATCTAGTTGACACTCACCAGTCAGCAAGGCGTAGGCGTCAGCAACCTTGAAGGTACTCATATCCCTTTTGAGATTTGAACCTGCTTCACCTAGGGAATTCTGCAATCTGACACGTTACTACTGAGCTATTCACGCTCGCGATTGACCTCCTTACTGTAGGACTGTATTACACATTTTTGATTGGACACTAGTCAGTAACTAGGTCGCAGATAGACCTTGCTGATGAGTGCCAAATAGCACGAAACCTAGGTCCAAGACTTCCTGCCGATCGCTTCCAACCATCTAATACTTCAGTGAATAGGATGAAATGGAGATGTGCTGCTGAAGCCAGAATTCAAGAAACTATTACTGATAATAATTCTTAAGATTTGAAGTGTAACGACTAGTTTAGGAAAATTATTCACCTCGAGTTTTATTACATTTGTGCGTTGAAGTTCCTGTAGCAATTTGGTTAAGTTTTGCGGGTGGAGTTGCTAGCACCACACCCCAACCCTCCCTCTTTATCTGGGCTAGGGACCGGCTAAAAAACTAGCGAGCTAGTAATCTAGGCGAGGAATGGAATGGCAATCAAACCTCTATCTCAACTTTATAGACTTTGAGAAGGCCTTCACCAGACAGCGTTGACCGCGAAGTAATTTGGAAACTACTCGAGTACTACGGCGTACCCCAAATATTCATCAACCTTATTCAACAGCTAAAAGACAACGGCACATGTCAAGTGATCCACAACTGAAAAATCACCGAGGCGTTTTGAGTAAACACAGGAGTCAGACAAGGGTGCTTATTATCACCAATGATATTCCTAATTGTGGTCGACTGGATTATGCGTCAGACAGTGGGAAACGACAAGACAGGAATATCCTGGACCGACGTGAAGAACCTAGAAGACCTGGATTTCGCGCGTGGATGATTTATGTTTGATGTCACACAAAATCGAAGACTTACAAGCGAAAACCGACAAACTGGTCGAAGAAGCAGCCAGAGAAGACAGGACTCCAGGTAAACACAGACAAGACGGAGGTTATGAAAATAACCAACCAACCAACAACAGCAACACCCAGCGCCAATCACTATCAACGTGAGGGATTTGAAAGAGGTTACTTCATTCACTTATCTACGGAGCATTGTCTCAACTACAGGAGGAACGGACGAACGAGGATGTCAAATCGAGACGAGAATCGGGAAGGCGAGAAACGCATTCATCAACCTGAAACCAATCTGGAAATCTTCGTCACTCAGCTTGCACCAACAACAAAATTCGGATTTTCAATACAAACGTCAAGTCAGTCAGTTCTTCTATACGGATCAGAACCTTGGCCAGTGGGTCACAAAGAATATTTCCAACAGCCTGTTGCAGACCTTTATCAACAACTGTGTTCGCTCCATACTGAAGATCAGATGGCCACCGGAAAGAATCACCAACAAGAAACTATGGGAACAAACAAAACAAGAATCAATCGCCCAACACATATGCAGGAGAAAGTGGAGATGGATTGGACACTCGCTGAGGAGGCCACTCGCTGGGTGACATCGCTCGTCAGGCCAGTGCTCGAGTGGAACCCGAAAGGGAAGCGGCGAGTAGGACGTCAATGCAAGGGTGAGGTGACATGGAGGAGATCGTGTGAAGAGGAGTTGAAACAGTATGGACTAACATGGATGCAGGTGAGAAGTACAGCAGAAGACAGAAGCAAGTTGAGACGTGTAGTTGAAGCCCTATGTTCCACTAGGAACCCAAGGGAACAATAATATATATAATAATCACCTGGAGTAAAATCACCAGACCGGGCTAGTTTTTTTTACCAAGCGACCACATATAGTCATGGATTGCCTGACAACTACTATGGGTGGATGTAATGAGTGATGAATGAAAGGTGAGATGCGAAATCGCCAAGTTCATAATCTGGGAGTGACTGGCTCAAAGTTGGCCGACACACAGATTTTCATTACACCTTCAACCATAAATCAGCACTTTACCTAAATTTGTATGAATAAACACGACTGATAGAAATGCAAATGTCGACTAATCAGTTTTAGGTGTAGAGGGCTGGGTGGGTGAAATGAAGAGGTTAAAAGTCATCAAAACAATTAACTAATAGATGTCAGTAACAACAGCCCCTTTCTTTGCCAGTGTGGTAAGAGCTGGCTGCTAGCCAAAGTTGGTAGACAGTAATTGACGTCAATGTTCATGTCCTCAATATTGGTGGTGAGAAAATGAGAACAAAGGCTTTGCGTAGGCGGACACAGTTAGCATATGGATGATCTGACACAGCCACAAAGAGATACAAGGTTAACTTTCTGTGAGAAACAACCAATCAAAAGACTGTATTTTCTACTTACAATAATCTACAATAATGTACATTAAAATCTATAAGTATGTGTTTATTTTCCTTAATAAACGATCTGTTGCCTGGCCTTTGTTTTCTGTTGTTACACCAGGACCAACTACCTAATATGTATAAGGGTTTTATAAACGATTTTCCCCCTCCCCTTGTAAGAATTTTTTGACATTGTTATTTTTTTTGCAATTCTAGCTAATTCGATTAACTTGCTTGTTTGTATCTTACGCAATTCTTCTGAGTCATCATTACTATTTTACAAATTTCTTGATTGCGTAATAACTTGTTGCCAACGCCTAAGAAATAACTTACCTTGAATACAGTAATTAATTTTCACAGACACACACACCCGCACATCCTTCAAAACTTCTATATCTTGTTACTTGTTAAAATGCTGACTAAGCAGCATTAGTCCCTCAAATTATTCATGTTCTGAATAGTTTTATTTGTTGATCTGAAAACACAGTTAGAACACAGTTGCTTAAAAGAAAACAGATTTCTCATTTGCCAGGTTGTGATAAGCTCGTGCTCAGTAGGAGAATGCTCTCCAAACAGGCATGGAGGTTAGGTTTCGATTCCCGTCAGGCACACTAGTTGAACCTCGCCTAGCCTGTTGTAAGCCCGGTCAAGAAGTAAGGTTAGGCAGGTGAATGGTTAAGATCTCAAGACTGAAGCCCTGTGTTCCACACAGAAAGTAAAAGTATGAAAAAAGGCTATGGAAACAAACAACTATTGTATGAAGGCTGATAATGCTACTGCCCCCCCCCCAAGCACCGAGTCATTGACTGAATATTGGCTGCTTAAGTCGATAAATTACACTTGTAGGGATTTATCGAGCATAGCTTTTATGGACATTATTACTATTATTGCTATTGATTCCTTCATGTTCCCAGTGGAACATAGTGCTTCAAGCTAGAGGCTTGAAGTTTCTGTAGCAGTGGTGTTTATTTTTACAGGACAAGGTTGCTAGCCTCCTCATGCCCAACCTTTCCTCTTTACCAGCTTTTTATTACTGGCTTAGCGAGGTAAAGGAGTGCGTCAGTGGCCGGTGATCGAACGCCGGATCATGTGCATGGTTGGCGAGCGTCCTAACCGCTGTGCCATCGACACATGAATCATTATAATAAAGGTTTTTGTATTTCCCAATGAATGAAAAACAAAACGATATTGTTTTTTACTGACGTTTCGCTATTTAATGCTAGAAGCTTTATCGAAGTATTATTGAACCAGAATTTACAAAATCTCAGCATGCATATAACAAAGAGTTAAGGGGTGAGAAAATAGACTTAGGTCAAGTTAAAAGGACATATTGAAAGTTAAAATTCCAATGAAGATCACTAAACCAAATAACAAAGGTAATAGTACATCTGCTATGGTATCAAAATAAAGTTTACTAACTTGATCATCGTTCGTCATTATGGGGGCGTTTTTCGTTATCAAGTTGGCCAATTGGTAAAGATAACAAAACCATCATGTGTAGATTTTTGGATTTGATAAGTGTTTAAAATTATAAAGGCAGTGTGTGTTTACATAGTGAACTTGCATATCACATTCGTGTTGATTTTGTCACTTCATGGGGGAGGGGAGGGAGGTGTTGTAACCAGGTCAGATTCTGTTTTAGTCCATCATTCCTATTCAGACAATTTGGATTCCACTTGATGTGAAGTGCTTCTGATATGAGACATTCTTTGTGATTTCTAAAATGCTTTTTCTGGATTATTTCAACATTGTTAAAATCAATTTTGTGGCCTGATTCTGTAGCATGTAGACCTATGGCTGATGATTTTTCAAGTCTTTGTACTTCAACAGGATTTCTCGGTGGTCGAAGAGATGCTCTACGGTGTTCATTTCTTCTGATCTTGATTTCTCGAGATGTTTGTCCGATGTATATCGCATCACATTCCAAGCATTTTCTTTTATAGACACAATTAGATAGAGAATCGTTAGGAATTTGGTCTTTTATATGGACAAGGTTGTTTCGTAGTGTGTCTGATGTTTTGAAGAAAACTTTAATGTCGAGCTTATTGAGCACTCTTTTGATATCATCTGAAGTCTCTGCTCTATATGGAATGACGACTGTCGAGGTCCATGTTTTCGGAATGCGTCTTCGGCTATACTTAATGTCTGTGTTGATTTTGTTGATGAAGTCTCTTGGGAAGTTGTTCTGCTTGAGGGTTTCAGTAATGTTTGATATTTCTTCTTCTTTTTGTTTCCCATCCGTTATCAGAGAGTGTGCTCGTCTAAGAAGACTTGAAACAACTGACATCGTTGCGCTGATGAGGTGTGATGATTTGAAGTTTAAATATTTATCGGAGTGGGTTTTCTTCCTGAATATAGATATATTAAAATGTCCGTTTTCCCTCCTCTTAACTAGGCAGCCTAGAAATGATAGTTCACCGACGTTTGATTCTGCTTCCGAAGTAAACTGGATTCTGGGAGATACACAGCTTATCTTCTCCAGGAATGAATTGTTTTAGTACTACAAAAGTATCATCTACACATCTTAACCAGAGTTTTTTTGATGATTTATGTAACTGTTAAAAAAATTAATCAAAGCATTAAAAGGTGACCTAATTTCAACTTACCAAACATCAGATTTACTAGTGAAATAAGCAGAAGACAAAGATTCTGGTGCCATCCATCTTACAGGTAGTCGAGCTTGTCCAATTTTTCTATAGTATTCTTCATTATTACCACGACGGGCTAAACCGAAATCTATACAAGTAATGCAATGAAATGAAATACGGCGGTGGATTAAAATACTACAATAAACTGATATCAGCTCCTGATGAAATCCTCCATGCAATCAATCAAACGAAATCCCTACAAAACCAATATTTGAAAATTAATCTAATGCTCACTAGTGACTGGCCCTCTTCAGGCAGTTAACCTGGGGTTCTAGTGGGAAGCCGTGACCAGTAGGGTACAGCAGGTTGAAGATGAGGCAGTAACTCATCGAAGAAGACATTGCGAAATAGTCGCACTATGTAGTGAATTGGCAGAAGTTAGAATTCAAGGACCGTTGGATCGGGTCACAGTTGTTCAATGGTCTACGAGCTCGCCTTGTAACCAGAAGGTACTGGGTTCGACCCTCTGTGGTGGGTGCGTACTGTGAAGAGTCCCAAACTGGGACGAAACAGCTGTCCAGTACTCCCAGGTTTTCCAGTGGTTCTCTAACCAATGTCAGCTCATGATGAAATCCTCCATACTACCACAAACTTCAATTACAAAAAATCATTTTAACTTACCAGTTTGTTTTAGCAAAAGGATTGGAATGCATTGTGGCAATCTCATGAATGAGGCGTTTATCGACCGATGGGGTGTGGTGCACTGATATATCAGCTGATCTAAGTACAACCTAACTACTACTGTTGCTACTAGTAACTTGTGAAATGGCCTTGTAATTTGAATGTCCCCAGGTTCGACCCCTGGTGGAGTTGTGGGTGCATACTGCGAAAAAGACCAAAACTAGTACTCTATGCTGGTTCCCATTGATTTTCGAACTGCTGTCAATCCGTGATCAAACTTGAGGCAGATCTCTGTTGCAACAGGGTTCAACTAAACAGTCATCAAGTACAGTTGATAGCACTTATATTTCATATTGTATAAATAGCTATTCTACATATCACTTCATTCATTTGAACTAAATTTCGACCTTGTTGGCACTCGTCAGCAAGGAGCATCTATAATCTCGAAGAGATTGATATCTCTTCAGAGATCTGAACCCACATCACTACCTAGTGTAGTGTCTCAGTTGAAGATGATTTCACTGACTCGTTTGAGGACACAGTAAACCTGCTGTGCGATTGTAAAGGATACACTGACTGGTTGTCAATAAGATGTACCCGGTATTATGTCTTTGTTCTTTAGTCTTGAGACTATCTGAGTTCGATCATTCAAATTTGTCAGTGTCATCAGCAAGCTGAGCGACCAAATGTCTCAGTGTATATTGAACTGATGCTAATTTGTTGTTGTTGTTAGGGGGGGTTGTAGGACTTCCTATTGATTGACCGCAGCAGTCGCTCAAACCACCAGGCAAAGACTTCATGTACCGGTGTTACGTTTTGAATTGACCATATCTAACTTTTTTTCAACTTGAGTCTATGTTACCTAACATTAGTCGACGAGAAAGCCAATGGCTTGGAATGTGTAATACGCGTCCTGTTAAGCATAATCGGTCTTTTCATTTGTATTCCAAATGGGATACACGACTTCGAGGTTTGAAGTTCTGGTAGCATTGGCTTGGTTTCACAGGGTGCAGTTACTAGTCTCACTCTCCACATTCTCTATTTTCCGGATTTGCTACCTGCTGGTAAATTAGACAAAGTTCAATACTGCGTCGACTGGGAATGGGACCCAGACTTCCAGCGTGGCTTTTAAATATTCTACCATTGGACCAGAGGTATTGGACACCTGTTTCGTCCTAGATTGGGACTCGTAAGCAGTGAGCAGGTATGAAAGCAACAGGGAGAGAACCCAGCATCTTTAAGATACGAGGAGAACGTGTTGATTGTTCGACCGCTGGGTTTCCTTCCTCAACTGACGACATCGGACAACTAAACTTATTATTTGGTTACAGGATTTCATCATGAGTTGAAATTGGTTAGACAACCATTGGAAAACGTGGGAGTACTGGACAGCTGTTTCGGTGCTAGTTTGGGACTCTTCAGCGACCAGTACCCCCTGTAACCAATCAATCAAATCCCTACAAACCAATACTTAAACTTATTATTACTGACCATGTTACACTTTTAATACTGGATATTGCTTACAGAAATCTACAGTCAAAGATGGATAGCCGAGACGTGCATCGGCAGTTCAGTGTTTTGTTTTGTTTTACTTCGGCTATCTCCTACGGGAGGATGAGCCGGCTTCATGAACATCTCGAATCATCGCTGCCCAGGCGCGGCGATCTGATGCAAGGTTTTGCGACAGGGTTATGCAATTCTTGTTCCACACACGGAGTCCGTAGACGGTTTGTAGCCCCAGGCACTCCATATCAGCCTTGACTGTACCAAGCCATGTAAGAGAGTTCATGAAGTTTCATGGGAATTCGGTACGAGTGATTTCCCCAAAATCGCTCGGCCTTTTGTTTGAGAGTGCAGCTCTAGCCTTTACACAACCAAGTGTGATCTACAAGGTAGTAGGAGTGGAGTAGGGAGTCCACTATCCATTGGCAGCCGGTGACCGGAGTTCGGTTCATACGCCTTTTTGAATGGGGCCAGACATCCAGGACATCCAACAAGCCCTTTGTCCATACGTCTGCCGGTGAGCTCCAGTGAGCTTCATACGCCAGTCGTTGGAGGTTTGGAATCAGGGTTTAGCCATCTCCCCTAGACTGTCATCCAATGGACAGTCAACCCGGTGAAGAGCGCCGGGCATCCGCTTTCGCCCTCTCACTTTGGTGAAAAACACCTCCGCCACGTGAAGGCAGTGAGTAGGACTTCCTCAGGAGAGGCTATGTAAGACGCCCGGTCATATGGGAGCATTTCAAGAGGTGTGCGGAGGGGTGGCCAACCCGCAGCGCAAGGCACCCACGCCCGACTATCCTGAGGCTTTGAAGGCGGTTCAGTGGTGGAATAGTCGCCAGCCACGCTTGTGGTTTGGAGCTCGATCCACGGCCCATAAACCTGGTAGTGATCCGAGTAAAGAGGGAAGGTTAGGTGTGAGGCTAGCAACCTCACTCCATACAAGAAGCACCACTGCTACCGAAATTTCAAGCTTCTAGCTTGAAACCTTATGCTACACTTGGAGTGCGAAGGAATACAAAGAAGAATACATATTACCAAAGAATATCTTCCAGGAATCCTTACTCCTTTTATGATATAATTCGACTAATCTGTTCATTCTGATAGAGAGGAGTATGACTGAAGTGTTTCGCGACAGTTGTCACACTTCATTGATATGATTCAGATTGTGGATTTTGTAATGGCTCCGATTGAATTTAGTGTAGATTTTCATTATGAACTGACATCAGTCAGAGAATCCCTAGAATCCAAGGAGTACTGCTCCTCAGAGGGCAATGTTTAGCCAGAGCGCAATATCACGAATTCACAGAAATTAGACTATAGTCATCAGTGAATTATAAACAAATGGTTAAATGGTTAACAGGCTGATCTTGCAACCTGAAGGTTTAATCCCCCCCACCACAGGGTTTTCACTGCTGCAGATTCCTGTGCAAGGAGAAAACAGTTAGTGTTCAGTGCTATTTTTGGTTCTCCAATGATTTGATAACTGAGATCAGCTAGGCGCTGTGTCATCCCGATTGCATGTGTGTGGTGTTGAATCGATACACAAAGATTCACTGATTAACCTCTCTCCACAGACTAAGCTGAACTCGGGAGGAACAAACGGGGGAAAATCAAGCAGGCTTTAGGCCAGGTAGAGGGTGTATAGATCATATCTTCACTCTCCGACAGATCCTAGAACATAGGCACGCTTTTAGGCATCCAAAAATTGCCATATTTCTTGACTTGAAGGCGGCCTTCGACTCCGTGGATCGAGAGGTACTATGGCAATGTTTGACTGTGATGGGAGTGCTGAGAAAGTACATTGCACTAAATTTAAATTGAGACAGTATGATTAACACATACGTGTGATAGAGAATCATGAAATGATGATGCGTATTATTATTGTTCCCTCGGGTTCCTAGTGGAACATAGGGCTTCAACTACACGTCTCCACTTGCTTCTGTCTTCTGCTGTACTTCTCACCTGCATCCATGTTAGTCCATACTGTTTCAACTCCTCTTCACACGATCTCCTCCATGTCACCTTTGCACTGACGTCCCACTCACCGCTTCCCTTTCGGGTTCCACCTGACACGCCATGTCTCCCAGTGGCCTCCTCAGCGAGTGTCCAATCCATCTGCACTTTCTCCTGCATATTTGTTGGGCGATTGGTTCTTGTTTTGTTTGTTCCCATAGTTTCTTGTTGGTGATTCTTCCCGGCCATCTGATCTTCAGTGTATAGAGCGAAGACAGTTGTTGATAAAGGTCTGCAACAGGCTGTTGGAAATATTCTTTGTCACCCACTGGCCAAGGTTCTGATCCGTATAGAAGAACTGACTGACTTGACGTTTGTATTGAAAATCCGAATTTTGTTGTTGGTGCAAGCTGAGTGACGAAGATTTCCAGATTGGTTTCAGGTTGATGAATGCGTTTCTCGCCTTCCCGATTCTCGTCTCGATTTGACATCCTCGTTCGTCCGTTCCTCCTGTAGTTGAGACAATGCTCCCTAGATAAGTGAAGTGAATGAAGTAACCTCTTTCAAATCCCTCTCGTTGATGGTGATTGGCGCTACATGTCGCTGCTGTTGTTGTTGTTGGTTGGTTATTTTCATAACTTCCGTCTTGTCTATGTTCACATGGAGTCCTGTCTTCCCTGGCTGCTTCTTCGACCAGTTTGTCGGTTTTCGCTTGTAAGTCTTCGATTTTGTGTGACCTCAAACATAAATCATCCACGCGCGAAATCCAGGTCTTCTAGGTTTTTCACGTCGGTCCAGGATATCCCTGTCACCTTTTAGTATGTGCGACTATACGACTACAATTCAAGGGCGATATAGCAAGTGAGATAATTACGAGGAAATTAAGAAAATCAGTTCAGAGAACTTTTATTGCTGGTGAACTACACGTCTTATTGTCTAAGCGACCGATGGTGCTACCCCGACTGAAAGATGAAGTACCTAGACTAGCAACTTCAAATTGTATCTATCAATTCAACTGCGCTTGTGAAGCGAGTTATTTTGGCCGTTGCTCTCGCAACTTGATTTTTCGTGCTCCCTCGAGAACATCTCCCAGTATGGCTAAGTAAAGGTGTAGTGAAAACCATTAACAGTTCGATATTGAACCATCTGGTGCAAACCGGCCGGCCACAAAGCCAGCGTGGAAGAATCCTTTTCTATCATCTGCCAGGTGCCTAATAAATTGCCAAAATCATTGGAGCACCACATGCTCCAAACAGCAGAGGCTATTGCAATTCGCCTCAAACAACCAGTGCTCTGTGTTCAAAAGAAACAAGTCCAGCCCCTAATACTGCCCTGGCCCTCAGTAGAAACTATAAACTCATGGATTTGTACTACTATCTTTCATAATTCTTCTGACATTCAGCTTATTTTATGTTGATGCTGTTCAGCTGTAATCTATCAATATTATTGATTCGATGTCATTTAAACATTAATGTCGTTCATAAGACTAATTCATTCATTCACTATTATGGATGGATATATAACTGTAGAGCCTGATGATGAATTTATCGAAAAGAGTAGTCTTTGTTCCGTGTCCATTCTTTTGAAAATGTTAAAAACATCGTTTATACGTGCAAATTTTCATCGTTACTAGTCTAGGCGCTCAAATTCCAAGCATTGGCTATCAAGTTCAACGCCAGTTCCAGTTACTATGTATGATTCAAGCTGATCTGAAAGGCAGTGTCGTCAGGCATGGAAAATGAAAATATTCTCACAAAACAAAATAAACTATGAAATACACAAATACAATTTGTTTGAAATCCACACAATACCTGCAATTTTCACTGTTAGTGTAGAATTCACCAGACAATTGCGTGCAGCTAAATCACGGTGGATAATATGCAACTCGGAGAGGTAATGCATACCATTAGCTAATTGATTAGCCCAATTTATGGCTAGTTGTGGTTCAACTGACCCTTGAGGACAATCATCTTTTGACATTCTTTGACGTAAATACGTCGCCAAATCACCGAACGCCATATATTCCATTACAATTACTGGATAACTTGATAACTGTCAATAAATCAATGAATCAATCAATAATAATCATAAAAAAATAGTCACAATAATATACCAAAGTCCGTTAAAATGCTCTGAAAACAGTGCCAGTAGAAGAACGGTAGATACTACTAAAAGAGGTCTTAAGTAGTTTAGTTGGATCTTAGTTATGCAGAACAGATATTTTTATGTACTGGAGCTTATGACATCACCATCCAGTCATCCATATAATGAAATGGGCGCAGAGGGATTCGAACCCATAGCTCACTGGTTATAAGTCCAGTGTCCAAGCTAATGAGGCACATTTTCAAAAAAATATTTAATACAGAACAATTTTTATTCATAATATGTAGACAGTCGTTTATTGCCTTGAAAACAACGAATGAGATTCGAAACTTAGTGCGTCACTGAAGGCATTACCAACTGGTTGCTTAATGTAGACTTTCTTCACCACCTTCCACTTCTCTTGGCACTAAAAGTCAGGATGGATAAACAATCAGGAACTCTGGCAGCAAACTATTTTTTTAAATAATCTATTGCCCAAAAAATATGCAAGAGGAAATGGAGATATAGATTGGCTACACGTTTATCAGACATTCAGATGAAATCATACATTGTGCTGCCAGTCGAATAGAACGCAAATAAGAGGTAAAGGATTAGACATTCAAGGGTGATATGGACGGGGAAAATGAAAGTTTTTAAGTTATCATAGAGAGAGAGAGAGAGTTACAAACGATAGTGAAGATGCAACCTTTGTTCCACTCGGAAGGCAAGAAATGAACTGTCTTTATTTTCTACGTTCCTTTTGGGTCTAGAGTGGAACACCGGCATTCAGGCATTTAAGTTTCAGTAACAGTGATATTACTTCTTCAGGGTGGGAATGTCAGTCTCACCCGCACATTTTCCTCCTTTCCGTGAATTAATAGCAAACTGGGTGAGGTTTAGAAAAATATCCACTAATATGAATATCGTATCTGTCTGTTTTCAACATAGAACTTTGCACCGATGTGCAACAGTTCAAGTTGCCACATTCCACTCCTTGTAGCACACAAAGCATGAGAAGAAAAGTAGAATAAATGCAAAATAGAAGCAGTAGACGGGGATATGAGACAAAAGCAATAGTAATATCGAAGAATAAAATATAGTTTCATTTGAAATCATAAGTCACAAGGAGTAGATGCATCTGCGCCAGCCATTGAGAACGATTTTGAGACATATCACCAATTGTCTCCAGTCGTCATTGGCTTTTACTGTCCCGAGGACCCAAACCATGAAGTCTACACCTCCCTACGTGACTGGCTGGCTTAAACTAACTGTTGTGGATTTGACTGACTGGTGAAGCTATGTTTTGGTTTTACCGCCACTAGCTCGTTTTCAGCCTGACCCCATGTCAGCGGCTAACAGTGCCCATTGTCAAGGAAGGCGATGGATCGCTAGGCATGTGTAACACATGTCCTAACCATCTCACTCAATCGGTGTAACTTCACAGCCTCGTCGATTGATTTCCCATCTTTACCTAGCACTCGACCGAGGCCTAACCTCAATATTGCTCACCCTATTATACCACTTGACATATCGTATGGTTTCATTAAATCAGCAGAGCTGGAAAATTCAATAGTGACATTTATAGTATGTTCTAACAATGAGCTGGTTAAAATTGAGCTGGCTATCTAAATTTCTATTGAGCGTGATGCACCAACGTTTCTCAAATTTTTTTTACTGTTTTATTTAATCATGCAGTCACGTCCTTGAATTGGTAGATGTGATCACTGATGCATACAATCTAAACTACTGATGTTGACCTTTCCAAGGAAATGAAGGAAAAAAATCATGAGGAATTGGATCTTACTTCAGATCGAACAGCTCAGAGTTACATGATGTACTTCCAATTCATATTCTCATCGCAGTGAATATTATGCCAAAAAATGTACTAAGAACTCTGTACTGTGTATAAACATGTTATACATAGTAGTAGTGTGGTGACAGCTGTCTGCTAGACAAAAATGTAGACAATAATTGACGTCAATGTTTACGTCCCAAATCGAGGTCATGAGAAAAATCAATAACAACAACAATAAAGCCTAGCCTTGAGGAACTCAACAACCAATCACAGCAGACTTAGCGTGGGCGGATACGATTCGCACATACTAAAAGGTGACAGGGATATCCTGGACCGACGTGAAAAACCTAGAAGACCTGGATTTCGCGCGTGGATGATTTATGTTTGATGTCACACAAAATCGAAGACTCACAAGCGAAAACCGACAAACTGGTCGAAGAAGCAGCCAGAGAAGACAGGACTCCAGGTGAACATAGACAAGACGGAGGTTATGAAAATAACCAACCAACAACAACAACAGCAGCGACATGTAGCGCCAATCACCATCAACGAGAGGGATTTGAAAGAGGTTACTTCATTCACTTCACTTATCTAGGGAGCATTGTCTCAACTACACGAGGAACGGACGAGGATGCCAAATGGAGAATCGGGAAGGCGAGAAACACATTCATCAACCTGAAACCAATCTGGAAATCTTCGTCACTCAGCCTGCATCAACAACAAAATTCGGATTTTCAACACAAACGTCAAGTCAGTCAGTTCTTCTATACGGATCAGAAACTTGGCCAGCGGGTCACAAAGAACATTTCCAACAGCTTGTTGCAGACCTTTATCAACAGCTGTCCTCGTTCTATACTGAAGATCAGATGGCCGGAAAGAACAAGAACCAACAAGAAACTGTGGGAACAAACAAAACAAGAACCAATCGCCCAACAAATATGCAGGAGAAAGTGGAGATGGATTGGACACTCGCTGAGTAGGTCGCTGGGTGACATCGCGCGTCAGGTCAACGCTCGAGTGGAACCCGAAAGGGAAGCGGCGAATGGGACGTCAGTGCAAGGGTGACATGGAGGAGATCGTGTGAAGAAGAGTTAAAACAGTATGGATTAACATGGATGCAGGTGAAAAGTACAGCAGAAAACAGAAACAAGTGGAGACGTGCAGTTGTAGCCCTTTGTTCCACTAGGAACCCGAGGTAATAATAATAATAATATTCAAGGTGCTTAGTAACACAGTTGTGCCAGAGTTCAAGTTTCATTATGCATCTATCATTGCACACACAAATGATCACAGAAGTAATAGAGAATTATATGTGGCTGCATATGTCCAAACCAAGTTGACCTGGTATAATGATATTCTTTATTATAAAAGTTTTTGTTTTTCTCAATGAATGAAAAGCAAAACGATATTGTTGTCATTTTTACTGACGTTTCGCTATTTAATGCTTCTGCTAACAGCTTTATCAAAGTGGTATGATTAAACCAGAGCTTACAAAATCTCAGCTTATATATATAACAACTTAATCATCGTTAATCAGCATTGGGTAATTTTTACGTTATTAAGTTGAGGCAATTGGTAAAGATAACAAAACCAAGTGTAGATTGTTGCCTGTTACATTCGTGTTGATTTCGTCATTTTGTGAGGGCGGGGTCGAGTTGTACCCGGGTCAAATTCTGTTTTAGTCCATCGTTCCTAATCAGACAATTTGAATCAAATTTGATATGATGATATTAGACGTTCTTTGTGATTTTTGAAATTTTTTAGGGTGATTATTTCAACATTGTCGAAATCAATCTTGTGACCTGATTTTTTAGCGTGTGAACATATGGCTGATGATTTCGCAAGCTTTTCTGTTCCAATTGGATCTCTCAGTGGTAGGACAGATGCTCTACAATGTTAATTTCTTCTTATCTTGATTCCTCTCTGGCGAGGTTTATGCGGTGTATATCGAATCACATACTAAGCATTTTATTTTAAAGACACAATTAGATTGAGAATCCTTTCATATTTGGCGAAATGTCAGTAAAAGGAATACCGTTTTGTTTCTCATTCATTGGAAAATACAAAAACTTTTATCATAATGAAGATTTGTAGTTTTTAGGTGGATGTTTGTTTTAGTGTGACTGTGTTTTCTGAGCTAGGTGGTTTAATTGTGAAGCTACAAGTGTCCTTCCAAACTTCATCGGAATTCTGCATGGTAAAGTTAATGCTGAAGATGTTTTTCTATAGGGAGAATGAAAGCCTCACAATGAAACCAGCTACCCACCTCAAAGAGCACAACCACACAAAGTTACAGTATTTTTTGGGCAACTGCTGCAACTAAAACAAATGAAATGTTGAAGTATTCTCTCAGTGACTGACCGACTGGTTTCAACATCGAACTTTGTACAGATGTGCAGAAGTTCGAGTTGCCACACTCCATGTAACAGACAAAGCAAGAAAAGAGAGTAGAGATTTTTAAAAGATACATAGTAATAGAAATATGGGACAAAAAGAATAGCAGTATGGAAAAACAATAGAATTTTACTGGACATTATAAATCACAAAGAGTGAATGCATCTACACCAGCCATTGAGAAGGATTCTGAGGCATATCAACAATTGTCGGCGAAGTTCAACAATAGCGTCCCAGGAGTGCGAACGCACGAGTGACATTGAAAGTATGCTAGTCGTTGGCTAACGCCATCTGTCATTATCATAGCTGAAATATCAACGCTATTCACCAACTTAGGAGCAAATTTCTCCCAGATCACGATTTCAAGTACTGTTTGGACAATGTGTTAATAGTTCGTTAGGGTTAGGATCAGGGTTATAATTAGGATTAGGGTTAGGTCTACGGTTAGGATAAGGGTTTTAATTAGGGTTAGTGTTAGGATTAAGGTTAGGGTTACCATTATGAATAGATTTAGAGTTGATGACATTTATTTTAATTTGTTTTATTGTACACGTTTCCCTGGTAAGTAGTCGTCTGTCCTCTCACTGGAAACCATAGTAATTTAACCGACGGCTTTTGGGGAAAACTACGCAACTGGATAAGAGAGATGAAGAATTCAGAAAAACAGCTCATCCTTAGTCACCTCGGTGAATAAACACATGTACAGAAACTAGTCTAACTTAGCAACTGATACTGCTCATTATGACTAGGATGTATTTTTAAGCCATATCAGAGAAAGATAACCTGTTTAATGTGTTTTCGAGCATTTTCTTGTCAATATACATCATTTTTTGTGCAAAAATTCCTCATTTTTATGATTGGTCGGCTGAAGGTCACTCGTGCGTTCGCACTCCTGGGACGCTATTGTTGAACTTTGCCCAATTGTCTCCTGCCATTGGTGTTTATTGTCCAGAGTACCCCAACCAGGAAGTCTACACCTTCCTACGTGGCTGGCTTAAAATAACTGTTGTGGATTTGACTGACTAATAAACCCATGATTTGGTTTGAACACTACTAGCTATTTTACAACTTCATCCTATGTCGTCTAGCATTGACCGTTGAGGAAGGCGATGGCTATGATAGCCATGCGTAGCACATGTCATAACCATTTCAATCAGTATAACTTCACAACCTCATCGATTGATTTACCCTCCTTGTCTAGCACTGGATCCATGCCTAACCACAATATTACTAACCATATCATACCACCTAACACAGACGGGAGATAGAACACAGGCACCTATGATCAAAGAAAGCTAGCCTTTTCGTATCTTGCACCTTCAATGGCCACGTCTCACATCCAAAAAGGAGGACGGAGCAGTACACGTCCTTTAGTCAACAGCCAGCCGGATATCACTTCTACGCCAGAGACGGCGTAAACTGGTATATGCGAAACTAGCCTTCTGTATCCGTGTTGAGATTTCATCAGCGATCAACTCGTTTACACTGGCTGATGCAACTCCCCAAATAAGTAAATTAGTAGTCAACAAGCTTCACTGACCGTTTTGCTCTTGTCTATGTTTAAGATAGCAGTTATTCAATGTAGTGCTGTCTTGTAGCATCATCTTACATTTGACTGACAGGTGCGAGTCGCATGCCAAATATTCGTAGATTGCTGCTCAAGGTGTTCAGAAGACTTTGAATTTTTTTAGCGTCTTCCCCTCGGAGGGAGGACTATATCATCTGCATATTCCAAGCAAATGAGATTATTCCCTGATGGTAACAAGTCAATCCCTGAGTCGCTGACGTCAGTTAGAATTAAGTCCATCAGTACATCTCTGATGAAATTAAACAGAAGTGGGTATAGTGGGCATCCTGCTTGACGGGTACACCACTGGTTATCGCCACTTCAGATGACAACTCCCCGTAGGCTCTATCTCTCTCTCACCTGGCTGGCTGTATGAGTTTGAGTAGAATGCCTCGACCAATAGAAGGGGAAAATTTCAATTTAAATCGTATGGCTAATAATCACAAGTGGTATATCTATATATATGAAAGAAAACTAACCTGTCTAAATGTGATTCCTAAAAACTGCACAATATACTTGCACGACAATTCTTTCATAAAAGACGCCTCATTGAAGAATTCCCGTATATCATTCATATTTGATGCTGGGAACATAGTCTAAATAAAAACAAATTTTGTTAATAATAAAAGCAAAGTAAGCAAGCATAAAGATGAAACATGCTGACAAATAAGACCACTACTGAAAAGACACAAAAAACCCCACGTCAATTCACTTGAAAATGTGACCCTTCGAGGGTTAAGCACCCAACTATCAGTCAGTAACGTCTCGAGGCTTTAGATTCCTTTTCCATCCACTTATACCTGGGAGAGTAGGTAGCAGGAGAGACAACCCTCACATAATAAGTGTGATTCACAACACAATATCATGTAAACTGAGTTTTACTAAGTATCTAACTATCGTCTATTCTCAAGCGTTAGTTAACAGGGATTTGATTAGCTAGAGGTTTGGTCACAAGCTGACATCAGTTAGAGAACAAATGGAACGCCACCAGGGAGTACTGCATAGCCGTTTCGTCCTAGTATGGGATCCTTCATCAGTACGCACCCACTGTCAGAGTTCGAACCGAGGACCTTACAGTTACAAGGCAACCTCGAAGACCATTCAGCCACTGGGACGCATAATCAGTTAAATCCCTACAAGTCCACACTTGAAAATTTGTACTATGCCCACTAGCAACTGGTCTAGTAGAGGAAGACACTTAGAGTTCTGGTAAGAAGTCATGGCCCGCAGGGTACATCAAGTTTGGCAAGCGGACAGTTATTTACTAATGACATTGGATGGCAGAAGCTGGAATTCATGGGCTAATGGATTGGCTCTTAGTAGTTGAACGGTCTACAAGATTGCTTTGTAACCGGCAGATCCCGGATTGAAAACTCGGTAGGTAGGTACGTAATACTGAAGAATTTCGAACTAGGATGAAATAGCTGTCCAGTACTGCCTGGTGGTTGTCGGTGATTGCCTAACTGATGTCATTTAACGGTCGAACCCGTATCATCCATTCATTAGTGTGATTCTACTAACACGCTAACCATACTTATAAGCTCTTTTAAGAGAACCGTTCTTTCGACTTCCTCTTTTCTTCATCATAGAAGCCGAAGTTAATAGTATTCGGCTTTTAGTCATTCAAACTGCGCCTACTTCAGCCTGGACAACTCGGTAGTATCATTAGCCTTAACACGATAAGTGTGGCTCTTAACTCAGTACTTAAAACATCTATTTCAGGAAGTTCAATCCGAACGAACAGATGGAGTATGTGCAAATCGTGTGATCCACCTGAATATTACTCCCTTGGATTCCGAGTGACACACAGGGCTTCAGCAGGACATCTCAATTTCACCCTGTTCTCTGCAGTCTTTTTCAGCTAACCCCACGGCTGACCATAAGCTTCCACTTCCTCCTCACACTATCTCCACGATGTCGCCCTAGGGAGGCCGTACGAATTCCACTAGACGGCTTGGCATACTTGGCACATACTTCCAATACACCTCCACTTCTTTTTGTATATTTTTTGGGTAACAGCCTGTTGGCTGGTTCGTTTCCAGAGTTCTGTACTGCAAATTCTTCCTCACCGGACATCTGATCTTCAGTACCGAGCAAAGCACCTGTTGGTGAAATTTTGCAGCAGCCTGGTGGAAATACTTTTGGTGACTCGCATGCTAAGTCTCTGAATCATAAAGAATCACTGACAGACTTGATATTAGTGCTGTGGATCCGCATTTTGTTCGTTATGCTGATTTCAGCAGATTTTCACAATGTCTTACTCTTCCAATTCTACATTTAACATTCTCATTCGTTCTGCCTCTAGTGGAAACGACACTGTTTGTCCTCATAAGTGAAAGAGGCTCCTTACTTCAAATTTCTCTTGTTGATGATGACTGGTACTTGTTGTTGTTGTTGTCTTATTTATGTTCACTTGAAGTTCTGTCTTCACTGCCTGCCTATTCCGCCAAATTGTTTGTTTTCACCTTTAGATCTTCGACAAAAAGGTTTTAATTGTCCATGATTAAATTCCATGCTAATTATTCAATACAGAGGCGTGTACATACTACTGAACGATATAATTAGTAGTTGGTGAGCAAACAATTCACGCTGGACAGTAGTGCTTTTTAGCAGCAGTGATTTACACACACCAGTCAGTCATTTCGCCTGTTTGTAGTTTGAGCTCATCAGTAGTAGCCGGATAAAATTAGACAATGAGTATAGAGAGGAAATCGTAATGTTTGATTGCTTGGAGGATTTCATCATGAGCTGACATCATTTAGAGAACCACTGGTAAACCAACTGGTAGTACTGGACAGTTGCTTCATCTTAGTTATAGACTCCTCATCAGTACGCATCAACCATGGTTTGAACCCAGGACCAGTAGGGTACAGCAGATTGAAAGTGAGGACAGTAACTCATCGAAGAAGACATTACGCCAAGTGGTCACGCTATATCGTGATTTGGCAGAAGTTAGAATTCATGGGCTGGCTGGCCATTGGATCGAGTCCCAGTGGCTTAATGGTCTACGAGGTAGCTTGCCTTATAACTCTGGTGGAAGTGTACTGATGAAGAGTCCGAAACTACGACGAATCAACTGTCTCCGGTTTTCAATGGTTCTCTAACTGATGTCAGTTCATGATGAAATCCCCCAACTAATCGAACAAACAAAATCCTTACAAAACTAATGCCTGGAAATCGTAATGAATTTAACAACACATCGAATCGCGCGATTTGCAACTAGTGAATCGGATTCTTTGTTTATTCAACACAGTTTATTACATAATTGAAACAGTTTAATGCGTCATATGGAATGCGATATGAAACAGTAAGAACAAACATACAGTTCAACAAAATTGTGGACGTTAATTATATGCATAAAAGAAATACGGTAAGTTTTAGGTTATATAATGTACACATTAATAAATACTACGATATTACTGCGAAATAAGAATACAATCCTAATAGATGAAGGTATATGATATACGTCATAATTTCGTTTCTGACTGATTTTGTAAAAAAAAAAAATACACACATTGTCTAGAATAGTAAGAAAGTTGTGTGATTCAATTTGTATATTCAATATAATACTCTAAGAACCAATAATTGCAAAGTGTTGATGGTATGTGAAAATCGTTTTCGACGGCGGTAATACATTCGTTCTTTGGGATTTAAAAGATTTATAAAAAAAGTTCAAGTGATACTTCGCAGAGATTTGATCGGTTACAAGTTTGGTCACCGGGGTTCGAACCCAGAGCCTTCCACTTACAAGGTGACCTCGTAGACCATTCTGCCGCTGGGATTATTATTATTATAATTTTTATTATTATTTAAACGCAGAAAAACTTGGTACAATATGGCACCAAGAAGGATGCGCCACACAATAATAATAAAACAACATAAATTAAAAGTAAACATATAAGTAGAAAACGGATAAAGAACTTCATCAGGAAGGAAAATAGTCATGTTCAACAAGTCCAAACAGTATTCGTTAACTATCATCAGGAAGGGAAGAAAGAAGGAAATTGCAACACGACACAGATAGGCTAGGAATCCAGACAAAGGCGAAAGGCTGTCGAAGGTTAAGAAGTCAAGGTGAGCAAAGGTAAAATACAGGAGACTAAGTATAAAAATAAAAGTAAGGTTGGAAAGAGATGTGTTACTTGACACATCATTATTGCTTGAACGCATTGTTACGAGCGTGCGATAAGTTCCACTGATATGTTGTTGCTTTATTTCATTCATTGTGTGAGGGCTGAGATACTGCCCGGGTGCACAGGCCGAAGCAGGTGGTTTTCCTAAGGGACCACCCCCCGAGCGTTTGACTTGGAGTCTAACTCGCAGGGCAGCGGAGCAGCGTCAGGTGCTGCGTTCCCATGGTTGCCGGTGACCCATATAGGTTCGTACGCCATTTGATCCGATTGGATTCTGGAGCCCGTGTACCCCATGGTAGCTGCTTTTAGTCTAACCGCTATCCAAACAACCTTCCTGGCATGGTAGGACCTGCAGGGACATGAGTCCCAGCCAGTTTAGCTTGTTGGGTCACTGAGGATTTCAAGCCCGACCACCACGGCAAGGTAGCAGTTATCGGCCGGGCAGCTGGGATCCCAACCAATGACTGAAAACTTGGAGGAAGGACCCTATTGGTACTTCATGATGGCACCGAACTAGGACAAAACAGATACAGACTCGTGATTAAACCTGAGATCTCTAAAAAGCCATCGTGTACATTTTTTTTCCAACTATTGTAGACTCATTGCATTTCTTTGCTTCTTTTTGCCTTTATGTTTCCTTGTATGAAGTAAGACAACCTGATCTGATGAAGTCTTTTGTAAAGTCCTGAGATGAGGAAAAAATTCCAGTCCAGTCACGATGTTCATGTACATAGTTTCCTCCACTCAGGAATCAAGATAACCAAAAAAGCCTTGAATAATTTGATGGAATTAGGTTTAGTTTTTCTCTAATCCACAATGGTTAGTTTTATAACATATAAAAGCTAAAATAATGAAAATAATTCACTTTATTTTAGGAAGTGTACTTCGATATTGTTTTATAATTCAGAGAAAACAAACAATCAACCTGTGAATATGTTGTTATATCAGTTAGAAGAAAGTGAATCAAATGTCGAGTGAAGAGGTGAAATCTACAGATTTTGAACTACCTCTGATATGGTTCTAGTTCCAGTGGAAACACTGTTACACCCTTACTGAGTCCCATGAAGGTGTAAGCATATCTAGCTGATGAGTTTCAAATAGGACGAAATGCGCTTCCTGAATTTTATTACTAACCACCACTGAATAAGTAATACTTTTCTGTTAATTTTTTAATAACTCAAATTTGTTACAGAATTTCATCATGAGCTGACATCATCACTTAGAGAACCATTGGAAAACCTGTGAGTACTGGACAGTTGTTTCCTCCTAGTTTGGAACTCTTCATCAGTACGCACCCACCACAGGGGGTCGAACCCAGGACCTTCTGGTGACAAGGCGAGCTCGTATACTATGAAGCCACTGGGACCCGATCCAATGGCCCATGAATTCTAACTTGTGCCAATTACCTGGGGTTCTAGTGAGAAGTCGTGACCAGTAGGGTGCAGCAGTTCGGGTGTGAGGACAAATACTCGCCGAAGACATTGGCTAGGGGTCGCGCTATGTCGTGAATTGTCAGAAGTTAGAATTCATGGGCCATTGGATCGGGTCCCAGTGGCTTATTGGTATAAGAGCTCGCCTTGTAACCAGAAGGTCGTGGGTTCGGATCCAGGTGGGTACGTACTGATGAAGAATCCCAAACTAGGACGAAACAGCTGTCCAGTACTGCGAGGTTTTCCAATGGCTCTCTAACTAATGTCAGCTCATGATGAAATCCTGTAACCAATCAAATACCTACAAACCAACACTTGAAAACTCAAATTTGTGTCTACTAAAAATTAATCTACATTTGAAATATGTGGCAGAACGTAGATTTGATTGTCAACTGATTTTCTATTCCAGTTATTGATCCTGCTCTACATTGAGATGACAGTAAACAATCGCTATTTGACTTACAAGTGTTGGTAATTTTCAGGGATTCAGGCGGTTTCAAGTAAGATTATGGACCAACGAAAAGTAAAGATCCATTGAAGACCAGGTGATATGCATCAGGAATCAGCAGAAGTTAGAATTCCTGGGCCATTGGCTTCAATTCTAGCGATTGGATAGTCAACGAGCGGCTCACCTCACAACCTGTATTTCATGGATTTGATCACCTGTTGTGTTGATTTATTATTATTATTACTTTGGATTCTAAGTGGAACATACCACTTCAACAACACATCTCCACCTTCGTCTATTTTCGCCTCTCCCCTTCAGCTGGGTGACCTGACGACTGCCCATAATCTCTCATCTCCTCCTCACCATACGACCTCCTCCATGTCACCCTCGTACCGACCACCTACTCGTTGCTTCCCATTCGGATTCCACTCTAGCGATGGTCTGCATTCAGCGCGATATCATTCGATAGCCTCCTCAGTAGCGTATACCCGGATCAATTCATCAATTCATCACTCACTGAGGAATGCAGGTACATCCAGATGACGAGTCCACCAATTGACATCTCCATTTTCGCCTACATATTTGTTGAGCAATCGCCTCTTGTTTGGTTTGTTCCTAGCCAGAGTTTCTTGCTACTGATTCTTTCTGGCCATTTGATTCCCAAAATGGGACAAAAGTAGTGGCCTGCTCAAAATGCTTTTCTTGACGCACAGTGCACATCTCCTAGCCATAAAGAAGGAGTGACCAACTTAACATAGATGTTGAAAATCCGAATCTTCTTCTTTATGCTAGTGCAGAGTGCAAACTGGTTTCAGGTTGAAGGCATATCTTGCCTTTCCAATTCTGGCAGCTTTTTTCCCCATCCTCATCTGCACCACAGCCTTCAATTGAAACGATGCTTCCCTGGGTAAGTGAAAGAAGTGATCTCATTCAAATTTCTCCCGTTGATAGTGATTGGTTTGGTTGTTTTCATTACCTCCGTCTTCTCTTTGTTCACTTGAAGTTCTGTCTTTGCTGCCTGCTTTTACAGCCAGTTTGTTGGTTTTCGCCTGCCTGCAAGTCTTCGAGTTTGTGTGGCATTAAACATAAATCATCATCATCATCATCCACACTCGAAATCCAGATGTTCCAGAGTCTTCTTCTTATCCGGTGGTTCAGCGTATTTCATGTTTTATCTCACTCCCACCAACTCACAGTCTTCCGCATAAGCCAGTCGCCCCCCCCCCACAATTAGGAATATCATCGGTGATAATAATAGGCAGACAGCTTTTTCTAACTTTTGTATTCACTTTAAAAGCCTCACTAACTTTTCTGTAGCCGATCACCTGACTCATGGCTGTTGAAGAGCCTTTAATTAGGAGGAAATATGTCTCCAGTTCTTGAACCGATATCAATTCGTTATTTCATTTGATCTTAATTAAACCAGGTTTAATTGCTGAGGCAGTGATGCAAAGGCACGAAAACATAATTGTACCAAATATAAAACCCAAGATTTGGATACGTTACGTAGACGACATATTTGTAATAATCAAAAGAAACGAGTTAGATAAAGCTCACAACCTGATAAACAACGTCTTCAACGACATCAAATTCACAAGGGGGGAGGAATCAGAGAACCAAATCCCATTTTTCAACGTCTTAGTCAAGCGAACAACCACAGGACAGTTAGAAACTCAAGTCTATAGAAAATCAACTCACACAGACCAAATCCTGATTTACAACAGCAACAATCCAATAGCACACAAGAGGAATTGCATACAAACACTATTCAAGAGAGCCAGGACTCATTGCAGAACTCCCACCTTAAGGAAATTTGAAGAAAGATATCTCATGGACGTCTTCTGAAAGAATGGATATCCACGGAATTTCATCAAAAGACATATAACCCCAAGCCAACCTATCAAACCAAAAGCCCTCAGGGAAAGCACGAAATCGCCTTACCATATATAAAGGATATCTCGGAAATCACTACAAGACTCTACAAACCTTTAGGAATTGACGTCGTAAACAAATCAACAAAGTCACTTCACTCAATTCTATGTCAACCAAAAGACTCAACAGCGAAAGAAGATAAAACCAACATCATCTACAAAATAAATTGTATCAACTGCGAAAAACACTACATTGGCCAAAGTGGACGTCCCCTTCGTCTTCGTATCCACGTACATAAGCTAGCCGTCAAAAGACATGATATCCACTCCCTTATATCAGTACATACAGACAACCATGGACATCAATTCGACTGGGACAACGTTCAAATATTAGACAGAGGAAACAACAAGAATGCTAGAGAATTTTTAGAAGCTTGGCATTCCAGTGAATCATCAATCAATAGACACATCGAGATTGACAAAATTTATCAACCGATAAGAAAGAAACCTCATACACAAAGGGTCAAAGTTCAAGTCAAAGAAACAATCAGTTCCAAAACAAGTGTGTGTGAAAACACAAAAACAACCAATCACATCCAAGGTCACCAGAAGAGATGATTAGTAAACTCGTGGAGAAATCTAAAAGCTCACTTCAAATTGAAGTATGCGCTGAGGATGCCGCCTAGTAGGGCGATGAAAGCTTCGCAAATTAACTATCTGGCTCAGAGAACACAACCACATCAAAATTATAATAAAGATATACATATATATACTCAATTCTTACAGTACTTAACTTACTTTTACAGCTACTTCCAAACCAATAGATCCCCATGACATAATACACTTCGAACTCAGTGTTACATCTTTTGTATTTGTATTACAATTGAGAAATAAATGTTGACTAGCTGGTGTCGACAAACGCATAATCTTTCCTTTGTAAACCATACCGAATGAACCACGACCTAACGGGGAATTGATATCGATCACTAAATCATTCATAGGAATCATCCAATAGTTCGAAATGCCAAGACTTAATAACTCCCATTGTTCATCTTTCCATGATTGATTTTCTAATCGTTTCCTGTATACAGAAAAATAATGAAAGAGTACTAATAATTAATGTACTGAAGATATTATATTGAAAATAATGGAAATAATGGCTTTGAATCATGGTGGGTACGTACCGATGAGGAGTTCCAAACTAGGACGAAACAACTAGTCAATGGTTCTCTAACTGAAATGTCAACTTGAAATAAATAAAATCCCTAAAAAACGAACTCTTGAAGATATAAGTCTGATGCTCGCTAGTGGTGGCTGGGTACTGGACGAAGTTGCCGACAGTTCTAGTGAGAAGTCGTGATCAGTAGGGTCCACCTGTTCGGGAGTGAGGATAAATACTCGCCACCAGGGACAGTGATCATCGCGCTAAAATCACGAATCTGTAGGAGTTGGGATTGATTGACCAGTGGATCGGAGCATGAGCTTGCATTGTGATCGGAAGGTCGTGAGTTCGAACCCCAGCAGTGGGTTTGTACTTTCGAAGAGTCCCAGACTAGGATGAAACTGATGTCCAATACTTCTTGGTTTTCCGATGTTTTTCTAACTACGTCAGCTTATGATGAGACCTGGAACATGACAGAGAATCTTATGTAACATTAGACATTTAAGCAAAAAATAATCAAAGGGAGTGAACCAGTGGTATATACCGTTGTATGAAGGCTGAATGGTAGTACATTAGCCAACCGAAAGAAAAAACATCCTAGATTCTACTGCTGACCACCACAAATCTGGTAACTCCATTATAGATAAGATTTTATTTTGATAAGTCACAGTAGCGCTAAGTAGCACAAAAAAAGGACCTAAATGATGAAATGAAACAGATAGCAGAGGCGTTGGTGTTAAATAACTAATTATCCTATAAAATTCATTAGGAATATCAAAACAGGTCAAAAGCAAAATAAAAATAATGGTGAAACTAATAGTAATGGCGTAAATAAGAGAGAATATAAGTCATCTACTGTTATACCATTTAAAGAGGGGACATCTGAGACACTCTCTACGTAGGATTCTTAATAAAGCAGGAATTAGGGTGGCATTCAAACCTACAAACTCACTCAGTGAGGGACAAGCTCTGTAGGCTAAAAGACCCGGTGGACCCAATTAAGCAAAATAATATAATTTACAAAATACCTTGCAATGACTGTGAGTTAAGTCAACTATATATAGGTGAAACTAGTAGATCGGGGGTATTCAGATTGTCGGAACATAAAAATTTAGCTAAGGCAAGAATGACGCCGAGAAGATAAGTAATTTAGACAAAAAACTCAGCACTACATTGCACTGCATTAATTAACACACAACCCCACAATAGGGTGGGAGAGTTAAGATTCTAAGAAGTAATCTATGTAGGTGGAGAGAGAGGTTGATTACTGAATCCTGCCTTGTTCATCGAATCTACACCCAACACATGCAACAGAAATGACTCAATGCAAATACCAGATATGTGGAAGATATTATTACCGCCCGTCAGTCAAATCAGAGGAGGAGAATAAATAATCCTAAAATTCTATTTCAATTCAAGCACATCATAACATTTTAACAAGTTACTTATTTATTTTGACTATAAAAACACTCGTCTCATTTCCCATCTGATTGTAATTGATCCATAACAATCATATTATTATTTCTGAATGCACATTATCTCATATTGATTTTTATTCCAATACCTAATCGATTCCACTGATGTATATAAATGAAGTAAAAAGTTGTGTCAGTAGTGACTTGATATGATTATGAGTGGCAATAATTTGTGCTCGAAACGTGGTCATCAGTAAATATTACTACTGTATAACAAACACTGTGTGATTTATCAAAATAAAATCTTATCCATAATGGAGTTATTCTCTACCACAGTGCCCAAGTTTTATATTGATACCAATCTGGTAACATTGTTGAAAACGTGTCATACTAGCAGTCGACATATTATGGTCTAATATAATCAGTCCATAAACCTATGCAGAATAACAAGTGACACCTGCGGTTGGACAAGATTTCACTAACCTAGACTAGAGTAGTGAATAACGTATTTGACAACTGAAAACGTCAATGTTGACTTTAAATCTCCATTGACAACAGCCTCACTCACTGAGGACGCAGATATATACAGATGACGAGGCTCACATACGACGAAAGGTGTGTCACGGATTTTACCGCTGACCATCTTCAAACAAGTAATATGGTAATCAATTCACATAAAAAATTAAGGATGGCTGACAACTCTGTGCAGGTAAGTTTTTGTAGGAACCAAATTAGATTGACAATCGCATATCACGATATACAAAAATTACAAGATTGACCACGAATTGACTTTAGTTAGAGGACCATTGAAAAAAATGTCAGTGAGTACTGGACAATTGTTGTTTCGTCCTAGCTTTGGGACTCTTCATCAGTACATGCAACTATAACCCCAAAAGGGATTGAACTCAAGACCTTGAGTTTACAACGTGAGCGCTCGTGAATCATTCAAGAAGGAGAACAACAACAACTGGAATGGGATCCAATGGCTCATCAATTCCGACTTATAGCACGACCGCCAGTCAATGCTGTCGATGACTGTTTGTTGTAACACCCAACTTGATGAAGGAACCTGCTGGTCAGACACGACGTCTCACTAGAACTTCAGGCAAATTCATCTCATAATGAGTCGCTAGTAGGCATTAGATTAATGGATGCAAATTTCTAAGCGCGCACAAGGATAAGTCTTATCCGATTAGATTAACCATGTATACACACCTAAGCCAATGCAATACTAATTATCATTTCTGTTTTCACATAAAAGGCTATAATCAATTTTGTTTTCCTGCTTTATTCTTAGTGTCCCGAATGGAATATTATAGGGACATGAGCTCTGAACTTCCAGTAGTCATTGTAGATCTGGTATAGTAGGGTGCCATGTTGACAGCCTAACATCCAATCTTACTTTTGACAGACTTTTTCCACCCAGTTTGGCAAGGTTTAGGAGTAAATCGAAACCGTAAATCGAAACCTGACCTGCTGCATAGCTAGCTAGCTAGTTAGTTAGTTAGTTAGCCAGCATTTCATATCATTTCAACGTGCATTTACCAGTTTACTTGATCTCGTGGAGCTGAGTACATCAGCCGTATTATGCGCCCACTGGAAAAACGCGCTCGTGAACACTATCCAGCCTGGGTAGTAAAAGGAGAACGAAGACGTGTATATAGCTCAGTGACAGACCATCTGGTCAATTCAAGACATTCAGCGCCATTCGAAAAATCCTTCAAAGCAATACACAAGATTCGATCAAACCTATCAAGGGGAGTAAAATTAAGACATCTGGGCATAGCCGAGGCACTAGTCATTCAAAAGCTCAAACCCACGCTATGTATCCAAAAGAAATGCGTCCAACCGTTGTCCTTGCTATGGCCATCGCAAACAGGTGATTCTTCTAATAGTGACTATCCCACTGCCTTTCTTATCCAAACTTCCTGTGTATTCATGTTATTTTTAGGTTTTTCTAAATCCCTATTTACACTACCACATTTTCATATCCGGAGTTCCTGTCTTTTATGTCATTTTATTACCTCTACATATTTAATCCCTAACTGCACAAGCAATTATTCGTCACATTAGTTATGATCCCACTAGATTTTTTCATCCAAACATCCTGTCTGTTGTTGTTATTTCTACATTTCTGACCCCCTAATTGCACAATATGTCAATCTTCTCAGGAATTATGATGCTACTTTGTTTGAGTTTTTTATGCTTCCGCCTGTTTATTATGGCATTTGAATTCCTAATTGTAATTTTTAATTAATTTGACCCTTGACCGGAAATTATTCTGGAACTTCCCTACCAATTTAGAATAAGTGATACACTTGTATTGTTTTTTGTCAGCATTTTCATCGTAACATTTCATATCACTGAAACACTGAGATAGTCTCAAAACAATGATAATAACATTAATGCGAAATAAGCTCAGATTAATGAAAGTCTATCTGGCTTCCCCGATACTTTCTGGCTTTTACATTTCTCCTCATGCGTGCCAATACTGCTTACATAAGTGTAAGAAGTAACCTCTCTAAAATTTACTCCGTTGACGGTGGTTGGTGTTTTGTTGTTGTTGCTGTTGCAGTTGGTTGGTTATCTTCATCCCCTCCAGCTTCTCTATATTCAACTGAAGTTCTGTCTTTGCCGGCGGCGTCTTCTGCATACTAGTTAGTTTTGGCTTGTAAGTCTTTGAGTTTGTTTGACATTACACATAAATCGTCGAGATCATCTACAGTCTTCTTTTTCAGTCCAACGTATTGCTCTCTTCACACTCCCCAAACAGTCTTATGTAATTTTATAGAATTTATAGATTTCCCCATCGATTGATTGGACCGAAGTGCTCGGCCTCAGTGGGAACATCATCACTCAATGAGAAATGCAGGGACATCCAGCTAGTTGACGAGTCCCAAATAGGACGAAATGCACGTAATGCTGGATTTCACTGCTAGTCGCCATCCACCAATTATATACTAATTAAATGCCCAGACATCGTCGAAGCATCTGCTCAAGAAGCCGATATGTCAACCGGAGACCGAGCACTTCGGTCCAATCAATCGACGGGAAAATCTAAAATTGAATTAAATAGTAAGCATGACCCGCTGCACAAGAGGTGGCTCTCGTGATCCAAGTGGTTTAGTGAATAACGAACGCTTTGGCGTTTGAAACTATGGGCACTGGATTCGAGTCTCGGTGGTGGGAACATCATCAGTCACTGGGGAATGCAGCTACATCCAGCTAGTTGACGAGTACCAAATAGGACAAAATTCGCGTTATCCTGGATTCGACTGCTAGTCACCATACACCAATTAAAGTCTTATGTAATATCCATTCCATCACAATTAGGCATGTCATTGTTGATAGTAGACAGCCTTGTGTTACTCCTGTCTTCACTTCAAACGCTTCACTGAGCTTTCCGTTGTGAACGAGTTGACTGCTGACCACCTGTAGGATTGTCATATAGTTGTGGAATGAGGTTGATAAAGATTTGGGGCCGAAATTCTCCCTTTATATCTATCTACCTACCTATCTATCCATGTGCATATATCAGTTCACCTGCTGCTGTGGAGCTAGGTACATCGGTCGTTCGACGCGCACCCTGTCCAAAAGGATTCAAGAACACTATCCAGCCAGCATGGTTGCGAAAAGGCAATAGTGGTGTAATAAGGAGTGTGATAATTGAATACCTGGTTAACACTGATCATTCCGTTTCGACAAACGCCTCCTCCTTCAAAGTAATCTACAGAGTCAAGAATAACCTATCAAAGGCAATACGGTTTCGCCTTCTTTGTATCGCTGAAGCTCTGGCTATTCACATAGAAAAACCGGAGCTGCGCATATAATAGAGAATTACTCAACCACTTCTACTGTCTTGGTAACAACTTTTTTGACTTTGATGACTTAATTTTGTTTGTTTGCCTGTTTCCCTAATTGCTTATAATTGTTGTATTCAATTGGAGCTCTTACTTAATTTCGTATTCTCTACTTTGTTCCTATGTGTATCCTGAGTAAAACTCAATCATCAAACTATTCATATCACTACGTAACTTCTTTTTTCAGAACTGTTTGTGACAACTCATCGCCTTTGTTACTACCCTAATTTCACTAACACCTAATTTTCTTGACTGATTTTGTATTACGTAACTCCAATTACCAATCTTCACCTGTTTAGTTACAATAATAATATAACCAATTGTATTTTTGTTTGACATACATACAAAATAACACATATATATATTTCCGATTGTACAGCTAAGAAAATGAATCCGACGCCGAAAAGAGACTCTTCGCTGAACTATGTGTTTTGCTTTCATTAATGCCTGCATGGGGATTATCCATGAATATCAAAAATAATATATTATAACTATGAATTATGTGTATAAAGATTCTATCTAAACGTTTCAGCGTCGGTGGCACAGTGGTTAGGACTGTCGCCGACCATGCACATGGTCCGAAGTTCGATCCCCGGCCAACGCACACCTTTGATATCTATGGTCGGCCTGCAAAATTTGGGGTGCCGATATCGCATGCTGAAAATTCCATACCTGTACAAAAAGTACGTTGTGGAATCAAGCTATAATAAAAAAAAATAGCATAATATAATACAGCGTTTGAATTTACCGTGAAATTCTTCGTTGTATATAAAATGCTCCCAATCCGAGCACAATGAAATTGAATAGAAATGTTATAATCACGATGTAATAATGTTCTGTTTAGGGAAAATAAAAGAAAAAAACAAAAAACAAAGAAGTAATAGATTAGTGGATATATACTACTCATAAAAATATGCATTACTCAACTAAAACTTAATGCATTACAGACATCAAGAGATGCACTACACAAAATATCATAGGATTGCGATACTACTGCTTGAACACACAAACCAAAGTAGACGAGATAAGTGTCTTAAAAAGGGCCAGTCTGAAATCTTTTTCAATTTAAATCTCATCAAGGAGACAATGACGTCAGATTCTTATGGTCACCGGTGTCGTTCAAATTTTGGAGTTCATGTACACATGCACACAAACACACCATAGATAATGGAATCAGGGTTTTCCAGGCTCCCCCTACAATTTCCCCCACCCCACCAGTCTGGTTGTAGTCACAAGCGTCTTTTTATGAGTAACATTTCTTATTGTTTGAGTGGAACTCAACGCACTCGTAAACCTCGTCCAGTCGATATTAGGCCTAGAAAAAATGGGAAATTGAGTATAGGTCTAGAAACTCCAGTCCTGTAAAATCAACACCCCAGTTACTAGTTAGTCCACTCTCAAGACTTCAAGCCTTATATTACACTGGGAACTCAGAGGAGTATAGAAAAGCTGTCTGTACACCTTAATTACTTAGTGATGGTCGAAGCTAAAACCTATTGTTTAAAGTGCTCAAGCATTATCTAATTCTTGTTCATCAGGTAACAGTCGTTATGGACTGAAATTCTTAATTATGGTGGACTGCATCGTGTCGAAGGCTGTGATTTGGGAGTCAGAAAACAGGAATACTTTGCATCGACTGATTAGAAGACTGCAGAAAGTTTGGATTTCGCGCGTGTATCAATTATGTCTAATGTCACACAAACTCAAAGATTTGCAGGCACGTGAAAACCAACAAATTGGCTGAAGAGGCAAGCAGCGAAGACAGGACTCCAGATGAACATAGAGAAGACGGAAGTGATGACGATAACTAACTGACAGCACCAATCGCCATCAATGGGAGAGGTTTAACAGAGGTTACTTCCTTCACTTATCTAGGGAGCATTGTTTCAACTACAGGCGACAGTACAGATGCGGATGGGAAAAGCAGTCAGAGTCAGAAAGGCAAGACAGATCTTCATCAACCTGAAACCAGCATAGTAATCTTCTGCACACAGTCAGCATAAACAAAAAGATTCGAATTTTCAAAATCAATGTTAAGTCAGTCAGTTCTTCTATACGGGTCGGAAACTTGGTCAGCTTGTAAAAAAGGGTTTCCAACAAGTTACAGAGTTTTATCAACATCAAATGAGCGACCAGCCGGCGAGAAAAAGTTGGCAACAAGAAACTCGGGCTGGGAACAAACCAAACAAGAGCCGATTGCTCAACAAATATATAAGAGAAAATGCAGATGGACCAGGAACACGCCACTGAGGAGGCTGTCGAATGACATCGCGCTGAATGCAGGCCATTAGTAGAGTGGAATCCGAATGGGAAGCAACGAGTGGGTGGTCGGTGAGAGGATGACATGGAGGAGATCGTATGATGAGGAGGAGATTAAAGCTTATAAGGAATCGTAAGGTCACTCAGCTAAGAGGAGATGAGAAAATAGGAGGAAGTGAAGATGTCAGGCGTCTCCTTGACACGGGTCATCAGGTGGACGTCGAAAAGTCGTTCAAGATTATCAATAGGCAAAAGAGCTCAATTCTCCTCAAGTTTGCTGAAGCCATTTCCATCAAGCGCCTGAAACCTGATTTATGCGTCCAGAAAGATGTGGTTATCAATCTTTCTTTGCCTTGCCTGGTAACTGGATATTTTTCATCTCTCTTTCATGTGAATGCGAAATGCTGAAAAGTGTCCATTGTGTATGATTATTATTGTTCGGAATAGTATTTAATATTGCATATATATATATATTATTACTGAATAAATATATTGATCGATTGATTTTTGTTTAAAATGAACTCTGTGCAAGTATGTTAAAATTGTTTCTCTAGATGTACTTAATAATGACTCCCGACCAGATGGACCCTACTGGTCACGACTACTCACTAGAACTGTAGGCAACTTCGTCCAGTACCCAGCGAGCATCAGACTGATTTTCAAGGGTTCGTTTTTTAGGAATTTTATTTATTTCAAGTTGACATCTCAGTTAGAGAACCATTGACTAGTTGTTTTTTATCCTAGTTTGGAACTCCTCATCGGTACGCACCCACCATGATTCAAAGCCATTATTTCCATTACTTACATTAATTATTAGCACTCTTTATTATTTTTTTCTGTATACAGGAAACGATTAGAAAATCAATCATGGAAAGATGAACAATGGGAGTTATTAAGTCTTGGCATATCGAACGATTGGATGATTCCTATGAATGATTTAGTGATCGATATCAATTCCCCGTTAGGTCGTGGTTCATTCGGTATGGTTTACAAAGGAAAGATTATGCGCCTGTCGACACCGGCTAGTCAACATTTATTTCTTAATTGTAATACAAATACAAAAGATGTAACACTGAGTTCGAAGTGTATTATGTCATGGGGATCTATTGGCTTGGAAGTAGCTGTAAAAGTAAGTTAATTACTGGAAGAATTGAATATATAAATGTATATTATTTTAACAAGAATATATAACGAACTGATAGCAGTTCAAGAACTGGAGACATATTTCCTCCTATTTGTGATGGCCCTTAAGCAGCCATGAGTCAGGTGATCCGCTACAGAAAACTTAGCGAGGCGTTCGCCCGACCGAAAGCTGCTACCATGACGTGGTGGTCGGGCTTGAACGCCACAATAACCCTACAAGCTATACTGGCTGAGACTTATGTTGCTTGAGGTTCTACCGTGACAGAAAGGTTGTTTGGATAGCGGTTAGACGAAAAGCAGCTACCCAATCCAATACTATGATTCAAACAAATTCACAAAATATCATGCCGGATCGGTCGGGGCCCAGATTAACAACGACTGCGCTTCCTGCTACTGTGTCACAGGGCAGAAGTGATAAATACGCTACTGAGACACACCAAATGAAAAAGAACAAACAAAAACAGGCCGCGTGTGACCGGCCTCAAGCAGTTGTCCCCTGGGCTCTGCGGTCACGCGACACTAACCTTTTCTCTGTTTCAGGTTCCCGAAGAATCAATCAACTTCCACGGTGTGGGCAGCCGGGAAGTAACAACCGCCCACACACTTCTAAAAGCACATGAAGTCTTCCTGAGCATCACTCTCCCTTACTCACATCACCTTCCTCATCTTGCTTCTCTACTACAGTTAGCACTATTCTTCAGGCTGATGAGTCATCTTCACTTCACTCTGTGTCCACAGCGCAGATGCATCCACTCCTTGTAACTTATGATTTCTAATGAAACTATATTGTTCTTCGTTATTACTATTCCTTTGTCTCACACCTCTGTTTACTGTTGCCAATATGCATTTCTCCTACTTTCTTATCTTGCTTTGTGTGCTACAAGCAGATGGAACGGGAATGGACTCACCAAATTGTCAACGGGTGAGTCAGTGATCTACTCCGGTCACTCAGAGGATAACCACATGCACACCAAGGGCGTAGCTATGATGATGTCACCAACGGCAACGAAGGCCTTGATGGAATGGGAGGCGATCTCGCCAAGGATAATGACCGCCAGATTCAACTCCAAGGGAAGGAGAGTGTCAGTTATACAATGCTATGCACCGACAAACAACGCAGACCTTGAAAAGAAAGAAGAATTCTACAGACAACTACAGGCAACAATGGACAATACTCCAGTTGGCGACATTAAAATACTAATGGGAAACATGAACGCCAAACTGGGATTGGACAACACAGGGAGAGAACTCATCATGGGTAGAGGAGCTCTCGGAGAAATGAATGAAAACGGAGAACTCTTCGTTAACTTCTGCGCCTTCAATGAACTAGTGATTGTTGGCGGCGTATACAAACACAACTATGTAAGAACTATTAAGAAACACAAAGGTTAGAAGGGGTTAGAATGACAAACGAAAATCAAGTCAGTGGAAATCAACACAGCTGTCGCCATAATGATAGAAGTTATTTGGAGGATTTTCCTTTCATATTCAAATAACTTTGATTTGTTCCCACAGAATGGCTAAGCAAGCCTTCAGCAATATAAAGAAGACGAAAGCGTAGTGCATTTGGCAGGTTATTCTCCACTTTATAGAAGGAGGCCATGTGTGAGATAGAATGACTAGTGTTCGATTATCGCACTACTACTCTCAATAGAGTCACACTACTAACATTTTAAAACCATTCACGATAGTGTTCTTGAGCCCTTTTAGATAGTGTACGTGTTGAACGACCACTTTACTTGCCATCACAATAACAGGTGAACTGACATAGAATTCAGTCTGGACCAAAGAAGGGACTAGACACATTAAACTAGATACTTAGTTGGACAGGAGGTCAATCGCAAACTAGAATAGCTGCTTAGTGGTAACGTCTCTGACTACAGCACTGTATGACGCGGGTTCAAATCTCAAAAAGGAATATGAGTTCCATGAAGACTACTGATACGCCTTGCTGAGCTGACTACTGAGTGCCAACAAGCACGAAACCAAGGTTCAAAGCTTTCTACCGATTGCTTCCAACTATCTAGTACCAACACTAATCTACAGTATTGACATATTTTTGAAATCGAAACTCATTTACATCACGTGTTTATCTATCGATCGCGAGAAAATTAAAAATAGTGTAACTCAGATGCCAACCACATCAAAAGCTTTTGTGTATGTGTGTGTGTATGTGTAAGGTAGGTAGGTAGGTAGGTAGACACATATGCATCAATAACTATGATATATAATGTGAGTTATGTAGCAATTCTTGTTATATAGAGAAATCACCTTTGTGAACGAGTAATGCTAGATAGACAATATAAAGTTGCAAAGTTGCAAAAAAAGAGGTGGGGTAAATGAGGCGCTCAGATTAAAATGTGTATATAGCACCGATTCATAAAGTTTTATTAGGCGGTTGCTTTGTGCCAGACGATGGAGACTCATATTGATATGGTGGCTTAAAATAGTTCTTGAGCACACCGACTTCAACCAATCAACATTAACTATGATTAGGATACAAAATTGGTTCATTATAGGCACCAACAAATGCGCCACACAACATCGCATAGTTTGTTCCAGAGGACTGGAATATTGATTGGATGCCTTTTTCGAAACAGGTGGTTGTTTTATGGAGCATTTCCACCTCCACGAGTTCGATTTGAAGCACTAGAAGTTCGCATTCATTCTTTCACTTTTGCGAGGAACACCTTTGCCCATTGCGGGAAGGCGATGAATAGGACTTGGCTGGCACAAACTATGAACGCATGGTGACATGAAGACATTTTGAGAGGAAGACCAACGTTTACCTAGGTCGTTTATACGGAGAGAGCGCTGTCCACTATTCTGAGCGTAGAGAGCTTAGAGCCTAGGAAACTGTCTGTCTGGATTCAACATAGAACTTGGCACCGAAGTGCAGCAGTTCGAGTTCCCACGTTCCAAATACCACACAAAGGTAGACAAGAAGATGAGTGAAGAGAATCAATAGAGTTTTGACAAGTATAGGAGTGAAACAGAAAGAGTAATGGTAGAAAGGAATATGAAAGATTACACAAGAGACTGAATACATCTGCGTAAGCCATTGACAACGATTTTGAGCCATGCATGTCACCTATTGTCTCCAGCAACCATTGATTCTTAGAGTCCCGAGGACCCAACCCGGAAGTCTGCATCTCCCTACCTGACTCAGTTTAACTGTCAGAGATTTCATGGATTGATGCCATGTTTTTGTTTGGCCACCACTTACTCTTTTCCAACCTGCATCTATTTCAGCTAGTAATGCCCGTCGGGAGAGGCGATGGTTAGGCATGCGCAGCACGTGACCTGGCCATCTCAATCTATGTAACTTTATAGCCTCTTCGATTGATTTTCCCTCTTTGTCCAACAATCTACGCCTACCGTCAACATTACTTACCTTATTATGCCACCTAACGTGAGAAAGAGATCGTAGACATCTATGATCAAAAACAGTCAACCTTTTTATGTCTTCAACTCGTATTGGCTATGTTTCAGAGCCATAGAGAAGGACGGAGCGAACTGATGAGCAGTACACACGTCCCTTGGTTGATAGTCGGATGTCACGCCTACGCCAGAGATGGTATAAGTTAGCGAAAGCAGCTCAAGCTTTGTGGATCCGTGCTGAGATTTCGTCGCCAATCAATCCGTTGGTGCTGATACAACTTCCCAAATAGGAGAAGTGGTCAACATGTTCTATCACTTCACTCCCTATCACTAAGCTAGGAGTTGACATAGTCCAGTCAGTCCTGTAGCAGCATCTTACATTTTACAGGGGCGAATCGCATGCCAAACATACGAAGATTGCTGCTCAAGGTGTTCAGAAGACTCTGCATTTTGTCAGCGTCCTCCCCTAACAGGACTATATCATCTGCATATTCTAAGTCCATAAGACTATTCCCTGGTAACAAGTCGATTCCTAAGTCGTTAAGTTCAGTTAAGGATACTTCCATTAACATATCTATGATGAAGTCAAACAGAAATGGGGAAAGGGGACTAGGAAACTGAACTTTTACTAATGCCATAAACGTTATTAAATAAACAAACATCCACCAAAATAAGGCAAAAAAATAATAAAAAAGGGCTTAGGTTTCCCTAGAAACCACCACTGAAGAGCTGTTGCATCCTCGTTTAAGACTCTTTAGCAGTACGCACTCACAGCCAGAGTTTAAGCTCAGGACCTTCCGGGTACGTGGAAAGTCACTGGGATCCGATCCGATGGCCAGTGCATGGATTCCAACTTCTACCAATTCACGATATAGTGCCACCATTTGGGTTAACACAAAGGAATTTTTTTTAAAAAAAAAGTAAAAATCTGTATACATTCTGTATAGCAAAAAAAACAACAACACATACCTTCTAAAAACTCCCATATAGAGTGAACACGTGTATCTGAAACTTCAAACTGTTTAACAGGCGTCCATGAACCATTTCCAGCTAATGAAACACTCATAATTTGAAATTCATATACACCCGGACGTAGATCATATAATTGTATAGAGACAAAATGATTCATTGTAGAATTGAGTTTAGACAGTAGAGTTGAATTAGAATAGCCTAATAGTTTAGGTATATTTTTTGCTTTAATGCATAGTGAAGACCAAGTTCCTTCCTTGATATAAAAGGAATACACAAATACATAAGTGAATAAGAAAACCTGTTATATATCAGGCTGATAATAATAATAATAATAATGGTAAATACTGGTTGATGAGAACGGTTTTCAACTTCCCATATCAGTCATTTGTCCCTGAAAAACGACTTGATACCGCCAATGCTGGGTAGAATTCAACCTTCTTCTCGAAATGCTCTAAAGTGACTAGCCGTCGCCGTTGTCGTACAGCTGTTGAATAAGGTTGATGAATATTTGGGGTACGCCGTAGTACTCGAGTAGTTTCCAAATTACTTCGCGGTCAACGCTGTCCACTGAAGGCCTTCTCAAAGTCTATAAAGTTGAGGTAGAGATTTGATTGTCATTCCATGCTTTGTTCAGTGATGATGATGCGTAGTGCTGCAATTTGGTCAGAACATGATTTGCCTTTCCTGAATCCAGCTTGTTCTGGTCGGTGTTCTGTATCCAGTGACTCCTTTATTCTCTCCAGGATGATGCGACTCAGAATTTTACTTGGCGTCGACAGGAGCATGATTCCTCGCCAGTTCTTGCAGAGTGCCAGGTCGCCCTTCTTTGATAGTTTCACGAGGTACCCTTTCCTCCAGTCAGTAGGCACCTTTCCCTCTTTCCAGACCTTTTGCAATAATGGAGTCAGCATATATATATATATGTTCACTGTTAAATCAGTCTTTTAAAAATAAGCAAATAATTATTCATTTCATATTTTCTTAAATGTGTGGAGGTCAACAGCACTCAGCATGAAAAATAAGATTCGGATTTTCAACTCCGATGTGAAGTCAGTGCTACTATACGGCGCATCATGAAGAGCACCTCAAATAAACTACAGATCTTCATCAATACCTGTCTTCGCTCAATACTACTACTCAAGATCACATGGCCAGAAAAGATCAGCAACAGGGATCTCTGGCAATGAGCGAACCAATCCTGCAGGAACCGATTGTGCAACAAATAGGCAGGAAGAAATGGAGATGGATTGGCCATACTCTGAGGAAACAATGCATCAAGTGACATCACTAGACAAGCCATTGCTCGAGTGGAACAAGAAAGGGAAGCGGCGGCGAGTTGGTCGTCAGTGCAAGGGTGACTTGAAGGAAGTGATGTTAAGAGGAGATGAAAGCATGTGGGCAGACTTAGAGCCAGGTGAAGACTCTAGCAGAGAACCGAACGCAATGGAGACGTGCACGGCTGAAGTCCCATGTTCCTCTAGGAATTAAAGGATACAATAATAATATTTTCTTAAAAATAAAAAGTAACTTACCTCACTAAGTGGATTTTGTAATGATTGTTTATCGAATTTCGCTTCACTTTCTTTCAATCGTCTATAGCGTAGCCAATAGTGTAGCGTTAAACCATTCGGTGTTGATGGAGGTAACCATTTCAATCGGATAACTGTAAACTTGGATAGTTGTTGCTCACTGTTTGTTGTAGAATTCGTATCAGCCTCACTTTTATTATTGAATAATTTATCACACAGACTGGATACTGCTGATGATGATGATGGAGTCGACGACGAGGAGGAGGCGGCGGCGGAGAGCACAGATAGACGACAACTATTCATATCAATACTTTCATCAAATGTTTCAATAGAACTAGGGTCAATATCATCAACACCGATTGATGCTTCAGTTCGTTGCCAGACAACACTACGTGAACTACACCATGGCATTTCGACGATTGAGTCGTCATCAGAAGCTGATGAAGCATTACTAACAGTTTCATAAATTCTAAAAGTTATGAAAAAAAAATATGCAAAAATGAGAGAATTCAAAACAATAAAAGAACGTCTACTTGAAGTGAAGCCACATAACTGACTAAAAAACATCATCGGTGTCCATGTTTAGTATTCTATAGTTTTCACTTCACCAACCCCTAGATTAGAAATAGGAAGTGAAGTGGTAGAGCACGTTGACCGCTTCAATTACTTGGGAAGTACCAGCAGCCAGTGCCAACAGGTTGATCTCTGACGAAATCTCAGCACGAATACAGAGGGCTAGGTTCGCATATACCAGATTACACCGTGTCTGGCGTAGACGTGATATCCGACTGGCTATCGACCAAAAAACGTGTGTACTGCTCAACAGTCCGCTCCGTCCTCCTTTATTGCTGTGAGTCCTAGTCATTGAGAGCAGAAGACATGAAAAGATTAGCTGTCTTTGATCATAGGTGTCTGCGTTCTATCTCCCGTGTGAAGTGGTATAATAAGGTGAGCAATATTGAGGTTAGGCGTTGGTCGAGTGCTAGGTAAGGGGGGAAATCAGTCGACGGGACTGTGAAATTACATCGACTGAGATGGTTAACACATGTGTTACGTATACCTAGTCATAGCCTTCCTCGACAGGCAATGTTAGCTGATATAGGGTCAGGCTGGAAAAGAGTTAGCGGTGGTCAAACCAAAACATGGCACCAGTCAATGAAATCCACAACAGTTAGTCTAAGCCAGTCACGTAGGAAGATGTAGACTTCCTGACTGGCTGGTTGGGGTCCTCGGGACAGTAAACACCAATGGTTGGAAACAATTGGTGACATGGCTCAAAATCGTTCTCAATGGCTGGCGCAGATGCATCCACTCCTTGTGACTTATGATTTCCAATTAAACTGTTCTGTTCCTCGTTATTACTATTCCTTTGTCTCACATCTCTGTTTAATGCCTCTAATATGCATTTCTCCTACTTTCTTCTCTTGCTTTGTGTGCTACAAGGAGTGGAGTGTGGCGACTTGAACTGCCGCACATATGTGCAAAGTTCTATGTCGAAAACCGACCGACCGACCACCATAACATGTCTGATGTAAGTGTACTGCCAGTTCTTCTAAGTTAGTTTACAATCGGATCTGAGGAGAGTATGCATAGAGCTTCACCAGGCGCTCGTTAAGAACAGCCCCTGAGGTACAAAAAAGAAGACTGACTGACGATGTTTGTTTTTTTCATCATGGAGCTTTGAACAGAAATGATTCGGCCTTCTGAGCACAATCAAACCTGGTACACCGCTGATAAGCCCTACCCTAAACGAAAGAAAACGGCCGTCCGATGTGTGCACTACTGTGAGTGGTATCTAACGAATCATCCCATTCGATTAGTAGTCTGTAGTTTTATCCAATGTGATTCATCATTAATTAGAGATAGACGGTTAACTCTAACCAACAATGTTGTTGAATTTGAGATAAGACCTTCGATGGAGTTGATTGACGCGTAATTTCGAAACTACTTCAACACACTATGGTGGGCAGTGAACCAAAAATTTTAACCAACCTCATTCAACAACTTTATGACGATAACAAGTGTCAGTCAAGTGATTGACAACGGGAAACTCTCAGTGAAGCCTTTCAAGTAGGGAGATACGAGTAACACAAGGGGGGGCCTCCTGAATTATTGATAATATTCCTAATTCTAGTGGATTGGATTATACAGCGGAAGATTGTGCACAGGGAGTGAGAAAACAGGAATACGCTGCACCGATCGATAAGAAGACTGCAGAAGATCTGGATTTCGCCTGTGGATAATTTATGTTTAATGTCACACAAACTCGAGGATTTGTAGGCAAGAGAAAACCAACAAATTGGCTGAAGAGGCAAGCAACGAAGACACGTGAACATAGAGAAGATGTAGGTGATGAAGATAACCAATCAACAGCAAGAATAACAACAACAACAACCATTACCAATCACCATCAGCGGAAGAGATTTGACAGGGGTTACTCCCTTCACTTATCTAGGAAGCATCGTTTCAACTACAGGCGACAGCACAGATAAGGATGTAAAAAACAGCCAAAATCGGAAAGGCAAAACAGACATTCTTCACTCAGAAATCAGTATGGAAATCTTCTGCACACAGTCAGCATAAAGAACGAGATTTGGATTTCCAACACATATGTGCAATCAGTCACTCCTACTATATGTGAGTGAGAAATGTGCACTACCTTCGTGCCATACTGAAAAATCAAATGGCCAGAAAAACTTGCCAACGAGAAACTCTGGCTGGGAACAAACCAACCAAGAATCTATCGCTAAACAGATATGGAGCAAAAGGTGGAGATGGGTTGGATACACACTGAGGAGACTGTGAAATGATATCGTGCGCTAGGCCATCGCTCGAGTGGAACTCGAATGAGAAAAAACGAGTAGGGTGTCAGAGAGTGACATGGAGGGGATCAGGAACTATTCAATTCAATTTTAGATTTTCATGTCGATTGACTGGAGCAAAGTGTTCGGTCTCAGGTTGACAGACATGTCGGCTTCTTGTGCAGATGCTTCGACGATGTCTGGGCATTTAATTAGTATTTAATTGGTGGATGGTGACTAGCAGTGGAATCCAGGATAACGCGCATTTCGTCCTATTTGGGACTTGTCGTCTGGATGTACCTGCATTCCCCAGTGAGTGATGATGTTCCCACCACCGAGACTCGAACCCAGTGACCGAGCACTTCGGTCCAATCAATCGACGGGGAAATCTAAAATTCAATTAAATAATTAATATGACCCGTTCCACAAGAAGTGGTTAGCTGTCGTGGCCTAAGTTGTCTAGTGGATAACGCTTTGACATTTGAAACTATGGGCACTGGGTTCGAGCCTAGGTGGTGGGAACATCACCACTCACTGGGGAGTGCAGGTACATCCAGATGAAAAGTCCCAAATAGGACGAAATGCGCGTTATCCTGGATTCCACTGCTAGTCACCATCCACCAATTAAATTCGAGATGAGGAACTGTCGGTAATCAATGTGGCCAGTTAAAGAGAACCTCAGAGAATACGACGAAATGAAGATGTGCTGCTGAAAGCCTATTTCCCACTAGGAATTCAAAGGAATAATGATAATAATAATAATAATAACAATAACAAATGTTTCCGTGCTCGTTCATTCTCTAAGTTGATTACTAGCGCTGAAGGCGCTGTCTATAGTAGTAGAAAGACAATGAAAGCTTATCAGAAAAGCCAACCAGCTTGGGTAATACAACTGACTGACTGAATTTCAACATAGAACTTTGCACAAAAGCGAACCAGGTCAATTCTCCATACTCCACATAACACACAAAGATAGAAAAAAACCAAACACAGCTGTAGTTAGCATATGTGTACAGTAGAAGGCATAGTAACATGATGACATATTGGATCTTAGAGATTACGAACAGTAAATGCTTCTGTACAATTCAAAAGAATTTTGAGAAATATCATCAAAAGGAGCGCAAACCAAACGGTCTACACAAACTGTCAAACACTTTATAATTTGATGTTAAGTTTTGATATGACCGATCCTAACTCTTTTCCACACTAATCCTATGTAAGCGAACATTGCTCATCTAGGAAAGTGACGGCTCGGAATGCACAACACGTGTCTTAGCCACGTTAATCGATATAGCTTCACAACCTCATTCATTCTTCTTTCCTCCTTACCTAACACTTTACGCCTATCTTCAATATTACTCACCATACTATACTACTTAACACGAAAGATAGAATGCAAACATCTGTGATACGAAGCAGCTGACATTTTTGATGCCCTCGTCTCTCAGTGAACATGTCTCATAGTCATAAGGAAGAACACAGAGAACCCCTGGGCAGTACACATCCGGATGACTCCAACCAGACAATAGTCTACATCTCCCTACGTGGCTAGCTGGATTTCATTTACTGATGCCTTGCTTTGGTTTGACCACAACTAGATCTCTCCAACCTCATCCTATGTTAGATAATATTGACCGTCGAGGAAGGAAATGGCTACGGATGCTTACTACTTGTCCTAACCATCTCAATCGGTGTGGCTTCACAACCTCTACGGTTGATTTTCCCCCGTTACCTAGCACTCGACACCTAACCTCAATATTACTTACCCTATCATACTACCTAACACACACAGGAGATAGAACGCTGGCACCTATAATCAAAGATAGCTAGCCTCTACATCCATGTCTTCCACTTTCAGTGGCCATGTCTTATAGCCACTCATAAAAGGAGGATGAGGTGAACTGCTGAGCAGTACACACGTCTTTTGATAGATAGCCAGTCGGATATCACGTCTACTCCAGAAATGGCGTGAGTTGGCAAATGCCAGACGAGCCTTCTGTACCCAAGCTGAGATTTTGTCAGCGGTCAACTTACTGGCGTTGGCTGAGGCAACTTCCCAAATAAGTGAAGTGGACAACACGCTCCATCAACCATTTCACTCCTGACTATCTTTAAGCTAAGCTAGGAGTTAGTCTATGTAGTCCAGTAGCGTAGCACCATCTTACATCTGACAGGAGTGAATCGCATGGCGAACATCTAAAGATTTTCCCCCAAGGTGTTCAGGAGACTCTGCATTTCGTCAGCCGTCTTCACCTAGGACGACTACATCATCCGCATACCCTACATGGAAGAGACTGTCCTAAGCTAACTTGTCAATCCGTAAGTCGCTAAAATCCATTCTATTAGTACATCAATGATGCAATTAAGCGAAAATTTGGAGATTCAGCATCCCTAATGGTTACCACCAGTAGTCATAGCTTCAGATGACAACTCTGCGTAATCTCTAACACGGTTGCGTAAATTCGAGTAGAAAACCCTGCTTCGTGCGATGTATTTCGTCAGCACTCTCTTCACAGCCAAATGACTGAAGAAATAAATGCAGAAAACGTTGACCGAAGTTAATTACATGGAACGGACTTCTCATGTCATTTATCACACTAACAACCACACTTATTTTGTGTGCGTGTGTGTTCGTAAGTGAGTGAGGGTTGACAATATTTCTCAATTACCTAGACTAAAAGTGGGTGTGGTGATAAGCTTATACCTATTGGTCTATGTCAAAAAACACACCCTAGAATAATGGTGGCAACTTCCTGGTGCTACCACCTCCAATATCGGGAAGGGTGTCGCGTACACGATTGCAGACATCTTGGGCGTTGGCGGCAGAGCGGTAGAATGCTTGTCAACCATGCGCATGTGGTTCCGGGGTTAGATCCCCAGCCACTGACTCACTCCTTTACCACTCTGTGGTGGTAATAAGATTTATAAAGAGGAGAGGTTGGATATGAGGCTGACTAGCAACCCAATCCCGTAAAAATAAACACCACCGCTACCGAAACTTTAAGCTTCTAGCTTGAAGAGGTCCTATGTTCCGCTAGGAACGTAAAAGAATGAGGAAAAATAACCTAGGCTAAAATAGGATGACCAGGCGAATCGAACTCGGCACCACCTGTCTGGTAAATCCATGCCTAAGAAGGAAACACCAAACAAGACCATAAAATGAAGATAAAACAAATAAAAAGGCCTTGCAAAAACAAGGCCTTACTTCCCACTTACAGTTTGTAATGGTACACCGTAAGCATCATGCGGTGTATGACAAGCAGAAATAACAAATAAATATTCAGTGTAATGATGCAATTTATCAATAGATATAGTCATAGCATTTTTCAATGATGTAGAATTTTTCGAATTCACTGAATCCACTTTAATTAATCGATGATTATCCCATTTATGTTGATGATAATATGAATTATGCGTAAGTGTTTTCGATGAATACAAAGCTGAAATTAAAAAGTTGACGTATAAAATCATCCAAAAGTATATATATATACATATATATATATATATGTTTAGTTACAGGATTTCATCATGAGCTGACATTGGTTAGAGAACCAATGGAAAACCAGCTGGGAGTACTGGACAGCTGTTTTGTCCTAGTTTGGGACTCTTCAGCAGTACGCACCCAGCACAGGAGGTTCCAACCCAGGACCATCCGGTTACAAGGCGAGCTCGTATACCATTAAGCCACTGGGACCCGCCCGATCCAATGGCCAGCCCATGAATTCTAACTTCTGCCAATTCACAATATAGCGCAACCACTAGCCAATGTCTTCGGCGAGTATTTGTCCTCACATCCGACCTGCTGCACCCTACTGGTCACGACTTCCCAATGGAACTACCTACCTGAATAGGGCCAGTAGCCAGTGAGCATCTTATTGATCTTCAAGTATTGGTTTGTAGGGATTTGGTTGATTGGTTACAGGATTTCATCATGAGCTGACATTGGTTAGAGAACCATTGGAAAACCTGGAAGTACTGGACAGCTGAAATCCTGTAACCAATCAACCGAATCCCTACGAACCAATACTTGAATATATATAAATATATATCAACAGTAAAGAAGATGTGAAGTAATAGTTTTCAGAAAAAAGTACAAATAAAGATGGAAACTCACTTGGAAATATACACATAGAAACAAATGTTTTCATTCTCTGCTCGCCTAACTTCCTTTGCTTAGCATTCTCTTACACCTTTTAGCACCAGGGTAAATCATGCGGTTGGAAATGAACTACACCAATTATGTGACAAAATGCTACCTAGATGCCACCTGCAACTCAAGAGTGGTTGGAAGCTGCGTCAGTGGCTTAACCGGCAAGCTACATTTCCATATAACTGCTGCAATTTAACCGCTATCTTATTATTATTTGTTCCCTTGAGTTATGAGTGGAACGCCTCCGCTTTGTTCTATTAAATGAGGTCCTCTATAGTTGGTTCGACGATTACCCATAGTCTCTCATCTACTCCTCCTTCCCAAACGATTTCCTCCATGTCACGCTCAGACCTATGACTAAGATGTAGTTTTCCGTTCGGGTTCCACTAGAGCAGTGACCTGGCAGGTGATGTCATTCGACGATCTCCTTAGCGAGTGCCCAATCCATCAAACATTTTCTTCTATATATTTGTTGAACAATAGGTTTTCCACTGGTCTGTTGCCAGGGTTTCTTGTTAGAACAAGACATATAAGCCAACAATACTTTTGTTTTCAATTAGACCTTCTTCAGGCTTTACTCTTATATACATAGATTTATATATAAAAAATTTTAACCAATGACGGTGATTTTGTGGATCAAACAATAATAATAATGTGGTAAATGTTTTGAACGTAGTTAATAACGATGATTATAATGATAACGAAATATTGATAATAAGGTTTATGCAGGTGGCGATAAGAATAACAAGGGTAGTAATATGTGTATATGTAGACAATTCAATAAATAAATAAATTAGGTCAAATTTCAAAAGTTACGCAATACTAAAGGTGAAGTGGACAGATAATCAGAATTTAAATAACTATCATAAAAGTAAGAAGGAAATTGAAAATAAGAAAGGGTGGGAGGATTTTGTTTAGAATTCACCTAGGCTAAGCAAGGGAGAGACAAAGGTAGAAGAAACTTCTTTTGTTGTAGGCAAAGACTAGGATTGTTCTCTTGAATTAATTTCTATTGTTTCGGCTGTGTAAAAGGCGGGTTAGAATTCCATTCGAAAGGCTTGATGGAATGCGATAGATAACTTTCGAGGCACTATTTTTGTCCACTTGGTGAATGCTATCAATCAAATGAGCCAAAATAGAATTTCTCATCACTGAGATTATCGGCAGCGATAAAACGGACTTATACTCCCGCCATCCTTTGTTTGTCATTTTCCAGCCGACCAATTATGATTGCTCAAGAGAAAGACAAGTTACCTAGCTGCACCACTTCTATGTGTATCTATAAATTTAGTTGCTCCTGTGGAGAGAGCTATTTAGGGCGAACAACTTGACAGCTTAAAAAACGCATTAATGAGCACCTTCATTCATGGTTCAGAAAAGGTCAAATGAAATCTATACGAAGTTCTATTTTGGCTCATTTGATTTGTAGAGGTCACCAAGTGGACGGAAGTAGTGCTTTCAAAGTTATCTATCGAATTCCATCGAGCCTTTCGAATGGAATTCGAACCCGCCTTTTACACATAGTCAAAACAATAGAAATTAATTCGACAGAACAATCCTAGTCTTTGCCTACAACAAAAGAAGTTTCTTCTACCTTTGTCTCTCCCTTGCTCAGCCTAGGTGAATTCTAATCAAAACCCTCCCGCCCTTTCTTATTTTCCATATCCTTCGTACTTTTATGATATTTATTTAAATTCTGATTATCTGTCCAATTCACCTACCTTTAGTATTACGTAACTTTGATAATTTGACCTAATTTATTTATTGAATTGTCTACATATAAACAAATATATTACTACCCTTGTTATTCTTATCGCCACCTGCATAAACCTTATTATCAATATTTCGTTATCATTATAATCATCGTTATTAACTACGTTCAAAACATTTACCACATTATTATTATTCGATCCACAAAATCACCGTCATTGGTTAAACTCTGTTTTACATATATATAAATCTACGTAAATTAGAGTAAATCCTGAAGAAGATCTAATTGAAAACAACAGTATTGTTGGCTTATATTGTCTTGTTCTAATACTAAAAATGGGATTATTTAAAGAATTTCTTGTTGCTAATTCTTACGGGTCATTTGACATAATAATATTATTTCCTGCTTAGAAAAAGGACCAAATATGTTCTACATACTTTCCATGACTATATATTCACTGTAAACTCTGTTCGGCGATGTATTTTGTTAAATAAGCTTCCCCTGATACAAACCGAGTCATGGGCTGTTTAACTGGTTGCGTTCTTATTTCTCTAACAGAATGTTGTGTATTGTATACAAAGCCAAATATTCACCTGCCTCGTATACTGAAGTTGGTGTTCCCCAGGGTGCTATTCTCTATCCTCTTCTTTCTTCTTTCCTAGCACATGATAAGCCTTTTTTGGATGAAGTCAAAGTCGTTAAATTCCCCAGTGATCTGAAGACTGTCTCGTTGCCAATTACGTCATGATTTGACTGTTTGAAACTAAAATAGCTTTCTGTGAGACATCAGCCAGTGGTCTAAGATAAATGGTCTTACTTTAAATCCCTTAAAATGTCAGACAGTCAATTTCACCTTCAGGCATAAACGTGGTCTACACGAAATGGTCCGCTCACAAGAAGCTTATAGCATAGAGGGCACTGAAATGGAGACTAAGTAAAGTATTATATACCTTGGAATACTTCTATACTCTCACCTTTCTTAATCGGTCATCCGATATCTTGTTAATTTCGAAGAAAATATTTCGTCTAACTTACTGCAGTAAGAAGTTGAGACAATCTGGAATCATTCAACCTCTACTTTTACAATTTGTTAACTCTCACATCCTACTTATTGTTCTTTATCGATCCCAACACCCCTTAGTCTTTCCTCCGCTACTCAAAAAGCACTATGTCATATTTCGAAGGGTATTAAGGTTTGTCAGTAGGACAAGTGGCGAGCCAATAAGTCAGGTCGTTACCACTCTGATCGACAGACACATGAACTCATGACAGAGATACGGGCTAAATCCGTATTGTCTGACTCTCAACACCCTCTCTCCATTTACAACTCTCCCCTACTTGCATCTCATCAAGTAGGACTACAAGTCATTATAATAAAAGGCTATATGTTCGTGCAACCGGCTACAGAAACTCAACGATACCCTATTTCGTCCACCCACATTCTATATGATAGAGATAATGTGTTAAGCATGAAACTTACGGCTTACTATATGTAATTAGCAAAACAATTGGCTCTTTTATCTTTTCCTATTTGTTGTAATTTATAATGACACCATTTCAATTATCCTTAGAGAGGATGCCATGATTATAGGCATACAACAACGTGTGGTGTATGTGTGTGTGTATGCGCGCGATGTCTTCAGTAAAAGTTATATGAGTTGACCAAAGACCGAAAATAGTTCAAACTAGAGAAACTGCAATTATGAGTCGGCATAGACCACTATTCAACAGCTGTACAACAACGGCACATGTCAAGTCATCCACAACGGAAAACTCACCGAGGCGTTCGGAGTAAACACAGGAGTCAGACATGGGTGCTTACCATCACTAATGATATTCCTAATTGTGGTGGACTGGATTATGCGTCAGACAGTGCGAAACGAGAAGACAGGGATATCCTGGACCGACGTGAAGAACCTAAAAGACCTGGATTTCGCGCGTGGATGATTTATGCTTGATGTCACACAAAATCGAAAACTTACAAGCGAAAATTGACAAACTGGTCGAAGAAGCAGCAAAGACAGGACTCCAGGTGAACATAGACAAGACGGGGGTAATGAAAATAACCAAACAACCACAACACCAACAGCAGCAGCAACATCCAGCGCCAATCACCATCAACGGGAGGAATTTGAAAGAAGTTACCTCATTCACTTATCTAGGGAGCATTGTCTCAACTACACGAGGAACGGACGAAGATATCAAATCGAGAATCGGGAAGGCGAGAAACACATTCATCAACCTGAAACCAATCTGGAAATCTTCGTCACTCAACTCAGCATCAACAACAAACTTCGGATTTTCAATACAAACGTCAACTCAGTCAGTTCTTCTATACGGATGGATCAGAAACTTGGCGGGTCACAAAGAATGTTTCCAACAGCCTGTTGCAGACCTTTATCAACAGCTGTCTTCGCTCTGTACTGAAGATCAGATGGCCGGAAAGAATCATCAACAGGAAACTATGGGAACAAACAAAACAAGAACCAATCGCCCAACAAATATGCAGGAGAAAGGGGAGATGGATTGGACAGTGGCTGAGGAGGCCACTGGGTGACATCGCGCAGCAGGCCAGTGCTCGAGTGGAACCCGAAAGGGAAGCGGCGAGTGGGACGTCAGTGCAAGGGTGACATGGAGGAGATCGTGTGAAGAGGAGCTGAAACAGTATGGACTAAAATGGATGCAGGTGAAAAGTACAGCAGAAGAGAGAAACAAGTGGAGACGTGCAGTTGAAGCCGTATGTTCCACTAGGAACCCAAGGGAACAATAATAATAATAATAATAATAATAATAAAAATAATAATAATAGACCACTACTCAAGCAGCATAATCGTCTTACAGGGGTGAATTGCACGCTAAACATAATTAAGATTTTTGCTCAAGGAGTTCAGGCGTTTCCACCTCAAAGGACTAGATCATTTGCATACTGTAAATTGACGAGACTACCATGGTAACAAGTAAATTGCTAAGTATCTAAAATCCATTAGGGTTACATCCATTAGTATGTCTATGATGAAATTAAATACAAAAAACGCAACTGCCCATCTGTCATAGAACTAACAAATTATCATCACTTTAGATGACAACTGTTCATAAGCTCTTTTTGACATGACTGCATGAAATCGACTAGAACGCTTTGAATAGTGAGATAGATATACTTTCTCTGAACTCGCTTGATGGTGAAACGTTGTCACAGTACTTCTCGGTTAAGGGAGTTGAATACCGCTCTAAAGTGAAAAAATACGGAAAAAGTGTTGGACACTAGTATCTTTCGAAGGGTGAAAAAGTGATCAATACATTGTCGTCCAGCCTACCGTCTTTTCAGAGGTTTATTCCTCCCGAGCGCCACCTAGAAACTGTAGACGCTATAATAGTCGAGCTGTTCCACTTGTGATTATCACAGGAAGACTCTCAGATTTTCACGCATTTTCTATAGTCTCAGTTGATCCATTTGACAATTTATCACCTCCATCCTTAAAATCCTCTGGAGCCATAGTATCACATCTTACTACTTTGTATCGCTTTATATTTAAGACAGGGTTTAAAACCTTTGCTTTAGTTGAAGAAGAAGTTGTCTACATCCCATACATTATTATTATATTATTGCCTCCTTAAATTCCTAGAGGAACGTAGGGCTTCAGCCGTGCGTCTCCATTGCGTTCAGTTCTCTGCTAGAATCCTCACCTGGCTCCAGGTCTGCCCACATGCTTTCATCTCCTCTTAACATCACCTCCTCCAAGTCACCCTTGCACTGACGACCAACTCGCCGCCGCTTCCCTTTCGGGTTCCACTCGAGCAATGGCTTGTCTAGTGATGTCACTTGATGGTTTGCTTTCTCAGAGTATGGCCAATCCATCTCCATTTCTTCCTGCCTATTTGTTTCACAATCGGTTCCTGGTTGGTTCGTTCATCGCCAGAGATCTCTGTTGCTGATATTTTCTGGCCGGCCATCTGATCTTGAGTATTGAGCAAAGACAACTGTTAATGAAGGTCTGTAGTTTGTTTGAGATGCTCTTTATGACGCGCAGTGCAAGTCTCTGATCCGTATAGTGAGTAGCACTGACTTCACATTGGAGTTGAAAATCCGGATCTTATTTTTGATGCTGAGTGCTGTTGACCTACACACAGACTTGAGAGTAGTGAAAGCTTGTCTTGCTTTTCTGATCCTTGCTTTGATATCCTCGTCAATTCCTTCCGCGTGTAGTTGAACCGATGCTTCTCAGGTAGGTAAAGGAGGTAGTTTCTTTCAGGTTCCTCCCATTTATGCTGATTGTTGTCTGTTGTGGTTGATGTGGCTGTTGCTGTTGGCCAGTAATCTTCATCACCACATCTGTCTTCTCTATGTTCACCTGAAGTCCTATCTTTGATGCTTCTTCTGCCAATTTGCTGCTTTTCACTTGCATCTCTTCCAGTTTGCGGGAAATCAAACATATATCATCGGCGAAGTCCAGATCCTCCAATTTTTTGTGTGAGTTCATACAGATTAGGGCTAAATGGTGGATAGCCATAGAATGGCTGCAGGCCATCTGCATTACTTCTCATAATGTCTTACCCTAAATTACAACTGCCTCTCCTGAGTAGTTATTGAAGGTTCATTTTTCTTGGAGACAACTTCACCCGCCAAAGGTTATTTACAACATGTTTTCCTGATTAGTGCAAATAACTGAAGAGTAACACCTGTATCTGATGTCTTTCTCAGCACTGTTCGCGACTGTCTGGGAAGCCTTTGCTAAGCATCACTTTCGGCACCCACTAGTAACAGTCTGTTGCATCTATCGGTTCAGATCAGTCGTAGACATACATGTGCATGGACTACTACTATTGTATGGTCGCAGTCAATGCAGCTTTCCTAGAATAAGCTGGAACCTAAATCTAGGTGATTTATTTCCGTCCAGCACTGGCTTGACGATAATGTCTCTCTCTTTTTTATTTAAAACTGCTACTGTCCAAGAACAGGTGGTTATCCAAACACATATGTATACGACGGAGAATGTTATTGCAGTGGAACAGTATGTGTACCTTACATAAACTCTTTACAGACTGGCTCAGCTTCACCTACATAAGCATCAAAATCACCTGCTAGCATGATGGTATCTGGGAATTTCGCTTTTACCATTAGGCTACACGGGTTTTAGTATAATTTATGTTTACCTCATCTGAAATGCAGTCACTATGTTGACCAGGTAGAGTTGTGGTGACAGCTAGCTAGCTAGCTAGCCAAAATTGGTAGACAGTAATTTACATCCCCAATATTGGTCATGAGAAAAATAACAACAAAGACCGACTCAACAACCACCAATCACAGCAGACTTTGCGTGGGCGGATACAATTTGCAGACAGATAATCTGAACTTCAAGAAACTGCCACAAAGAAATGAAAGCCTTCACTACTCGGAATGCCAACAAAAGTCTTTGTGTGCGGGATAGCTGCGAAGAAGGCCTCCAAGGTGAAGGTGCCAAAGGATGATAAGAAGAAGAAGAAGCTCAGGGGGAAGGAGAGCTATGCAATCTGCATCTACAAAGTTCTCCGTCAAGTAAATCCAGATACTGACTGGTATTTCCTCAAAGGCAATGTCAATTATGAACTCGTTCGTAAATGACATCTTCGAAAGAATTGCAGTTGAAGCCAGCAGATTGTCGCATTACAACAAGAAGTGCACTATTTCTAGCTGCGAAGTCCTGGTCCTTGTCTTCTTTTGTTACAGAGTTACGTTAATAACCGCAAATGGTTTTCGTCAAACTTTTGCTTAATAAAAATTGTTGTCCGCATAGGCATAAGGTTGAGATGTGGGAAGCTTCAGTAGGCAGTTGACAACATGGCTTTAAGAAGCTATGAATGAGGCTTCTTTGCTACAATTCACTAATAATGGTCACGAAGTTAAGGAAAAGCAGACGGTCTCTGGGGTTTAGTGTGTGTATGCTCACACATTGGATGTTAATTGCTTTTCAAAGTGTCTGAAACGGGGAAACATTATAAGTGCCATATGACTATAGTAACCTGGAGTCAACTGATTGAAGTCAGCTAGCTACACACAGAGAAGATTTTGGAATTGCGTGCATACAAAGTCCATTCTACCACCACCTACATATCACCGTAAGGCAAGTCGGGATGTGAAGTTTTAGTTGACTTTTTTTAACCCCATATCCTCAATTGGTGGGATTTCTGGTTGCTCGGGAGAAACGTTATACTACTGTTATGCTTCAATTCATCAGTAGTTTGACTTTGTCCTCCAACTATTCTTTTCCTATTTCATTTACACTATTCAGTTTTACCTGTCATAAGCAAAATGCATAAGGATAGTAATTAGATTTAATTGGTGGATGGTGACTAACAGTGGAGTCCAGGACAACGCTCATTTCGTCCTATTTGGGACTGGCTCGTCATCTGGATGTGCCTGCATTCCCCAGTGAGTGATGATGTTCCCACCACCGAGTCTCGAACCCAGTGCCTGTAGTTTCAAACTCCAAAGCGTTATCCACTAGACCACTTGGGCCACGACAGCTAGCCACCTCTTGTACAACGGGTCAGATTAATTATTTAATTGAATTTTAGATATACCCATCAATTGAGAAATGCAGGTATATCCAGCTGACGAGTCCCGAATAGGACGAAATGCGCGTTATCCTGGATTCCACTGCTAGTCACCATTCACCAATTAAATACTAATTAAATGCCCAGACATCGTCGAAGCATCTGCACAAGAAGCCGATATGTCAACCTGAGACTTAGCACTTCGGTCCAATCAATCGACTGGAAAATCTAAAGTTCAATGAAATAGTTATTAGACGGTTGCAGGCAATCAGCAGGAGGTCTTGAACATGGACTGCCTACTCACCAGTTAGCTATCCTCAAGGAATTCATGTCCCTTTTGAGATTCAAACCCACGTCACCGAGTGCTATAGTCAGGGACTTTACCACTGACCTCTTCTGTTTGGCAATTGGCCTCATGTAGGACGGTATTGGATACCTTGATGAGACACTAATTTAGTAACTAGTTTATATTTTACTGAGATGGTGAGTCATCAACTAACATGGTAGCCATATTACAAACTTGAGTGATCGAGAATTTAACCCGCAACAAACAAAGCGTTGGGTACATGACACTAGCTACTTTCTACCTAGTGTTCAGTCAGAATGAACAATTATTTAACATTTCAGAGATGATTGACATTCGGGATAGACTAATAAAACTCCAAAAACAAAATGTGGGAATTTAGAACAACATAATTACACACTTCAGAGGATGGATGAGTTATTACATGGTACTTACAGTTTGTATATTCACCTCCTGGACTTCTCTTCCCTCGACTGTTTACAAGTGGTTTACTTGAATGAAAGAAAAAGAAAGTAAAAACAAGAAATAATGTCATAGGCAATAACTAGTGAAAATTCTATACTGGGACAAGTAAATTACAGTAAGAAGATTTTTTTTGTGTCAGAAGCCTAATTGGAAACAAAAACAAGCTGTTGTATGTTTTTTTTTGTTGTCACCAGGGCAGTGCAAGATTCACCACTGTCTCTTTCTGAGTACATAGATTTGGTTTAAGTCGTTTGATAGCAATTGCTTCAGCAAAGCGTAGCAAGTTAGGTTTCTTTTGCTTGTTGATTATTTTGAATGACTTCAAGTTGTCTACATTATGACCAGTGTCTAATAGATGACGCGCAATAGCACTGTTTAATACTTGTGAAAACAACAACAAAAAATATACAACAGCTTGTTTTGTTTCCAAGCCCAATTGCCTAATTATTCTATTAATATTTATAAACTGTCAAATATTGATCACAGTTCATTTGAATTATTCTATAAATAGTCAGTGTTTGTAACTCTTAATTAGTTAAATCATTCCGGACTAATGTTACTTTCACTTCTTACCAACCAGTTACTCCTTGTGATCGTGGAAAAGTATGTTCAAATCTTTAATGTAATGTAATTCATATTTTTCATCGTTCAGGTTGTAACCAGTTGAGAAGAATCCGCGAAATAATAAAAGATGAGCTCATATTATTCTGGTACAATTGTTGTTCTTGCTTTGTTCTAGTCATTTATGTTAAGTTATTCAATTTATTTGCTCAGTTTTAGTCCTAATCTAAATGGCATTATTCTCTACCCCACCTCTATTTATTCTCTACCTGTAATTACCTATGTTGCTATTTATTTTATTTATTTATTTTATTTTTTTCATTTTGATTACAGCTTGATTCCACACTGTATTTTCAGTACAAGTAACCAGAAGGTCCTGGATTCGAATCCCGGTGGGTGCATACTTATGTGCGTCGGTGGCACAGTGGTTAGGACTCTCGCCGACCATGAACATGGTCCGGGGTTCGATCCCCTGCCGGCGCACACCCGATATCCATGGTTGGCCTGAATTTGGGCTACCGATATCCATGCTGAAAATTCCATACTTGTACTGAAATTACGGTGTGGAATCAAGCTGTAAATCAAAATTAAAAAAATAAATAAAATAAAAATTTTCAGCATGGATATCGGTAGCCCAAATTTACAGGCCGACCATAGATATCGGGTGTGCGCCGGCAGGGGATCGAACTCCGGACTATGTGCATGGTCAGCGAGAGTCCTAACCGCTGTGCCACCGGGCGAGAGAGAAAGCGAGAGAAAGAAAAACAAACTTTATAAACAACTGAACTAACTTACATTCTTGAAAATAATAATAAATTTTGTAAAGAATCTTCAAAACGTATCATATCAAGACGTTCCCATCGAGTTATCTTCTGATAATCTTCATCATAGGCTTTATTATTTTTATTATTGATTGTTTTTTGCCTAAATAATTTTTGTATTACATCAATTCGTTTTGTTGTTGTTGTCGCTGCTGTTGCTGTTGTGTTATTATCAGTATCACCGACAGCATCATTTTCGTTTGTATTGGTTAAATGCACTACTGCAGGATTAAAGCATAGGTCAGCACAACTAGTACAAGAGCATAGTTCACTTGGAATTTTCATCAGGGAATCACTGGTTATTGAAGTTGTTGTCTTCTCCAAGAGATTATCATTATTGGTTGTTATTCTGTTTGTATGACTAGTAGTTGATGATAAACTGACAAATTGTAAAGAAGAACGACCTGTAGAAAAAGAAAAAGTGGGGAAAAAATTTTTAAAAAATTACCAAAAACGGGAAATCCGCATTGAGTCATAAAAAAAGAAACGGCATTCAACGATACCCTATCAGTGTCTGTAAGTATGATATGTGCTTTGCGCCGTCTAAATGCAAAGTACTGTTACAAGATCGGCAGGGGCCTGTACCTGCACTCACTCTTGCGGGTGAACCGCTTGAATTCGTTGAAAAGTTTATGTTTGAGTGAGTGCTGGCGGAGGGGTGACGGATGAGATTTCCAACCATATAATGAAGGCTAGGGTGGCATACATCAACTTCAGCCCCCTCTCGCGCCATCGCGACGTTAGCCTGGCTGTCAAAGGTCGGGTATACAATGCTTCGGTGCGAGCTGTCTTGTTCTACACCTGTGAAACCTGGCCTCTCCGAGCTGAGGATGTGAGGCGACTCTGCGTGTCCGATCACCGCTGTCTCCGCAGGATTGTCTGCGTTCGATGGCATCATCGCCTGAGTAATTCTGAGGTTCGGCGGCGTGTGTTTGAACACAGCGGAGATCACCATTCATTGAGTATCGTCATCTGGAAACACTGGCTCCGGTGGCTTGGACATGTTCTGCGAATGTCACCCCAGAGGCTTCCGTACAGATCTCTGTTCGCTAGAACTGGGACGGGATGGAAAAGGCGGAGGGGTGGTCAGTCCATGAAGTGGCGTCGTGGGATGAAGGATTTTTGTGCTAGATTAGCATCGGTTGGTGCGTCACGACTCCCTGGTTGGGGTCCGCGAGATAGCTCGAATCGATGGCTCGAAACGTTATCGGATATGGCCAAGAATCGTAATCAATGGCAAACGTGTTGCAATTTCCTTCTTTCTTCCCTTCCTGATGATAGTTAACGAATGCTGTCTGAACTTGTTAAACATGACTGTTTCTCTTCCAGATGAAGTTCTTTATCCGTTTTCTACTTATATTTTTACTTTTAATCTATGTTGTTTTATTATTATTGTGTGGCGCATCCTTCTTGGTGCCATATTGTACCAAGTTTTTTCTGCGTTTAAATAAAATAATAAAAAATATTAGACCTATAGTTGATTTTAAAAATTCACCTACTTATGAATTATCTAAATATTTAGCCATGGTATTAAATCCCCCCTAAAAAGCCACTCTAAATCTAGACTAGCTAATTCTTATGAACTGAAACACAGATTAGATAATTTAAAATTAGATAATGAAGAAAAAATGGTTAGTTTTGACATTGTCAGTTTATATACACGTATACCAATAAATATAGAGGCTATAGAGGCAGTCAGAAACTCATTTCTGACCAACAACTCGAACTTAGGACAAAAGTGCCACTTGAAGATATAATGCTGGGAGTGCAGTGGTGCAGTGTCTGACTTCCACAGTATTTAAATTCCAAGGGAAAATATACGAACAAACTGAGGGAGTTGCCATGGGATCACCAATATCCCCGATTGTAGCAGATATATTCATGGATAGGTGGGAAAACATAGCGATTGAAACGTTCACCCGCACCTCAAAAGTATGGTGGAGGTATGTAGATGACATATTCACTTTACGTAGAACACAGGATATAGATAGATTTTTCGAACACATCAACTGAAAGGTAGAGGCAATTCAATTCAGAACAAAATATTGCTAAAATGGGAATTATTAAATTATTATAAAAATGAAATTCAATTCACTTATGAATTAGAAAGTCAGGAAGAGGAGCTTCCAATGTTAGATTGCAACGTAAAAATGAAAGAAGATGGGAGGTTAAACACTAGTGTTTACAGGAAACCTACACATTCAAACAGGTATTTGGACTTCCGATCATCCCATCCTATGTCAGTAAAAATAGGATCAGTGAAATGTTTAAATGACAGAGCACAAAAACTAAGTGGTACCAAAGAAAATCTAAAACAGGAACTGATACACATAAAAGAAGCCTTGAAACTTAATAATTACCCGGATAAATTAGTCAGGAAATATTTAGGGAAATGTAAAAATAAATAAATAGTGATAGTAGCGATAGTGATAATAAGAATAATAATGATGATAATAACAATAATATTAATGACACCAACAATAAGGAATCTAAATCATCAGTAGTAATTCCATACAAGGAAGGAACCTCGGAAGCCTTACGCAGAATTCTTAACAAGGCAGGAATAAAAATGGCATTCAAACCCACAAACTCAATTAGAAACAAGCTTTGTCGGTTAAAGGATCATGTAGAGTCTTTAAAACAAAACAATTTAGTTTATCTCATACCCTGCAATGATTGTCAGGTCAAATACATAGGTCAAACTAATAGAACAGGGGCAGTCAGACTAGCTGAACATAAAAACCTAGCAAAATCTAGATTAGTTGACCCAAATGAGATAAGAAATCTAGAGAATAGTTCAGCTATAGCACTACATGCAGTTACACACAACCATACAATAGGATGGATGGGATAGGATAACAGTTTTAAAATATAATGTAACAGGGTGGAGGGAGGGGGAGATTGATAACAGAAGCTTTGTTTATCGAATCAACTGCAAACACATGTAATAGGAATGATTCAACACCTATCCAGCTGGATATCTGGAAAATTCTACTACCCCTACGACGACAAATAGGAGAAGACAAAGAAAACTATAAAACTCAAGTGTCAAAGTCGTGTGATCACAACTGATATGATTATGAACAATAAATTTTGTTCGAAACGTCACCCAGTAAATAATACTGTTTCACTGACTGTGTGATACATCTAATAAACAAACTAATATGGAATTCAACGAAGAGTTTCACAAATTCTGCAATGTGTAGAAAGTATTAATCGGGTAGAAAAGTAAATTGAGTGACATTACAATAGTTGACGCGGTTGAGTAGAATTCAAATGAAAATTGAACGAGAGTCAAATTAGCAACAGTGGTGGTAATAAGCGGTAGAAATTCAATAGAAAGGGGGTGAGAGAAGGAAAAAATACACAATTAAAAAAACGCATTTGGTGTGAAAATAGATCGAGTCCATTAGAGATTTAACGACTGAACAAACTTCCTCTTTTAAATGCAGAGTTCAAGATTTAGTGTGTGAGTTGCCATTGCTTCTGCAGTTTGAAAAAATTTTGATTCGTATTCGTTTAGCAAGATTCCCATGTATTCTGTAGATGACATTGAAGTTCCTCTGTGGGTTACCTTAGTATTCAAATTCGATCAGGTGTTCCAGGATAGAGCTGGGAATGGTCCTTTTTCTCTTTCATAGATTGCAACTCAAGGTATTCAGAAGACTGTATTTTGTCAGCGTCCTCGCTTAGAAGGACTATATCGTCCTAACAACCTCCCCAGCGCAGTACGACCTGCAGGAACATTGGTTCCAGCCAGTGCAGCTTGTTGGGTCATCGCGATATGCAAGCCCGACCACCACATCAAGGTAGCAGCTATCGGTCGGGATCCTCATCTGTACTGTCAGCAGTAGTTGAAACGATGCTGTCTGGCCGGATAAGTGAAGGAAGTGGTCACCTTCGAAATTATTCCGTTGATGGTGATTGGCGTGAGATGTTGTTGCTGTGAGTTGGTTGGTTATCTTCATCACCTCCGTCTGACTTCTCTATGTCCACTTGAAGTCCTGTCTTCACTGCCGGCCTCTTCCACCAACTTATTTTTTCCCTACAGGTCCTTGAATTTGTATGACATAAGACATAAATCATCTATGCACGAAATGAAGATCTTTAAAAGAATTTTTATCGGTCCAACATATTCGTGTCTTCTAGCTCTCCGAAGGCTGACACACAATCCAGTCCATCACAATTAGGAGTATCGTTCGGTGATAATAATGGGCAGCATTGTCTTACTCCTGTATTTACTTCAAAGGCTTCGCTAAGTTCTCCGTTGTGGCCTATTCTGCTTCACTTCAACACCTGTTCGGAACATCTAGGAAATTTCACTACCGATTACCCCAAATGATGAAAAGGTAGAAATAGAACTATAAAATTCAACTTCCAAAGTTGCCTACAATTACAATTGGTGGTATAATTATGAACAGTAATAAATTGTGTTTGAAATGTTGTCATCCAGTCAGTCAGATAATACTGTTTCTTCACACTGTGTGATGTACATACAATAAACACATTAATATGAAATTACATGCATTCTTCTTTTGTTCAAACTAATCAAAGGAATTGAGTGTATGGGACGTTTGATACAATGGAAATCAGGATGTACATTTCTGCATGTATTTGGGACTCCTCGACCGGATACAACTGCATTACCTGCCCATTGAGCGCTGGTATTCCCGCAAAGATACTTAAACCCGATACCGGCCGATTCAAACGTCAGAGTGCTATCTACTAGACCGTTTTAGTCATGGGAGACACCATCCTTTTTGTAATGAGTGCCAGATGTTATTTAAATGGATGGTTTTCTGATCACAAGCCCAACCGATAAGTGCTACCTTGACTCCGTGGTTGGGCTGGCATTTCGCAATAATCCAACGAGTAAAACACTGACTGGAGCGAATGTTTCTGCAGGTCCTACTGTGGTGAGGGCTGTCTGTAAGCCAAAATTGTAGGCAACAATATAAGTCAATGTTTACGTCCCAAATCGGGGTCATGAGAAGAAACGATAACAAAGCTTAACCTTGAGGAACTCAACAACCAATCACAGCAGACTTAACATATGCAAATACAATTCGAAGATATATCACTTAACTTTGTAAGAAACGGTTACAAGCGGTACAGAATAACCTTCTGCAAGAAAACAACCAATCAGAAGACGTCACCTCTCAGCTAACAATAACGCTAATATTAATGTACATAAAAATCTATAAATATCGGTTGATTTTCTCAATAAACGATCTCTTGCCTAGCCCTTTTCTTCTCTCGTTACACTACCATGTCAGATAGGTCGTTTGGATAGAGAAATTGTACTGCTGACGAATAAGGATGTGACAGTAGTAAGGTGTTTTTTCCACAGATGACAAGCCAGCGAATTACGTTGTCTTCTCACTCCGGGAAGAGAGAGAGACGGGATTAGAAAAGGTCAACCCCGTAAAGCGGGCATTCTGACTTGCATGTAGCGGTCCGTAGCCAGTGGTATGATCTTAATATGCACGCGATTCGGGAAAAACCACCCCAGACCGCTACAGCTACACAACAATAATGCTCTTCCGGTTTCAGGTACTCCAAGAAGAAATCAACTTCCATGGTGTGGGTGTCCGGGAAGTAATAATCGTCTACACACTTCCATAAGCATACTGATTATAAACTATTCATAATAATAATTATTATTATTGTATCCGTGCACGTCTCCATTGCGTTCAGTTCTCTGCTTGAGTTTTCACTTGGCTCCAAGTCTGCCCACAGACTTTCATCTCCTCTTCACATGACCTCCTCCAAGTCACCCTTGCAGTGACGACCAACTCGCCGCCGCTTCCCTTTCGGGTTCAACTCGAGCAATGGCTTGTCTAGTCATGTCACTTGATGGTTTCCTCAGAGTATGGCCAATCCAAACCATCTCCATTTCTTCCTGCCTATTTGTTTCACGATCGGTTCCTGGTTGACTCGCTCCCAGAGATCCCTGTTGCTGATCTTTTCTGGCCGGCTATCTGATCTTGAGTAGTATTGAGCGAAGACAGCTGTTAATGAAGGTCTGTAGTTTGTTTGAGATGCTCTTTATGACGCGCAGTGCAAGTCTCTGATCCATCCGTATAGTAGCACTGACTACACATTGGAGTTGAAAATCCGGATCTTATTTTTCATGTTAAGTGTTGTTGACCTCCACACAGACTTGAGAGTAGTGAAGGCTTGTCTTGCTTTGATATCCTCGTCAGTTCCGCCTGTAGTTGAAACGATGCTTCTCAGGCAGGTGAGTAGGTAAAGGAGGTTGTTTCTTTCAGGTTCCTTCCATTTATGCTGATCGTTGTCTGTTATTGTTGTTGTTCTTGTCCAGGAATCTTCATCACCTCTGTTTTCTCTATGTTCACCTGAAGTCCTTCCTATCTTTGATGCTTCTTCTGCTAACTTGTTGCTTTTCGCTTGCATATCATCCAGTTTGTGGGAAATCAGACATATATCATCGGCGAAGTCCAGTTCTTCCGAGATTTTTGTGTGAGTCCATTTTATGACTGTTTCCTCATTGCCTGCTGTTTGTCGCACTATCCAGTCTACTGTAATCAGGAAAATGATTGGCGATAGTAGGCAGCCAGCTTGTCTTACTCCTGTCCTCACTTCGAAGGATTCCGTAAGTTTCCTGTTGTGGATTACTTGGCATGCAGCATTGTCATACAGCTGTTGGATGAGATGTATAATTAATTGTCGGTGGCACCCCTTGGTAGTAGCGAATTAGTTGCCAAATCACCTCTCGATCGACACTGTCTGCTGAAGGCCTTTTCAAAGTCGATGAAGTTGAGTGAGGTGGAGAGGTGACTGCCATTCCAAGCTTTGTTCAATGATGATCCGTAATGTGGCGATCTGATCAATGCATGACTTGTTTCATAATAATAATAATAATAATAATCGTAAAAAGTGATAGTAGATTATATCAGGAAATTAAAAATATAATTCAAAACTAACCGTCAGTACAAGTCGAAGTATCATAATCGTTATCATTATCATTACTGTTATTATTATTATTATTATTGTTATGATGATCATCTCCAATAAATGATGAAGTATTCAATGATAAACGTTTATACCAAATATGATATTCAACTATTTGACCATTTGGATTATCTGGACTATTCCAGTGTAGTTGTATTTCATTTGAACTCAGCGGATAAGCATAGAAATCCGTTGGACTACTCGGTTCTACATTCACATATAGAGAAAAAGAGAAGAAGAAGAAACAGAAAGAGTGACTTCTTTCAATCCGTCTATCTGAAGTATTAAAAGGTAAGTTGAATAATCAAGTGTTGGTGGTTTGCAGGGGGGGGGAGATTTGATTTTATTGATTACAGGATTTCATTATGAACAGACATCACATCGGTTACAGGATCATTGGAAACCACCACCAGGGAGTAACTGCTAGACAACTGTTTCCTTCGTCCTAGTTTGGGACTCTTCAGAAGTATGCATCCATCGCCAGGGTTCGAAGTCAGCACCTTCTGGTTATAAGGCAAGCTCTCATAGACCATTAGACCACTGGGATCCGATCCAATGGTCAGTGCATGAATTCCAACCTCCGCCAATTCGTGATATGAAAAAGAAAAAAGACGTTCAGTGAAGAGACTCTTTTCACCGGCGAATTCATTCACATAGCTGTACAATCGCATTTATATACAATATTGTGTGTATGTGTGTGTGTACATGAGGTTTGTCAAGTTTAGATAATTAATTAGGTAATACAAGAATGATCTAATATAGAAACAAGGTTAATTAGACAGCAACTAAAGTAAAATTGAGTTAGTAGGTTAGATGACGTAATATAATTGACTAACCAGCATGGTTTTATAAAGGAGAAAAACGATGCCCTCGCAGCTCTATCTTAGAACATCTGGTAGATTCCCGACATCAAGCTACACCCCAAACAAACTTCAAAGTTGTCTACAGAATACAAAGCAGTCTTCCTAAAAGTGTACGAATCAAACTTCTTCAAACTGCAGAAGTAATGGCAATTCACTTGATAAGTCCTGAACTCTGCATACAGAAGAAGTTCGTTCAATCAATGGACGTAATCTGTCTTAATACCCGACAGGTAAATTCTATTTCTTTCTTTCTGTCTCTTCATTAGTAGTATTTTGTCTTTTCAATTGTAATATTTTACATTTTCAAGTTTCCTGTTCTCTACCACCACTCGATTTAATTTCTACACCTCATCACCACTGTTGGTGACTTGACCAACGCTCAATTTCTAGTCCTTCATGTTAAGTCATCCAATTTATTTGCTCAATTTTAGTTCTAATTTAAATGGCATTATTCTCTACCCCACTTCTACTTAGTCTCCACCCGTAATTACCTCTGTTGCTACCCTGACCTAAGTTGAAACATTTTATTCAACTATATTACGTCATCTAACTTACTAACTAACTCAATCTTACTTTAGTTGCTGTCTAATGAACCTTGCCTCTATATTAGATCATTCTTGTATTACCTGATTAATTATCTAAACTTGACAAACCTCATGTACACACACACACACAAATAATTATACATAAATGCAATTGTACAGCTATGTGAATGAATTCGCCGGTGAAAAGAGTCTCTTCACTGAACGTCTTCTCTTTTTTTCTTAATTCGTGATATGGCACAACACCACTAACGAACGTCATCGGCGAGTATTTGCCCTCACATCTGACCTGCTGTACCCAACTGATCACGACTTCTCACTAGAATCCAGGTAACTACCTACCCGAAAAAGGCCAGTCAGTTACTAATGAGCATGAAATTGATATTCAAGTTATATAACAGTAATAATTGGGAAATTTCAAGGACAAAATATTGCTATATTGACCACTTAACATGTACAAATCGAACTATTTCTGGCTAATTTACTTGAGCGAACCGGTAGCGGCATAAATGAAATTCCCGATAAGCAATTCAGACGATTTGACGGGACAAAACCCCACCACAATTTCCTCTGGAAGGATTGACACCACAAGTGATAAAATTGTATATACTACTGATTCATCGAAATGAGTAGCTGCATACTGTAAATTTGATCACTTATTAACTAGATGATAAATAAACTTGTATTTTCTAATAAATGTAAAACAAGACGATGTCTTTGTTTACTAACATTTTGTCAGTGTTAATGCCAATATACCAGTAATAGCTTTATCATCAAAGTAATAACAGGGCCAAGTTAAAATTTAACCACCACTTACTAACTACCAGTGGAGTACGACCGCACCAATGACCTTGAAACACCCACTGAGCAAGTTAGTGAAACCTGGCAAATAATGTTGTTTCATCATCAATAAAATATGCTCATCGAAGTGTAATGCTATTAAATGGGATATATGGGAAGCTACAACTTAGGTTTGGGAAAGATTAAGGTACGCTTTAAGCCAAGGACTAGTTAGGGCGGGTTAGAGTTAGATTACAGTTAGTTGAGAGATTTTTACACGTTAGGGTTAGGTTCAGGGAAGATTAGGGTTATTGTTAGGCTTAGAAGACCTTAATAATTACATGCATAGAATGTGGTTAAATTACCCTGTTGGTATAAGAATTGAACTTGTGTATTGTTTATTTATTCCTTTACGTTCCCAGTGGAACATAGGGCTTCAAGCTAGAGGCTTGGAGTTTCGGTAGCAGTGATGTTTCCCTTTACGGGATGGGTTTACTTGCTTCATGCCCAACCTTCCCTCTTTACCAGTCTTATTACTGGCTTAGTTAGGTGAAGGAGTGTGTCAGCCGGGGATCGAACCCTGGACCATCTGTGTAGCCGGTGACCACTCTACCACTGCGCCACCGACGCACCTTGTGCGCTGTGGTAGAGTATAATTCCATTGTGGGTAAAATTTATTTCGATAAAGTCTCACAGTGTTATACAGTAATATTTACTGATGACCACGTTTCGAGCACAATTTATTGCTCATTAGATATTACTGCATAACACTGTGAGACTTTATCAAAATAAATTTTACCCACAATGGAATTGTACTCTGTTGATACTCCAACCTAAAATTGAGGGCTGTTTGTATCACATTTGAGAGGAAGGTATCCTCTGTAACACTTTTAGACAGTTTTTATGGATTATTTCATAAATATGTGTATTCCATACACAAAAATGCCTCCTTCATGTGATTGGTGCGTTCGAGGTCATTCACTGATTGGTAGTTAGTGGTGCTTAAAGTTTAACTTTGCCAATAATAGTAATAGTAACTCAGTCAGTCATAGTTCTTCAATTTTTTTTGGTATAATTTTGCCTCTGTTATCAAGTGAATAAGTTCGAGCCACAAACCTTTCACACAATAAACTGAATGCAAATAGTCTAATTATGGATGATGGATGAAGACAGAATTTGACCTGGATGCAACACCGCCTTTCGTGTCCTCCGCTTCCGGTGAACGAATCGACACAATCAATCCCAATACTGATGATAAGTGTTTTTCAGTGAGTAAACACATATACTATAACCTTCAGCAAGAAAACAACCAATACGAAGAGGCTGCTTCTCCGCTGACAATAATGTACATAAACATCTATAAATATCTGATGATCTGATCTGAAAAAGGACTATACCATCCTGAGAAGGATGTTGAAGGTAGTCTGTAGAACTAGTGGTGTAAAACTCAGTCAGCTCGGCACTACATTAGTTGATAGGCATCTGAATACGTGCGTCTAAAACCATACTCTCAGACCACCAACACCCCCTCTATTCCCAACTCTCGCCTTGTATCTCATCAAGTAAAACCAGAAATCAGTATAAAATAATCTATGCTCGTACAACCAAGTACAGGAACTCAACGATACCATACTTGGCCCGTGTCCTAAGTGAAAGAGACAATGTTAAGCGTGAAGCCTATGACTTGCTTTGCTGTTCATAACATAATTTTAGGCTCTTTTCTTTCTCTCTTATTTTGTATTCCATAGCTACCTAAATTATTAATATTGGCTTCCTTTTTTGTACTTTATTGTATTCCTTCTTTTGTGTATCTACTGATTCCGACTATATTAGCACTATGAGTAGTACAAAATTGTCCTGTCATTAACCATCATGTAATTATTAGTTTTGTGGTTGTTTTTTCTTATTTTTTATTATTTTCGGCAATCTTAACTCATAATCATTGGTTGTGAACGTCATTGTCACCACCTTATAATTTTGTATTATTCAGGATTACTCACACTACCACCACAAACACTGCATTAGACTTCGGTACTTTTTCGCATTTATAATTATTTTGTGTTTATCCTGTTTTTGTTTTTTTGCTGTTGGTGTCTTCAGATTTTTTTGTTTGTTTGTTTAATACTTATTTTAAATGTTTGATAAAATTAGGTGCAAATATTGTAGATATGTGCTGAAAATTCCACACTGTACCACTAGTACTGTTTCTGGAATAAAGCAAATTATTATTATTATTCTCAATAAACGATCTGTTGCCTGGCCCTTGTCTTCTGTCGTTACACGTCTACTATAATTAACAAATCATGCTATGCTTTTTTTTATCAGTTTTTTAAACTAATACCTCTATGAATGACATCTGATGACGTAAGACAAACAGGCCGATGATGAATTGCTAATAGACATATGAATCCATTTATAGCTTGTGAAGTAGTAGAGAAGATTTTTAGCCCAACTGGATGTCTTCTTTTAGTGTTATTTACATTCTGTTTTAGCTGATTCAGTTTAGCTACAAACCGTTGCATTGCCATTCATTCCTATAGACAATCACTTCCACGCTGACTTCAGTGTTTTCAAAGACCCTAACATGGTAGAGAAGAATAAAGTCCCCACAACGTCCCATAGTTAATTTGTTAATTGGATGTATTACACAGGGAAGTTTCAAACACAATTTACTGTTCATAATCATCACATGATCAATTGTCACTATATTATTATTATTATTATTATCACTATTATTATTGTTCCCTTGGGTTCCTAGTGGAACATAGGGCTACAACTGCACGTCTCCACTTGATTCTGTCTTCTGCTGTACTTTTCACCTGCGTCCACGTTAATCCATACTGTCTCAGCTCCTCTTCACACGATCTCCTCCATGTCACCCTTGCACCGACGAACCACTCGCCGCTTCCCTTTCGGGTTCCACTCGAGCGTTGGCCTGACGCGCGATGTCACCCAGCGGCCCCCTCAGCGAGTGTCCAATCCATCTCCACTTTTTCCTGCATATTTGTTGAGTGATTGGTTCTTGTTTTGTTTGTTCCCATAGTTTCTTGTTGGTGATTCTTACCGGCCATCTGATCTTCAGTATAGAGCGACGAAGACAGCTGTTGATTAAGGTCTGCAACAGGCTGTTGGAAATATTCTTTGTGACCCGCCAAGTTTCTGATCCGTATAGAAGAACTGACTGACTTGACGTTTGTATTGAAAGTCCGAATTTTGTTGTTGATGCTGAGTAACGAAGATTTCCAGATTGGTTTCAGGTTGATGAATGTGTTTCTCGCCTTTCCGATTCTCGATTTGACATCTTCGTCCGTTCCTCGTGTAGTTGAGACAATGCTCCCTAGATAATTGAATGAAGTAACCTCTTTCGAATCTCTCCCGTTGTCACTATATACAACTTCGAAAATCTTGTTTTTTGGGTATTCTTTATTGCTTCAAATTCCTCGTAGGGGTCGTAGAATTTCACGCTTCTGTTCCATGTATTTACAGTTGGTTGATTCCATACATAAAGTATCCGTTATCAATCTTTCATTGTTATCTTGTCCCATTCTATTGTATGGTTGTTTGTAATTGCATGTAGTGTTATAGCTGAGCTACATTCACAATTTCATATCTTATTAGGATCATTTACTCTAGATTTTGCTAGTTTTTGTACTCTTAATTGCGGTGGACTATATTATGCGTCAGACTGTCTACAGGCAGTGTGAAGACAGGGATACGCTGCACCGATCGATAAGAAGACTCTAGAAGATATGTATTTCGCGTGTGGATGATTCATGTCTAATGTCACACAAACTCGAAGACTTGCAGGCACACGAAAACCAACAAACTGGCTGAGGAGGTGGCTAGCACCGAAGACAAGACTTCAGGCGAACATAGAGAAGAAGGAGGTGATGAAGATAACTAAGTAACAGCAACAGAGACAAAAACCAGCATCAATCACCATCAAAGGGTGTGATTTAACAGAGTTTACTTCTTTCACTTATCTGAGAAGCATCGTTTCAACTACAGGCGGAAAGGAATGAAGATGTGAAAACCAGCCAGCCAGAATTGGAAAGGTGAGATACGCCTTTATCAATCTGAAACCAGTTCAGAAATCTTCTGCATTCACTCAGCCAGCATAGAGAATAAGATTCGCATTTTCAACATGAATGTTAAGTCAGTCACTTCTTTTATATGGATCAGAAACTTGGCCAGCGTATCACGAGAAGCATTTCCAACAGCCTGTTGCAGACATTTATCAACAGCTGCCCACTTCGCTGGCTTCATAAGTGAAGATCAAATAGCCAGCTGACCAGAAAGAATTAACAACAAGAAACTTTTTTCTGGGAACAAACCAACCAAGAACCTATTACTCAACAAATATATGGAAGAAAATGGAGATGGATTGGACACACGCTGAGGAGACTGTCGAATGACATCGTGAACCAGGCCATCTCTCGAGTGAAACCCGAACGGAAAATGACGATTTCGGCATGAGTCTGAGGGTGACATGGATGTAATCGTAAGAGGAGGAGATGGGAGACTATGCGGCTAGCTAAAGATGACCGCAGTGAATAGAACAAAGAAGCAGAGAAGTGCTGTTGAAGCCCCATACTGCACTCTGAACTCAAGGGAACAATTACAATAATATACGACTTGTCTCAACTCTTGGCTTCTAAGACAACTATGCGTTAAGCGAATTAATTGGACAACCTTTGATGCCCCACCTTATGCAGTCAACCAATCAGATTAGTTATTTAACTGGTTTAACTTTTAGAACATTGTCTAATAAAATGAATAGTCTCCTCAAGGCATCATATCAGTCTGTCAACTGCTTTTTTTTCAATGGGATTAAGAAGCAAAAGTAGTATTTGGTCTTCAATCTTCACAGCTCAGCAGTTTGCTCCGTCCTTCTCCTCTATGGCTCTCTGAAACATGGCCAATACGAGTTGAAGACATGAAAAGGTTGACTGTTTTTGATCATACATGTCTACGGTTTCTTTCTCACGTTAGGTGGTGGTATAATAAGGTAAGTAATGTTGACGTTAGGCGTAGAGTGTTAGGCAAAGAGGGAAAATCACTCGAAGAGGCTATAAAGTTACATAGATTGAGATGGCTAGGTCACGTCCTGCGCATGCTTAACCATCGCCTCCCCCCAGACGGGCATTACTAGCTGATATAGGTACAGATTGAAAAAGAGTCAGTGATGGCCAAATAAAAACATGGCCTCATCAATCCATGAAATCGTTGACAGTTAAACTGAGTCAGTCAGGTAGGGAGATGCAGACTTCCGGGTTGGGGCCCGCCCTCAGGACTCTAAGAATCAATGGTGGCTGGAGACAATAGATGACATGGCTCAAAACCGTTGTCAATGGCTTACGCAGATGTATTCAGTCTCTGTAATCTTCAGTCTCATATTCCTTTCTACCATTACTCATTCTGTTTCACTCTTATACTTGTCGAAACTCTATTGATTCTCTTCACTCATTTTCCCGTCTACCTTTGTGTGCTATTTGGAACGTGGCAACTCGAACTTCTGCACTTCGGTGCCAAGTTCTATGTTGAATCCAGACAGAGACAGACAGACAGACAGACAATCTTCACAGAGTAGAGCTACTACTACATTCCTGTACGGAAAGTGAATCACAACTTCATTATTTGCAGATACATATCAAATAGTAAAGTGGATGGATAGAATCCACCGCCTTATTAATCATAATGTTATAAAGAAAAAAATAAAATAATAAGCTACTTACTGTCTTGTTTCGTCTGAAAGGTGAATACTTGACTGATTGCACCTTCAGAGTTGAACATTGTACGTATCTCGACATAGGCTTGATAATGTCGAGCAGGTTTTAAATGTTTTATTTCACATTGAAGTCTTATATGCGTAGATTTTATTTCATCATTGAACAGATTCAATTTTGACTCGGATTCAATTATTTTTTGACATTTCGGTTCATGTATATGCCATCTATATGAGATATAGAAATAAAAGTTCAACAGGATATGATGATGATATCAATAAGTGGTGATTATATACAACAAAGCGTAGTTGAGCGATGGTTTATGCTTACGATCTGGGATGAATAATTAATGCATTTACTGACAATTTTTTTCTGTGCTTCAGTGATTCTCATTGGCAGAATATTTGCCAACCATGCGTGCATGGTCTATGTTCCATTCTCAGCCGAAGTACTGCTTCGAGTCCCTCAGCCGGTGACCCGACCGATAGCTGCTACCTTGACGTGCTGGTCGGGCTTGCATATAGTAATAACCCAACAAGCTACACTGGCTGGAACTATTGTTCCTGCAGGTCCTAACATGCAAGGAAGGTTGTTAGGAAAGCGATTAGACTAAAAGCAGTTAATGGCATAGTGTAAGAAATTTTTTACACTATGTCCAAGGTCTGTGGGTAAGGGGTGATGTAACAGCAGCGAGGTGTTTTTCTCAGATGACCAGCATGCCAGCCACCTATGCTGTCTCCAATAGGAAGAGATGGGGTTATAAAAGGTCGACCCCAACAACTGTACATCCCGACTTACCCTACGGTGGTCCGTAATGGGTGGTAAGTTTACTAATACGGAACCAATCCCAGAAAACAGTTCATACAGGCCGTGTGTGACCGGCCTCAAGCAGTTGTCCCCTGAACCCTGCGGTCACGCAACAGTAACCTTCTTTCTGTTCCAGGTGCCCGAAGAATCAATCAACTTCTACGGTGTTGACAACCGGGAAGTAACAACAACCCACACACTTCCAAGAGCACACGAAGCCTTCCTGAGCATCATTCTCCTTTACCCACATTACCTTCATCATCTGACTTTCCTACTATAGCCGGTACTATTTTTCACGCCAGTGAGTCATCTTCACTTCACTCTGTGAACACAAACAACGATGACCGGTATAGAAACACCCACGACAGCCTCTTAAAGCCACGTCACCAACTTCATATACGAGCTTTCAACGTCAGGACCCTCTGCCAAATCGAACAACAGGCATCACTAGCAAGAACTCTGGCATCTCGAGCCATGGATGTATCTTGTATTTCGGAGACATGCATACAAGACCCAAGTGTGGTTATTCCCTTAACCCCACCTGGCCGACAAGGTGAATCTGCAAAATTCACCTTAAGGGTGTCAGGAGACCAACCGCTCAGCTAGTTCGCAAGGACTTTGCTGATGTAGGGATAGCATTGAATGTTAGGGCAGAAAAATCATTTCTTGCCTAGTAACCCCCTTCCTCGACAGTCAATGTTAGCTGACTGATATAGGATCAGGTTGGAAAACAGCCAGTGATGGTGAAACTAAAACGAGGCTTCATCAGTCAATCAAATCCACAACAGTTATTTTACGCCAGTCAGCCAGTCATGTAGGGAGGTGTAGACTTCCTGTCTTGTTGGGGTCCTCGGGACGGTAAACACCAATGAAAGCTGGAGACAATTGGTGATATGGCTCAAAATCGTTGTTCTCAATGACTGGCGCAGATGCATCCACTCCTTGTGACTTATAATTTCCAATGAAACTATATTGTTCTTCGGTGTCACTATTATTTGGCCTCACACTTCCGTTTATCATCTTTCCTTTGAATCTCTCTTTACTGTCTTCTCTTACTTTGTGTGCTACATGTAGGGAGAGTGGCAACTCAAACTGCTGCATATCTGTGCAAAGTTCTACGTTGAAACCAGTCAGTCAGTCAGAGAGAAGGTTGGGTTTGAGGCTAACGACCTGATCCCGTAAAAACAAAACACTAACGCTACTGAAACCTCAAAGATCTAGATTGAAGACTTATGTCCCTCTCAGAAGACAAAGGATTGGAATAGGAAGTAGGCATCCTTTTTTAAAACAAACGAAAAAGTTACTTCAACCTAATATCCATGTGAAAAGTTTTAAAAGCTCAAATAATTAGAAAGTCATCTGTCATTATGGTCATTATCAGTTGAACACATCGCTTCAACAAGACGCCTTCATTTCACTCTGTCCTCTGAATTCCTTTTTTTTAGCTGACTCCACGATCAAGAGTAAAGCTTCGGCATTAAAAGGCAGGTATCCATTAAGATGAGAAATATTAATCATTCAATGAACGGTAACGTGTTAATGGAAGACGTTTTACCAAACTATTGTCAGTTAAGTGGTTGGAAGCAGTCAAGAAGGAAATTCTAAATCTAGGTTTTTGTGATTGTCGGTGTACTCGTCAAACCAACATCACCCAGTGCTACAGTCTTTTATATTTTTGCCAACGTCAATCACGAGTCCGAATAGCTCAGTGTTAACTTCTCTGAATGCGTCAATAAGTGCGTCGGTGGAACAGTGGTTAGGATGCTCGCCGACCATGCACATGGTCAGGGGTTCGATCCCCTGCCGATGCACACCTGATATCAGTTGGTGGGCCACCGATATCACATGCTGAAAATTTCATACTTGTTCCAAAAATACGGCATGGAATCAAGCTATAATCAAAAATCAAAATCAACAAAATAAGTGATGCGGGTTCGAACCCCGGGAGGGACATGAGTTCCTTCAAGGCTGCAGATACGCCTTGTTGACTAGTGAGTGCCAACCAGCACGAAACCTAGATCGAAAAATCCCCTTCCGATTGTTTTCAACCATCTAATATCAAATACCACTAAGTAACAACAACCCACACACTTCCAACAGCACACGAAGCCTTCCTGAGCATCATTCTCCTTTACCCACATTACCTTCATCATCACCTTCCGTCGATCCGACAGAAAAAGTGGAGAAACAACTAATTGAATCACTAAAAAGACTTAAACAACAAAGTAGTATCATAGATGGTTTATATGAATCTTTAAAGCCTACTGGCACGGTTACACCAAGATTATACGGACTGCCAAAAGTGCACAAAATCGGTTTGCCGCTTCGACCAGTGTTGGACATGTGTAATTCCCCATATCATGCAACAGCAAAATGGCTAGTGAAGCTGCTAAAGCCTCTGCATAATGAATTGGTAAAACATAGCGTAAATGGCAGTTTTGAATTTGTTGACAAAATAAGAGATCTTAATGTGAGGGACAAGTTTATGATATCTTTTGATGTATCCTCCTTGTTCACCAATGTACCGTTAATGGAGACAGTGGATTTTATATGTGAGGAGATTACTACACGAAACATAGACATTGGGATTTCTATATCCACCTTGAAGGAACTTATTTTAAGATGTACAATGAATGTTCATTTCTTATTCAATAAGGAATATTACAGGCAAATTGATGGTGTAGCTATGGGTTCCCCATTAGGTCCAATCCTAGCTGATTTTTTCCTCGCTAAATTAGAGAATGGACCACTGAAAGGAGTAATTAATGACATGGATTTCTACTGTCGATATATGGATGATACATTTGTGGTTATGAAAGATGAGAATGATGCAATGAATATCCTCGACAAGTTTAATGATGCACATTCAGCAATAAACTTTACCATGGAGAAAGAAAGTAATGACAGTATCTCATTCCTAGACGTCTTCATGGCAAGGAAAGATGATGGCACACTAAGAAGGAGTGTGTATAGGAAACCTACAACAACAGGTCAGTACACTCATTTTTTGAGTTTTGTACCTTTGAAATATAAACGTAACCTGGTAAAGTGTTTGGTTCATAGAGCTAAGTTAATTTGTTCAGACGACTGCCTCAATGAGGAGCTTAAGATTATTAAAGAATTACTTAGAAAAAATGGTTATCCAGATAAATTTATTGAGAAGAATATGAATTCAGCACCAAAGAGAGTCAGTATTGCTACAGTTTCGGAAAAGCCAATGTTCATAAAATTGCAGTTCCTCGGTGACAACATCAGTGAGATCATAACACAGCGCTTGAAGAATGCAGTTAAAAGAGCTTATTATGCAGCAGAAGTACGTTGTCTCTTCACAACCACCCCTATTCTATGTTCGAGAAATAAGGACAAACTACCTAATTTTGCCTCTTCTATGTGTGTATACCAGTTTGACTGCAGCTGCGGAGCCAGCTACATTGGGCGTACAATTAGGCAGTTTCATCGTCGTATTTCTGAACATCATCCAGCGTGGTTAAGCAAGGGACAAACAAAATCTATTCGGAATTCTATTTTAGCACACCTTGTTGATACCGAGCACAAGGTTGATGTGAATACTGCATTCAAAATCATTTATCGCATTCCGACTAATCTCAACTTTGCTCTAAGAGTTCGTCTTCTACAGACAGCAGAAGCAATCGGAATCCACCTTAAGAAGCCAAGCCTATGTGTACAGAAGAAATTTGTACAGCCACTTTGCTTACCGTGGCCATCCTTACAAGACAGGACTACGTCGCTCCCCTCCCCCTATTAAATTATAATTGTCCAAATTATTTTATTTTATTTTTATTTTTATTTTGACCGCTTCATCTTTAATTACGTGTTATTCTTGTAAAATTAATTTATTCTATCCATTTCTACTTTTTTAAATGTGTATTGATTTTCTGCGTTAATTATCTACCCATTGACATTTCGACACTGTTTAAATATTGTTAACAAACATATCACCACTTGTTTGGTAAATTGTTGTGTATTGTAAAAATGCTATATATATTAGAGTAGAGCCAGAGAAGAGGATCTAATTGAAAAGTAAATATTTCTTCGCTCAATCTTTTGTGTTTTCCAAATACCACTAAGGCAAACATAGTTAAAGGTGAAAAAAGACAACGACTTCTCGACATTCAGACTGTTTTAGTGAACAGGCCAGTTGACCTATGCAAATAATCTTATCAGCAGGATAGATTCTTGACAGTGCACAATCCACTTAGGTATTACGCAATTTAGTGCATTTGTTCTCTTAGACTTTGTCTCCCTGTGAATATTTATGAGTACAAACATTGTTGAGAAGGCAATGTTTGAAAAATGCTAATTTCTTTTGAGTTTAATTCTAGTGTGTCGTGTGTGTGTGTGTGTGTATGACAAATAATAAGTTTTAACCAACGTGACTCTTGTCAAAGCTAAATGAAATAAAGGTACTTAATTTTATGTGAAGTACACTATATTATATCTTCGTAAGATCTTGGAAGTGAAATTTATTATCATGTTCGATGTTAGAATTGAGTTACCCGGAACACCGTAAGTGTTTTTGGTGTACCAAGCTACGAGCCACAACACAATGATTGTGTAAAGAATAATGGTACACCACTGAGTTTTGCAAACTCGCCTAATTAACTAGCTTGCTAGTTTTCTAGCCGGTCTCAAGCCCGGGTAAAGAGGGAGGTTTGATCGTGGGCCAGCAACTCTACACCACTAAACCTAACAAACCGCCAAAAAAACTTCAACGCACAGAAAATACGTTAAAAATACAAAAAAATTCAAATAACAAAAATCTTATTCTTCCTTGGAATCAGAGAGGCAAAATGACACAGCGGGCCGGTGGTGAAAGCCTTCGGGAAGCCAGTCAGCCGATGTGTCTTCTCTAATTGAAAGCAAGAATAAGAATACGGACGCGGAATGCTTGTACAATGTACGAGTCTGGCTGGAAAGGCTGCCCAGGTAGCAGCAGCCCTATGTCCCACTAGGAACCCAAGAGAACAGTAATAATAAACTGAGTTCTGCGGGCTGAAGTGTGCATAAAGCGGGACCGATTGTCTGAAAATCGATCACCGAAGCCAATGAGCTACAAATCACCATAAAATCGGCAGAAGTTGGAATTCATGCACTGACCGCTGAATCGGGTCCCAGTGGCTTAATGCTCTACAAGCTGGTCTTGTAACCGGAAGACCCTAGGGGTTCGAACCCTAGTGGTGGGTGCGTGCTGCTGAAGAGTCCTAAACTAGACTGACGAAACAGTTGTCTAGCAGCAGTCCTCCCTCTCAGGTTTCCCAATGGTTCTCTAACCAAAGTTAGCTCATGATGAAATCCTGGAACCGAAATCAGGGTAAATCCCTGCAAACCAACACACTTTAAATAGAAAGGGATAGTGTTATGGAGGTGAAATATGAAAAAAGAAGCAGGCAATACGGAGGGGAATTTTTCAGACAACTTACGATTTATAACAAACTGTTTCAACGACTGGTTCAAATTCATCCATATCTCTAAAAAGAAACATTTAACAACGAAATGGTTGCATTAGATCAGAAAGTAATAAAATAATAATAATAGGTTAACCAGTTTCACGTTATTTCTTTATTTTACTCTGTAGTCAATGGCAACCTGAAAAAGTTTGATTTCGACGGAACAGATCTGGTGTACAGAAGCAGAGCTACCCCCCTAGTTGTGAGGGATGTTTTATTGGATCGAATTTTTTAAAGTAGTGGTATCATTTGCCCGATGAATCACCTGAAGATGTGGGAAGTAATCTAACCGCCCAACAAGTCCTTTATTATTTCGGTAAAGAAAGAAAGATCCACAGGTTCTCCTCATCAGCTGCACATCACTAGTACCTGAAATTACAATGGTTATGAAAACATGACAATACCACACTTCAGTGTTTCAATGGTAGTAGCAAAGAAAACATTATAAAATCAACGCCCCCGACATGTAAGCAGCATTACAATTTTTTGGTTTAAGTTACCATCAGTTTCTATGCTTTCAAAATAGAAAAGGACTTTGGGCGAGGGGAGGAAGAAGAGAAGATAGAAAACAGGAAAATCTAATCAAACAGTGTTAGCATGTAGGTTGACATAGCAACTCAAGAAGGTTATATTTCATAAAATTAGAAACTTGTTCAATGAGCTGAAATCCCTAATATGGATGACTAGTCATCAATGTAATCAAAATGCAGTTATCACCTAAGGAGTGAGAGATTGATGACACTCTCTTTCTGTATGCATAAGTTCGGTTTGAAACGCTTGATTGCAATTACTTTGTAAGGTTTATAATTAGTGGATGCATTATTTTTTTGAACAACACATTTAAGCGAACAATATTGCTGTTTTCAATTAGATCTCATCAGGCTTAACTCTAATATATATAAGTTTACAAATAAAAATTCAAATATAAACCAATCACGGTGTTTTGTCGATAGGATAATACGATGGTGAATATAAATTGTGCAATTAGTCATAATAGTAGTAATGATAATAATAGTAGTAGTAATAAAAATGGTCTTATCATTCATAAGGATGAAAAAATGAGGCAATCTGTGATAACACGAATAATGAAAAACAGCATGATTAAACAAACAAATGTTCAGGTGGAAGTAGTCGATAAAGGCTAGTAAAAACAAATGAACCGATTAAGCAATGTCAGATTGTAAGGGAAGGAAATGAAACACGTTTATAATGAAGATAAGATTAAGAGATGATAAGAAAGGGGTTGAAAATATAAGTAAGGGGTGGTGTAGAAGTCATCAGTTGGTTATGTCTTAATAGCCCAGCGAGGGAGGGATAATGCCTGTACGAACATTTTGAATGCATAGTTTAGGTTTAATAGTTCGAATGCCTATCACCTCAGCTGTGTGCAGTAAACGAATACGAAGTCTATTGGAAAGATTCGGTGGGATACGATGAATTACTTTGAAGGCTCTCGTTTTCTTGATTACATGACCAATATCAATTAAGTGTGACAAAATTGAGCTACGGATTGTTTTTGTCTGTCCTTTGCCAAACCACGATGGGAGATGTTCACTAACACGTTGGCTAAGCTGTCTAGTAGTACGCCCAATATAACTGTCACCACGGGTGCAGTTGAATTTATAAATGCACACATGTGGCGAAACTATCAAGCTTATCCTTCGTTTAATTTTTCTCTATTGTTTTCTCTATTACCATTCAAACATTGAAGTAATTTGCAGCTGATGAGGAGAACCTATGAAATAGAATGATGATACATCATTTTACACTGTCAATCTGGTCTTTCTTTATCGAAACTTACCAAAGGAACCAAATACATTACACTCCAGAGGGTCAAGATGAGGTTGTTTAGAAGTATGAACATTAAGGATATTTCTGTATAGAATTAAATGAATCAACTGTACGTTTGCAAGAACAGTGTACACCAAGGATGTGTGTGTCTTCAGATAACCACTAGAGAACAAAGGATATTTCTGTGTGTAGTGCATAAAACCCCCCAAAAAACATGCCAAGTTTTGGCTTGTTAGTGTATTATGAATGACGTGGTACGGCCAAGGGGAAATAGACTTCAGTCGTGCTCTTGCGAAATACTCTCTTGTAGCCCGGCATTCATAGTCTCTGTGCTAGATAAGTCCTATTGACTACCTTTCACGCACCAAGGATGTGTCCCTCAACAAAATAAATCAAAGGAGTGAGTGTGAATGTCTGGTGCTTACAACTGAACTCGCAGGCATTCAGGTTTACCTAGGGGAGTTATTATTATTGTATCCTTTAATTCCTACAGGAACATAGGGCTTCAGCCGTGCGTCTCCATTGCGTTTGGTTCTCTGCTAGAGTCTTCACCTGACTCCATGTCTGCCCACACGTTTTCATCTCCTCCTCACATGACCTCCTCCAAGTCACCCTCGCACTGACGACCAACTCGCCGCCGCTTCCTATTCGGGTTCCACTCGAGCAATGGCTTGTCTAGTCATGTCACTTGATGGTTTCCTCAGAGTATGGTCAATCTACCTCCATTTCTTCCTGCCTATTGGTTTCACAAACGGTTCCTGCTGGGTTGGTTCACTCCCAAAGATCCCTGTTGCTGATCTCTTCTGGCCAGCCATCTGATCTTGAGTATTGAGCGAAGACAACTGTTAATGAAGGTCTGTAGTTTGTTTGAGATGCTCTTTATGACGCGCAGTGCAAGTCTCTGATCCGTATAGTGAGTAGCACTGACTTCACATTGAAGTTGATGCTGAGTGCTGTTGACCTCCACACAGACTTGAGAGTAATGAAAGCTTGTCTTGCTCTTCCGATTCTTGCTTTGACATCCTCATCAGTTCCGCCTGTAGTTGAAACGAGTTACAAAATCCTGATTCTAAACCTATGGTATAATGCATTGGTTCCAGAATCCGAAGGGATCCAATGACCTATGAACTTGTTTTTGTAATCAGAAACCATGAGAAATGCAGCTCCTAAAGCTGTTCCACAGCCTTGTGGATCAGACTCTAGTTCAAAAGATCAAGCGATAGCTTCTTGAGACAATCACCTGCACTGATTTGGACGTCCAAGCAGTATCCCATCTCTCTCGGTGATCATATTGTGCCAGGTTTTTGTTTTAATAATAATAAGCTGTGACAACAGAAGGCAAGAAACGGAAGCCAAAGTATATTTTTCATTAATCAAATCGCTGTTTTTATATATCTCCAGTTTATATTCGTTAACCAATCAATCACTACTGAGCATGTGATTTTGGTTTACATCAAACGACATGAAACAGAATGTTCAAATAGATATATCGTATTATGTTGCTAATGCCGAATTGAACTGTGGGAACAAGTGAGAGTAATATCCCGTTGGCACACATTGTCTGTATCACACCACCACCACACTCGTTCCCCCATCAAAGACTTTTGACTGAAGGCCGGTGGATCTTTCCGGTGCTGGTGGCTTTGTTAGCTTGTCTTGCTGTATCGAGTTCTGGAACTCGCTGGCGTTTACCCACTCCTCTTTGTTTGCATTTCTGATCGTATATAGGTGACCCCGTCTCACGTTAACTATGTATGGTCCTTCCCACCTTGGGAGCAGTTTGCATGACCCTGACTCGTATTCGCCAGTGTTTCGCCCCACACTATCATATGCTGCTGTCGTGAGACCTTCCAACAGCGTTGCAAGTAACAGCCTCATCGCTGACAGATTTTGAACGCCACTCAACTGCGAAGAAGCCTCGAAGTCCTGCCCGAAGATCCATATATCTCAATCAAAAACTGCAGGGCATAGGCTTTCCATTTGTCCGTAGGCAGCGACACCAAATGTAACAACAGAAGACAGGGGTCAGGCAACAGATTGTTCATTAAGGAAAATCAACACATATTTATAGATTTTAATGTACATCATTGTAGATTATTGTTAGTAGAAAATACAGTCTTTTGATTGATTGTTTCTCACAGAAAGTTAACCTTGCATCTCTTTGTGGCTGTGTCAGATCATCCATATGCTAACTGTATCCGCCTACGCAAAGCCTTTGTTCTCATTTTCTCACCACCAATATTGGGGACATAAACATTGACGTCAATAACTGTCTACCAACTTTGGCTAGCATCTAGCTCTCACCACACCACCACCACAAAGCTATCCAGACCATGTCAGTCGAATTTTATACTGAATTAGCAGGCGAGATTATCAACTTATAGCGAGACAATAGGAAATATAGTATTGAGTTGGCCGACTGGTATTCATGGAATTGGTGACGATTGAAGGTGCAATGAAGAACTGGCTCGCAGAAGGGTGAAAACCATAGCCCTTGGGAATTACCAGTCCAGAGAACACAATCATACATATATACACTGTTATATTGAATAGGAGTTTAAAAAAAAAACAAGCGATTAACACATGAAGACAACCTAAATGTACCTACCTATAATAAACTGTTGTCGGTAGAACTTGACGAAAATCATTCCAACTTGGTGTACTACTACTGACGATAATGAATGATACAGAACGCTGATGTACATAATTAATGGATAGGTTAAGTTTATGGGTTCGACCTTAAACAATAATAATAATAATAATAATAATAATAATAATAATAATAATAATAATAATAATAATAATGGAACATGACATGAATGCTGAATAATTCATTGAAAGGTTAAAAATGAAGACAAATAAAAATCAGTTTAAAATTTTCAGGGGCTAATTAATTAGTCGATATTTAATTGATTCATATCAGTGGTTAAGGGATAGATTGCTCGGCAGCCAGGTACTTGTCGATCCAGGGCTCGATTCTCGGCCAACGACGCACTCCTTTACCTCGACTAGCCAGTAGTAGGTAAGACTTATTGAAAAAGGAAGGTTGGCTGTGGGGTTACAGACGTCATCCTGTAAAACAAAAACACCAGTGCTAGTGAAACTTAAAAAACTCAAGCTTAATGCCTTCATGTGTCCACTCGGAACGCAGACGAATTGGGAATTCAACTCTTATCACGAATGGTCATCAGTTGGAAGACCAAATTTGGTACTAGCATGAAACACCTGTCCATTACTGCATGATTTTCAATGATCTACAGTGAAACTTAATTTAAATCCCCAGAAAATTCGAAATCTGATTAACCTAATTTGTACTTTACAAGTTATACAATATCACGATATATATATATATATATGTAATGGGTATTACGAAAGTATTCTACAGCCTGAAGTAAACATTGACAGAGGTGTAGAAGATAAACAAAACATATGTGACCAACAGTTAACAAATTTTCAAGTTTGATCTAAATGTCTGATTAGTGTCGATGGTTCAATGGCAGAATGCTCATCAGCCCCCCCCCCCCGTCTGGATCGTCCAAGTTCGATTCTCACTAGTCATCATTACTGTATCGCTTAATGTTATATAAAAACAAGCTTATCTGATACGGAATTATGTTTTACCACAGTGCCTACACATCCCATAATTACACTAATAGTTTTCATATCAGTCTTGCGATGCGTATTAACTAAGTATTTTGTTATGCACGAAGTTGGTAGTCTGTCACCAGCATTTCTCGAGGTTTCACAGTTCAATTGTCTTCCAAGTTATTTCGGTGTATGTTATCCGATCCTCATGTGCAAAGCACAATTACTCCTCCATTTATATATGGGTGACCATACACACACATTCACATACACGTAAATTGATATACACTGTGAAATGTGACATAATCACTTATGCAATATTGAGACTTGTGGTAGAGCATGTCTTTAGCTTTTTCAGTAATTATAAGCCATGTTGCATAGTAGGTTTTACGGACGACAGAATTTGAATGAAGCAATAAAAATAGTTGTGCGTCGGTGGCATAGCGGTTAGGACGCTCGTCGACCATGCACATGGTCCGGGGTTCGATCCCCGGCCACTGACGCACTCCTTTACCTCGCTAAGCCAGAAATAATGCTGGCGAAGAGGAAAGGTTGGGCATGAGGCTAGCAACCCCATCCTGTAAAAAATAAACACTGCTTCTGAAACTTCAAGCCTTTAGCTTGAAGCCCTATGTTCCACTGAGGAAAGTGAAGGAATAAAAAAATAAAAATAGTTTGTGCAAAATAATATAATACCATTATTGTTTACTTTATTGGCTACTCATCAGCGGCTTACAGACTAAAGATATATTTTTAACTTTATATACAGAAACAATTTTAACATACTTGCGATTTTCACATGATGTCAGTTGACAGAGAGTCCAAGTTTACATTTTTTAGAACAACGACTACCTTTAGAGATTTATTAACAAGTAACGGAAGATGTGAAAGCTCAAATGTCAAATCATTCAAATCGACTTGAAAGGTGATAATATTTCAGGAATAGTCAACACAAGGTTGAATTTGTCATTAGCCAGAGCCTATCCTGCAGCTAGCTAAGTTGGTTCCCGTTCATCGAACAGCATACTCTTTGGTGCAATTAAAAGTCGACAAATAGCTCTCTTATGTTAACTTTAACTGTGTATACAAATTTACCTGTATCTGCAAGAGTAATTGTATCGGAATAACAGAGAGAAAGAACATGTACCAAAAAGCCCACGTCTCAAGTGAACAAACGCTTCCAATAATGTCACTGCTAGGCATCTCCTTGATACCGGGTCATGATGTGGACATCGCAAAATCCCTTACAATTATCAATAGACTAAATAGCTGAATTCTCGTCAAGTTTACTGAAGTAATCTTTATCAAACGCCTGAAATCCAATTTATATGTTCAGAGAAGGCAGTCATACGACTTTCCTTGCTCTGCCTGGTAACTGGATGTCTTTATTCCCCCTTTCATGTGATCATGTAATCTTAGGCTTTAACGTCTTGTCTTTATTATTACACGACTCCTTTACCATTATATGCATACACTGAATTTTCGTTTATACATGAACTCTTTGGATAAGTATGTTAATAGTGTTTCTGTACTCATTAGATTGTAAGCAGCTGATGAGAATGGGGGGGGGGGAATAAATGTGTATGAAACATCTTCATCTATTAAATAGGTATTGAAGCTAAAAAAAATTCCAAGACTACGTGATTATAATACACATAAACTTACACAAGCCAATAGCTCCATTCGACTTTTCAATAAGATCAGATTCTAAGGTTGTTAAGTTACGCGATAAGTTAACGCTAGTGCGTATAAATTGTTGAATTTTTTCTGGGCATAAATTACGATTTAATGTAACTACTACTCTTCCGTGTAGAATAGTTAAATGTGAAGATATCGGTGTCCAGAGGTCTTTAAGTTGACTATTCCAAGCGATTTCTAGAACAGTTCTGCACCGAAAGAGTAAAAGAAAAAAGGAGAATAAAAACAACAGGGATAGAGACACTATTAAAAGTTATTTGTAGACATTCTATACAATGTGTACTCTGTCCTCCTTTATGGCTGTGAGATATGGCCAATGACAGTGAAAGGCATCGGGGAAAAGAAGGCTAGCCACCTTTGATCACAGATGTTTGCGTTCAGTGGTATAAGATTGGTGTGTAATATTGAAGTTAGGGATAGAGTGTTAGGTAGGGAAGAAAGACCCGGCCGATAACTGCTACCTTGCCGTGGTGGTCGGGCTTGAATGCCGCAGTGACCCAACAAGCTAAACTGGCTGGGACTCATGTCCCTGCAGGTCCTACCATGCCAGGAAGGTTGTTTGGATAGTGGTTAGACTAAAAGCAGTTACCATGGGGTACATGGGCTCCAGTTTCCAATTGGATCTAATGGCGTATGAACCCATATGGGTCACCGGCAACCATGGGAACGCAGCACCTGACGCTGCTCCGCTGCCTTGCGGATTAGAATCCAAGTCAAAGGCTTGGGGGGTGGTCCCTTAAGAAAACCAACTGCTTCGGTCTGGGCACCCGGGCAGTATCTCAGCCCTCACACAATGAATGAAATAAAGCAACAAAATATCAGTGGAACTTATCGCGCGCTCGTAACAACGCGTTCAAGCAATAATGATGTCTCAAGTAACACATCTCTTTCCAACCTTACTTTTATCTATATACTTAGTTTCCTGTATTTTACCTTTGCTCACCTTGACTTCTTAACCTTCGGCAGCCTTTCGCCTTTGTCTGGATTCCTAACCTATCTGTGTCGTGTTGCAATTTCCTTCTTTCTTCCCTTCCTGATGATAGTTAACGAATACTGTTTGAACTTGTTAAACATGACAGTTTTCCTTCTTGATGAAGTTCTTTATCTGTTTTCTACTTATATTTTTACTTTTAATCTATGTTGTTTTATTATTATTGTGTGGCGCATGCTTCTTGGTGCCATATTGTACCAAGTTTTTCTGCGTTTAAATATAATATAAATAAAACAAGGGAAGAAAGATCAATGGATGATGTTGTGAAGCTACATCGACTGAGGTCACTAGGACGCTGCTGCTACCTGGTTAGCGTGCTCGGGATTCTTAGAACTACTAATGGCGGCTAGAGACAATTGATGGAATGTTTAATTCAATTTCAGATTTTTTTTCCGGTCGATTGATTGGACCGAAGTGTTCGCTTTCAGGTTGACATGTCGGCACAAGGGGTGGGCTCTTGTGGCTCAACTGGTCTAGTGGATAACGCGCTTTAGCGTTTGAAACTCGATGGGAACATCATCACTCATTGAGGAATGCAGGCGCATCCAGCTCACCGTGAGTTCCAAATAGGATGAAATGCGCGTTGTCCTGCATTCCAATGTTAGTCACCATCCATCAATTAGCTTCTGACTGATGATGATATGGTTTGAAATCTTTCTCAGTGGTAGGGATGCATTCACTCTTTGTGATTTGTCATTTCCATTAATCCCTCATTGTTTCTACATGCTCCTATTTTTTCTTCCTCACATTTATGCTTGTTATTGTACTTTCAAATCTTTTTTTTCCTTTATATATGTCCAAACCAAGTTCACTTTTAACAGTTTGATCAAATTGCAACTTTACACATCGTCATCACAGAACAAAGCATAGAATGGCAATCAAACCTCCACATAAACTTCATCGACTTCGAGAAGGCCTTCGACAGACAGCGTAGACTGTGAAGTAATTTGGAAACTACTTCAACACTACGGCGTACCTCAAGTCTTTGTCAACCTCATTCAACAGCTGGCTATATGACAATGCCACTTGTCAAGTGATCCACAACGGAAAACTCAGAGAGGCGTTGGAAGTGGATGGCTGTCTGTTATCAGACATGATATTTTTAATTGTGGTGAACTGGACTATGCATCAGACTGTTGGGGCCGACGAGACAGGAATACGCTGGACCATCGATAAGAAGACTCTAGAAGATCTGGATTTCGCAGATGATATATGTCTACTGTCACACAAACTCGAGGACTTGCAAGCGAAAACCAACAAACTGGCTGAAGAGGCAGCGAAAACAGGACTGCAGGTAAACACAGAGAAGACGGAGGTAATGAAGGTAACCAACCACCACCAACCACAGCAACAACCAGCACCAATCACCACCAACGGGAGGGATTCAACAGAGGTTGCCTCCTTCACTTATCTGGCCAGGAAGCATCGTTTCAACTACAGGCGGCGCAACGGACGAAGATGTCAAAGTCATCGAGAATCGGAAAGGCAAGATATGCCTTCATCAACCTGAAACCAGTTTGGAAATCTTCCGCACTCAGCCAGCATAAGGAACAAGATTCACATTTTCAGCACCAATGTCAAGTCGGCCAGTTCTTCTTTACGGGTCAGAAACTTGCAGTGCGTCTTACGAAAAGGATTTCCAACAGGTTACAGACTTTCATCAACAGCTGCCTTCGCCGGCTGCATACTGAAGATCAAATAGCCAGCCAGAAAGAATAAGCAACAAAAAACTATGGGAACAAACCAACAGGTGAGAGCCGATCGCTCAACAAATATGTAGGAGAAAGTGGGGATGGATCAGGCATAAATTGAGGAAGCTGCCGAATGACATCGCACACCAGGCCATGCTCGAGTGGAATCCCGCTGGGAAGCGACGAGTGTGTCGTCCTAGGGTGACATAGAGGAGATCGTGTGAGGAGCAGATGAGAGAGTTTGGTCAGTCGTGGACCCAGCTGAAGAGGACGTCAGAAGATAGGACAAAGTGGAGATGTGTTGTTGGAGTCCTATGTTCCACTCAGAACGCAAGGGAATAATAATATGCATTCCTCCAAAGAACTCAAATATACAAAAACTGAGGCTGATCCAATTGGTCTAGATATATATCAACGGGAAATCCAAAAAATGAATAAATCATTTCAAATCATACCCGCCGTTACACAAGAGGCGTTTCTGGTGGCGTTTTAAAAGATACAGGGTGTTAATTTCATGTCTTCAAAGGGAACACATCACCACTCACTAAAGATACAAATATCATACATTTATTTCCCTTAATGAATTTGAACAAAGCAACAACTACAGTTTTTGCAGAATAAAGCGGTACCATCATTTATTTCGTTGCCTTCTCATTAGCTGCTTACAGGCCAAAGTCATTATTAACTGTATCTACAGAAACAATTTTAACATACTTGCACAGAGTTCATTTTAAACAAAAATCAATCGACCAATATATGCATACAGTAATTATATATATAAATATATATATATATATATATATGCAATAATAAACACTATTCCGAACAATAATAATCATAAACAATGGAAACTTTTCAGCATCTCGAATTCGGATGAAAAATATCCAATTACCAGGCAAGGTAAAGAAAGACTGATAACCACTTCTTTCTGGACGCATAAATCAGGTTTCAGGCGCTTGATGGAGATGGCTTCAGCAAACTTAAGGAGAATTGAGTTCTTTTGTCTGTTGATAATTTTGAGCGACTTTTCGACGTCCACCTCATGACCCGTGTCGAGGAGATGCCTGGCGATGGCACTGCTTAAAGCATCTGTTTTCTTTAGATGTAAACTTTTTGGTACATGTTCAGAAAGTCGTAGATATGCCCTTCTTTCTGTCCTTCCAATGTAACTGCTCCCGCAGATACATGTAAATTTGTATAAACAGTTGGAGTTAACATGAGAAGGATATCTATCGATTTTTGATTGCATCAAAGAGCAAGTTGTTCGATAGACGGGAACGACCTTAGCCGCAGGATAGGCTATGGCTAGTGATGTGCTCAGCCTTCTGCTGATCATCGCTGCAATGTTTTCACCTTTATAATCAAGCTGAAAGTAGATGGGCCTTTTTCTCACTGTGATTCGTTTTACATTTGTGACTTTAGATCCTCCATACTTGTTGATGAACCTTTGAAGGTACCCATTGCTCTTCAATATCTTTTCAAGAAACTCAAATTCTTCCTCTAATTTCTCCATAGAGCATATTCTCCTCGCTTTATAGTACAGAGTCTTGACTAGAACACGTTTGAAGCTTATTGAGCTCAATCAATAGGCAAAAGAGCTCAATTCTCCTTAAGTTTGCTGAAGCCATTTCCATCAAGCCCCTGAAACCTGATTTATGCGTCCAGAAAGAAGCGGTTATCAGTCTTTCTTTGCCCTCGTAAATGGATATTTTTCATCCGAATGCGAGATGCTGAAAAGTTTCCATTGTGTATGATTATTATTATTGTTCGGAATAGTGTTTAATATTGCATATATGTATATATTATTACTGTAGCATATACTGATCGATTGATTTTTGTTTAAAACGAACTCTGTGCAAGTATGTTAGAATTGTTTTTGTAGACATATTTAATAATGTCTTTGCCCTGTAAGCAGCTGACGAGAAGGCAACGAAATAAGCAATGATGGTACCATTTTATTCTGCTAAAGCTGTAGTTTTTGCTTTGTTCAGATAGAAATATGTCCAGCTGACGACGACCATTTCAAATAGGATAAACAGGCATCCTTCCAATTCCACAACCACTCACAACCAAACAAGCAACTTCAAGTTATTCGTTGTAAGTATTATTAAAAGAGATTACCGTTATGCATATAAACCAATAAATACTCTTGACAAACAGAATATGATTTATACAAAGGGTAGAATAAAATTTTAAAATAAAACAGAATATTTGTTTGACATACGTTGTTGAACCACTGGATATATTTCTATCCCGTTGTAATCCATGTATAACTCGTAATGATTGAAGAAAAGCTAACGATTGTAGGGAATCAGAACTGATCACATGTAGACTGGTATAAATCTCTTCAAGATCAGAAAATGCATCCATAAATTCGGAATTATGTATATCTAGATTAATGATTAAAAAATTTATATAATTAGATTTTTTTAATAGTTGGTTTGTAAGGATTAGTTTTGTTTTTACGAGTTGATCACGGATTGATATCAGTGGCTGAAAAGTATACGAGCTCGCTCGCTAGCCTTGTAACCGGAAGGTCCTAGGTTCGAACCCGGTTGTGGTGGGTGCGTACTGCCGATGATTCCCAAACTAAGACGGAGGAAACAGCTGTCCAGTACTCCTATACTGGTTTTCAATGCTTCTCTAACTGATATCAATCCGTGGTCAACTCGTAAAAATATAATTAGATAGATAAATGATAATCACATTTTGGGTTTTGTAGCCATGTTGATTCCTTTCAGTGAAGATTTCATGAGGAATGGATATCAGTAGGAGAATTATTGAAAACCAAGGGGCAATAGACAGTTATTTCATCCTAGTATGGAACTCTTCAACTGAGAAAAACAAAGTCTGAATATCAGTCTCCAGCTAATTAGTGACTATGGATGAGATGGATTTCTCAAAAGTTTTACTGCGAAGTTGTATCCATTTGGGTCCACCATGTCAGGACGAAGCAGATGCTGATTCATGATTATTATTATTGTTTCCTTTAATTCCTAGAGGAACATAGGGCTTCAGCCGTGTGTCTCCATTGCGTTCGGTTCTCTGCTAGAGTCTTCACCTGGCTCCAAGTCTGTCCGCACGTTTTCATCTCCTCTTCACATGACCTCCTCCAAGTCACCCTTGCACTGACGACCAACTCGCCGCTTCCCTTTCGGGTTCCACTCGAGCAATGGCTTGTCTAGTGATGTCACGTGATGGTTTCCTCAGAGTATGGCCAGCCAATCCATCTCCATTTCTTCCTGCCTATTTGTTTCACAATCGGGTCCTGGTTGGATCACTCATTGCCAGAGATCTCTGTTGCTGATCTTTTCTGTTCGGCCATCTGATCTGGAGTACTGAGAAAAGACAGCTGTTGATGAAGGTCTGTAGTTTGTTTGAGATGCTCTTTATGACGCGCAATGCAAGTCTCTGATCCGTATGGTAGCACTGACTGACTTCACATTGGAGTTGAAAATCCGGATCTTATTTTTCATGCTGAGTGCTGTTGACCTCCACACAGACTTGAGAGTGGTGAAAGGATTCCGTAAGTTTCCCGTTGTGGATTACTTGGCATGCAGCATTGTCGTACAGCTGATTCATGATGTTGGCCGGCAATTGACCTACATGGCAAATCGACAGAAATCAGCATTCGCTGGTTATTGAATTTCATTCCAATAGCTGAATGATTAATAGAATGGCCTGGCGACCTTAAAGCCTTGGCTTCATGGGTGCGCACTGCTAAAGAGACTGCTATAGACTGGAAAGAAACAGCTGTCCAGTGCCTACTGGTTTTCAATGTTTCTCTGACTGATGTCGGTTCATAACAAAGTCTACATTGAGAACATTTATAAAGTTAGAATGGGAATAAGAGAAAAAGGAAGCAGTGCAACCAGTAGATATAAACAACAGAGACTGGAAAGTCATTGATAAGAAGGATGGCTATCAATACAAGTGAAGAATAGAAGTATAAGCGATTCTGCTGGCCACCCAGCAAGACAAACACTTCAAGAGTTAGTCTGTAGGGATTTGATCAAATGCCTGGTTGGGAGTGAAGACAAATACTCACCACCAATGACATTCACTGGTGGCCGCGCTAAAATCAGGAATTGGTAAAGGCTAGAATTCATAGGGCTAGCCGTTGAGCCGGGTCCCAGTGGCTAAAAATGGTCTACAATCTAGCTCGCCTTGTAACCGCAAGGTCCTGGATTCGAACCCCTCCCCCGGTGGGTGCGTACTACTGAACAGTCCCAAACTAGCAGGAAACAGCTCTGCAGTACTCTGTGGTTTTCGATGGTCCTCTAACACATAACAATCCATAGTCAATCTTGAAGAAGAAAAATCACATTGACGTAGCCGCTGAAGATGTGGTCTATAGTAGAAGGACAATAAAAGCTTCAAAATTTCACCGTCCATCTTAGAGAACACAACGAGACTATAAAAAACCATCAAAAAAGGCTTAATAATCATGCACACGAAGTAATTTGGAAACTACTCGAGTACTACGGCGTACCCCAAATATTCATCAACCTTATTCAACATCTGTACGACAACGGCACATGCCAAGTGATCCACAACAGAAAACTCAGCGAGGCGTTTGGAGTAAACACAGGAGTCAGAAAAGGGTGTTTACTTTCACCAGTGATGTTCCTAATTGTGGTGGACTGGATTATGCGTCATACAGCGGGAAACGAGAAGACAGAGATATCCTGGACCGACGTGAAGAACCAAGAAGACCTGGATTTCGCGCGTGGATGATTTATGTTTGATGTCACACAAAATCGAAGACTTACAAGCCAAAATTGACAAACTGGTCGAAGAAGCAGCAAAGACAGGACTCCAGGTGAACACAGACAAGACAGAGGTTATGAAAATAACTAACCAACCAACAACAACAGCAGCATCCAGAGCCAATCACCATCAACGGGAGGGATTTGAAAGAGGTTACTTTATTCACTTATCTAGGAAGCATTGTCTCAACTACAGGAGGTACGGACGAGGATGTCAAATCGAGAATCGGGAAGGCGAGAGACACATTCATCAACCTGAAACCATTCTGGAAATCTTCGTCACTCTGCGTCAACAACAAAATTCGGACTTTCAGTACAAACGTATTCAGAAACTTGGCGGGTCACAAAGAATATTTCCAACAGCCTGTTGCAGACCTTTATCAACAACTGTCTTCGCTCTATACTCAAGATCAGATGGCCAGAGAGAATCACCAACAAGAAACTATGGGAACAAACAAAACAAGAACCAATCGCTCAACAAATATGCAGGAGAAAGTGGAGATGGATTGGACACTCGCTGAGGAGGCCGCTGGGTGACATCGCGCGTCAGGCCAGTGCTCGAGTGGAACCCGAAAGGGAAGCGGCGAGTGGGACGTCCAAGGGTGACATGGAGGAGGTCGTGTGAAGAGGAGTTGAAACAGTGTGGACTAACATGGATGCAGGTGAAAAGTATAGCAGAAGACAGAAACAAGTGGAGACGTGCAGTTGAAGCCCTTTGTTCCACTAGGAACCCAAGGGAACAATAAAAAAATAAAATAAATCATGCACACACACACAAAAGAAAACAGGTCTAATCAACATTTTAAAAACCAACCTTCACAATCACGAAGACTGATTAGAATCGATTGAGCTGTTACACATCCATGTACTTGTTTAAGATCTGAAACTTTATACACATGTATATCACCACAAGCTCGTTTAGCACATTTCGATTCAGGACAGAGTAAACACTCTCCAGAAGAAGTTGAACGTACATATCCCAATGGACATTTGGAAACACAAGTTGTATTGAAAATAGAATAATTCATTGAATAATGTTCATTGCCATTTTGTATTACCACCTCTTGACGATTAATGCATTCTTCACGTGTTATACAATAAAGATTATTCAACTGGACGGGTATTAATGTGAAATGTGAAACAAAACAAAAAAATAGAAAGGAAGTATAATGTATAACGTTTAAAAATAATAATAATAAGCAAATCTACAGTTTCACTGGCTTACAAAGCTAAATCACACACACTTTAGCTGGTCGATGTCTGAAGTCAGTTACCCCGAGGAGGAGGGATTTTATGCCTCAGGCTATGTATGAGTCATATTTACTGTATGACACACCTGATGATACTATCGGGACTCGAACCCTAGACTAACTGACTGAAATGTGTTTAAGCCAATGAACTACGTCTTCTTTGTTGTTTTTTTATTCCTTCACGTCCCCAGTGAAACATAGGGCTTCAAGCTAAAGGCTTGAAGTTTCGGTGAGGTGATAGCGTATGCCTAATCTTTTACCAGTCTTATTAGTGCTGAAATGAGTCGGCCGGGGATCGAACCCCGGACCATGTGCATGGTCGGCTAGCGTGCTAACCGCTATGCCACCGACGTCTTCTTTGATTGGACAGTGGTAACTAGTGTTATGCGTCTAGTCCTTTTTTTGGTGCAGACTGAATTCTCTCAGTCAGGTCTGAAATGTGGCCACCATTCTAGGTAGCTCCAAAGAAGGCACTAGACGCATAACACTAGCTACTGACTAGTATCCAATACAGTCCTACTGGAGGTCAATCGCGAGCCCGAATAGCTCAGTGATGACCTCTCTGACTGCAGTAGTCACTGGGTGACACGGGTTCGAATCTCAGATGAGGGACATGAGTTCCTTCAACGGTTGCAGATACGCCTTGCTGATTGACTGGTGAGTGCCAACTAGCACGAAACCTAGGTCGGGCAAGGCTTCCTGCAGATCGCCTCCAACCATCTAAGAACTACGTCGTCTTCACCTATATCTGATTGAAGACAAAACAATATCAGTGTATTATCTTCAGGTTGATACTACTGACCACTAAAAATACTAACAGAGATATTCTACTGATTATTGTGTCGCTCATGTATGGTGTGATCATTGTTTGAGTAGTGCAGAGTTTCAGTCTGATGTCTTAGATAAGACAAATGCGTTCCATGGAAGATTTGTACGTTTCCATCCATTAAGATAACGATGGGTATATAGTGTTGATGCCTAACCTGTTGATGTACTTCATGTTAACTACAAGATTGTCAGCTTCTGTGTGCCGGTGCTGTGTCACTACTCAACAACTAGTTTTGATTCCAGTTTGTTTGTTTTCAACATAGAACTTTGCACCGATGTGCGGCAGTTCAAGTCGCCACACTCCCTTCATGTAGCACACAAAGCAAGAGAAGAAAGTAAAAAGGAATGCATACTAGAGACAGTAAACAGAGGTGTGAGACAAAGGAATAGTAATAACGGAGAACAAAACAGTTTCATTGGAAATCATAAGTCACAAGGAGTGGATGCGTCTGCGCCAGCCATTGAGAACGATTTTGAGCCATGTCACCAGTTGTTCCCAACCATTGCTTTTTACCGTCCCGAGGACCCCAACCAATTAGGAAGTCTACACCTTCCTACGTGACTGGCTTAGACTAACTGTTGTAGATTTCATTGACTGATGAGGCCATGTTTTCGTTTGACCACCGCTAGCTCTTTTCCAGCCTGACCCTATATCAGCTAACATTGCCCGTCGGTTGAGGAAGGCGATGACTAGGCATACGTAACACATGTCCTAAGCATCTCAGTCGATGTAAATGAGTCACTTTTGAGTCCAGTGACTCATTTTACACAACGCCTACCTTCTGATATTCTCTACACCTGAAACATGATCATACAACAAAGGTATTTTCAATAATTAAGAAGAATACAAAGCACGGATAGATGAAAAACAACATAATGTATATATATATGCTACCTTACCAAATAAAATGGTTTCGGACAATGACTCAGACAAGTTCCATTAATTTTAACATGTTTACAGGTTAAACAATTATTCGCCGACGGACCAAAACAACCGCCAGAACACTCTTGATGACAGCATTTCTGTGGGTTATCTAGATGACATGTTAATCCATTATTTGTGCAGAAAGAACTACATTCTACAGTGTAATAGAAAACATTTTTTTTTTAAAGAAAAAAGCATAAAGTTCATTTAAAAATGGAACATTATCTTGAATGAGTTAAAACTATGGAAAAATAATAAATTCAGGAAAAGGAACCTAATTCATTCGCTCTACTTTAGGATAAAAAAAAACAGTTGTACTTCTGATTACGTTGACTCAGAACTTGACTTTTTAAAAGCCACGTTCGCAGAAAACGGTTACCCGAACCGATTTGTTGACAGCAACACGAAAGATAAGCAGTCTAAACTGGTCACCGACTCAGTTCCAAAGAAAACATTATTCATGAACTTGGAATTCAAAGGTGATCAGGCGTCACAGATATGCTCAAAAACTGTCTGTCTAAATCAGTCAGTAAGACGTTCTTTGCAGCAAAATTACAAATGATGTTCACCGGCCGTAAGTTGTTCCTCATCTCTGTAAAAGGTGAGCTCCCTCATCTGGCCACCTCCATGTGCATCTATCAGTTCACCTCCTCTTGTGGAGCAAAGTACATAGACCGTAGCCAGAGGATGCTTTCAACATTGATACGAGAACGTATTCCAGCATGGTTTTACGAAGGAGAAAGGAAGTGTATGCGAAGCTCTATTCTAAAACACCTGATCGACTCCTGTCACTCTACCAACCCTGACCATGATTTTAAGATCATCTACCGAATCCATGCTAACTTGCCGCGTTTTCTTCGTTCTAAACTTCTAAAGACAGCGGAGGCCTTGGCTATTCATGAATTCTTAAATTCAGGTGTCACGATGCTTCTTTCAAAGAGCAAAGGCTGCTGATACGTAGAAAGTGTTATTAATAATCACATGACAGCAGAAATACTGCTCAGAAGAAGCAAATTTGATCGATTATTTGGCAAAATACTTTAAAAGTTTACTTTGAAGACCAACTGCCAGTTAAGTTTTTATTTATGCAAAAACGTCTGCTCCAATATTACTGGTTTACATTTTTTTTGAACACCTTATCATTACACTAACTTCCCAAAAATGGTTCTTTGACTAGAAGGAGACAATGTAAGCATGGAGTGTTCCAAAATCAATGTTGACTAACAGCATAGTAACTGTGAAACAAGAAGGTTATTTAGTGCACATGATTCTTGATGACTAATATGTAATCACAAGTGCAACAGGTTGTAATACATACTAGATTTCTTAAATCGTTTAGTTTGTATAATACTCAGCTTGATTCATCCCACTTGGCAGCAGCACATTCTAGAAAGATTCAAAGTTTAGGTTAGTGTGTCAGTGGTTTAGTGGTAGGATACTCATCACCGACACACTCCTAAAAACAAGTCGTTCAGCCGGTAGTAAGCATGGTGAAGCGGGAAAGATAGGGGCATGAAGCTAGCACCCCAACACCGCTACTGAGAGTTCACAGATCGCGTCTGAAACCAGATGTTCCACTTGGAACGCAAAGGTAAGAAAAATGAAAACTAGAAGGATTATGTGAAGTCCCCTACAAATATGATTGTTATGCAAGCTATGCTCATTATAGTGTAAAAAAATAATATAATCCAGTTATATGCTAAGGTGTGAAAGGTTAAATCTGTGGACATTTACAAAACTATCTGGTCACTGGAATCAATGTAAGTCTGACTGGTTTCAACGTAGAACTTTGCACAGATGTGCAGCAGTTCGAGTTGCCACTCCCTCCATACAGCACACATAGAGCAAGAGAAGAGAGGAAAGAGAGATAATAAACAGAAATGTGAGTGAGGTGATGTGGTGTGAACATTTTCATAAACGTTTAGCATTTATATTATACACTATTCACATCTTTCCTTTTTGTTTAAACCAGATTCTATACTGGAATTATAAAACGAATAAAGCCTTTATTGCGGGCCCTCAATATTCTCACTTGATCGGTGAATGTTTGATTAACTCATAAACACTACAATTTATTCGTTTTATTATGGACAAGATATTACGTCCTGAACGCTTTGATGCTGATTCCAATTGCCAAACATCTTCGAAGATTTGGAATCATTGGTTTCGTACATTCAATACTTTTATCACTAAATCTTCAACTCCAGATTCAGACAAACTTGATGTTCTCATCAACTATATCTCACCTACTGTATATGAATACATTGCTGAATGTAAAACATTTGACGGCGCTCTTAGTACTCTTGAGAAACTGTATGTCAAACCAAAGAACGAGATTTTTGCTCGACATCTATTATCCACATGCAAACAAGAAACTGGACAGAGCCTCGACCAATTTTTACAAAAACTGAAATCTCTGGCAAAAGATTGTTCATTCAAACCTGTCTCGGCTGAACAAAATCAGAATGATGCAATACGTGACGCATTCATAAGTGGAATGCAATCTAATAATATACGACAACGTCTTCTGGAAAACAAATTACTTGATCTTGATACTGCTTATGAACAAGCTCGATCCCTAGAAATGGCTTATCAACAATCACATTCGTTTCATCCTTCCGAATTCTCCAATTCTGCTGCAATATCAAACAGTGATACATCAAATGAACTAAACTCTTATGTGGGTGAAACAGGATTGACTGCTTCAATAAATGAGAAATGCTACTTCTGTGGATTTACTAGACATCCTCGCTCTAAATGTCCTGCAAGCGATGCAGTATGCAAACTCTGTGGTAAGAAGGGGCATTATCAGAAGGTCTGCCGGTCAAAATCGTACACCAAAACTACATCAGTTACTAGTTCTTTGTTGTCTTCCATGACTCTAGCCGCCGCTCCACAGTCTCTCTCCAATGCGGTTGTGCAGATTTTTGTAAATGACATTCCCCTACAAGCCCTCGTAGATACTGGGAGCTCAGACAGTTATATTTCTTGTGCAGTCGTTCAAAAACAACATATAAAGGTAGTGCATTCTCGCACTTCAATCACAATGGCTTTCACAAGTCTGACAACTCATACTCATGGTCACTGTTATGTAAATCTACGTTATAAAGACTCGAGTTACTCACATATCAAACTTTCAGTGTTGCCAAATCTGTGTGCTGACGTGCTATTAGGTCATGATTTTTTACGCTTGCATAATAAACTCGAAATTCCATTTGAAGGTAAAAACAATCCATTTTCACTGTGTAATCTTGTTGCTGCACATATTGATCCACCTCCCTTGTTTCATAACCTAACACCCAAATGTGTTCCGATCGCTACAAAATCACGAAGACATTCCACTTTTTTTTTTTTTTTCATCAAGCTGGAAATCGAAAATTTACTCAGTGAGCAGATCATCGAGCCATCTAACTCCCCTTGGCGCGCCCAAGTTTTGATCACTACTAATGAACGCCAAAAGCGTAGAATGGTGATTGATTACAGCCAAACGATAAATCGTTTCACATTATTGGATGCCTATCCACTCCCAAAAATTGATGAGATGATTGAAAAGATTTCAAAATATACTGTATTTAGCACTTTGGATTTAAAGAGTGCTTACCATCAAATACCCATCAAAGAAGAAGAGAAACTCTTCACAGCTTTTGAAGCTTGCGGCAACCTCTATCAGTTCCGTCGTATTCTCTTTGGTGTCACAAACGGTGTTTCGTGTTTTCAGAGAGTTATCAGTCAGATTATCAGAAATGAAAATCTTCAAGCTACATTTGCTTATTTAGATAATATAACTATTTGTGGTGAAAACACAGAACAACATGCAAAAAATCTTGCCCGGTTCTATGAAGCATCCAGAAAATATGGGCTAACATTCAATGAGAATAAAAGTGTTATTGGCGTTAAACAAGTAAAACTTCTAGGCTATGAAGTTTCTCATAAAATGATCAAACCTGATCCCGATAGACTTCAAGCATTATGGAATTTATCACCTCCAAGAGATCTTAAATCCCAACAGCGAGTCATTGGTCTCTTTGCGTATTATTCACAATGGATATCTCATTTCTCCGATAAAATTCAACCCCTTATACAAAATAAAATCCTTCCATTACCAGGTACTATTGTAAGCTCATATGCAGCATTAAAAAATGAACTTGCTCAATCTGTGATGACTACTGTGGATCTCGACTTGCCCCTTATAGTGGAAACCGACGCTTCGGATACTGCTATAGCTGCTACGTTAACACAAAATGGTAGACCCGTTGCATTTTTTTCCAGAACACTATCACCAAGTGAACGGCATCACTCAGCGGTGGAGAAAGAAGCTTATGCCATCGTCGAAGCTATTAGAAAATGGCGTCATTATTTACTTGGTACTCATTTCCAACTCATTACAGACCAACGATCAGTTTCTTTCATATACGATATGAACCACCATGGGAAAATAAAGAATGACAAGATTCAGCGTTGGCGAATAGAACTTTCTTGTTACAGTTTTGATATAATCTACCGTTGTGGCAAAGAAAACAAAGTCGCCGATGCATTATCTTGCGGATATTCTGCTTCTGTCATGGGTGAAACTAATCTGAAAGACCTACATAACTCTCTGTGCCATCCAGGAGTTGTTCGCCTTCTTCACTTTGTGCGTTCTAAGAACCTACCTTTTTCTGTTGATGATGTGAAGAGGACGATATCTAGTTGTGCAGTTTGTGCTGAGCTGAAACCCAGGTTTTGCAAAGTATCCACAGGAAATCTTATTAAAGCGACTTCTCCTTTTGAACGTCTAAATATTGATTTCAAAGGACCTCTTCCTTCAAACTCCCGGAACAAATATCTTCTTACGATAATTGACGAGTACTCTAGATTTCCGTTCGCTTTTCCTTGCCAGGATATGACAGCATCAACTATTATTAATTGCCTGTGCCAGTTGTTTTCCCTGTTTGGTATACCATCCTACATGCATTCAGACAGAGGATCGTCGTTTATGTCTGCAGAATTAAAACATTTTCTCCACGATAAAGGAATAGTTACCAGTAGAACAACAGCATACAACCCCCAATCAAATGGACAGATTGAACGTCTCAACGGCACTCTCTGGCGATGTATATCACTAGCTGCTAAATCTAGGTCCATACCAATCTGTGAGTGGGAGGTTGTTCTCCCCGACGCTCTTCATTCTATCCGTTCTCTTTTATGTACTGCCACAAATACTACTCCACACGAACGGATGTTCAGGTACAATCGAAAATCAACGTCTGGTGTTTCTCTTCCCAGTTGGTTAACTATTCCTGGACCGGTCTTGATGCGGCGTAATGTACGTTCTAAATATGAATCTCCAGTTGATGAAGTTGAACTGATTGAATGTAATCCCAAGTATGCTCATGTGAGACTTCCAGATGGACGTGAGGAAACAGTATCTATTCATCATCTTGCACCAAAAGAACATATATTTCAATCGCCCGTTAGCATGCCGATTCCAGACGCAGTACCAGAATGCCTCCAAAATCAACTTACTGAAGACGACATATCCACCCGTTCTACAGATACTGAAACTCCTATTTTGACGGACAATTTAAGTGAAAATGTCAAAATTGATCCGAACCCATCTTCTTTACTAGAGAAACAATGAAGGGTTCGTCCATACAATCTGAGAAGCCGCGAAGTCTAAACAATTTTAAAAGTCTTGACTCCTTATGCTCTGTATTCTCAAACAAAAGGGGAGAAGAATGTGGTGTGAACATTTTCATAAACGTTTAGCATTTATATTATACACTATTCACATCTTTCCTTTTTGTTTAAACCAGATTCTATACTGGAATTATAAAACGAATAAAGCCTTTATTGCGGGCCCTCAATATTCTCACTTGATCGGTGAATGTTTGATTAACTCATAAACACTACAGGTGAAAAGAATAGTAATATGGAAGAACAATAGGCCTTTTTGGATATGACAAATCACAAAGAGTGGATACATTATCACCAGCCGTTGAGAACGACTGTGATCCATATCACCAATTGTCTCCAGCCGTTATTGGGTTTTACCATCCCGAGGACCCCAACCAGACAGCAAGTCAGTCTACATCTCCCTACGTGGCTGGCTGGCTGACTGGCTTAAACTAACTTGTGGATTTGATTGACGGATGAAACCATGATTTGGTTCGACCACCACTACCTCTTTTCCAACCTGATTAATCCTATGTCAGCTGACATTCGTCGACGAGGAAGGCGATGGCTAGGCTAGTCATGCGTAACACACGTCCTAACCATCTCTCTTAATCGATGCGCTTACTTCACAACCTCGTCGATTGATTTCCCCTCCTTACCTAGCACTCGACCAACGCCTAACCTCAATATTGCTCACCCTATTATACCACTTAACACACCGGAGGTAGGACGCAGGGACCTATGATCAAAGACAGGTGGCCTTTTCATGTCTTCCACTTTAAATGGCCAGGTCTCACAGACATAAAGGAGGACGGAAAGGACTGCTGAGCTCCACCGCCTCACCCCTATCTTTAAGCTAGGAGTAATCGATGTAGTCCAGTCCTGTAGCATCATCTGACAGAAGCAGGTGAATCACATGCCAAACATTCGCAGATTGCAGCTCAAGGTGTTCAGAAGACTCTGCATTTTGTCAGCATCTTTACCTAGAAGGACTATATCATCTGCATATTCTTATATTTTATATTTTATATTTTTGATTACAGCTTGATGCCACACCGTATTTTCAGTACAAGTATGGCATTTTCAGCATGGATATCGGTAGCCAATTCGGACCATGTGCATGGCGGGAGAGTCCTAACCACTGTCCACACGCTCAACGAGATTATTCCCTGGTGGTTACAAGTTATTCCCTGAGTCGCTGAAGTCAGTTAGGGTTAAGTCCATGTATACAAGTGTTGGATGTCCTGGATGTCTGGCCCCATTCAAAAAGGCGTATGAACCGAACTCCGGTCACCGGCTGCCAATGGATAGTGGACCCCCTACTCCACTCCTACTGCCTTGTAGGTCACACTTGGTCGTGTAAAGGCTAGAGCTGCACTCTCAAACAAAGATTCTGGACATATCAATGGTGGCATGTTGCACCGACCAGATGACGATCTGGTCAAATCAGTTCTAAATCCCTCGCCATTACCATCTTGGCGATGTCGCAGGGGTGGACAGCTGAAAACATGGCTTGGTACAGTCAAGGCTGATATGGAGTGCCTGGGGCTACAAACCGTCTACGGACTCCGTCTGTGGAACAAGAATTGGATAACCCTGTCGCAAAACCTTGCATCAGATCGCCGCGCCTGAGCAGCGATGATTCGAGATGTTCATGAAGCCGGCTCATCCTCCCGTAGGAGATAGCCGAAGTGAAGAAAATCATTAGTAAGTGGATTGAGGTTTGTAACCGGAATTCAACAGACAAGAATTTGGTTTTTAGGCCAATCAGAAAAACTTTAAAACACCTTTTTAAATCCGAACTTGATACATTTATAGTTTTAAGAGTCGTATTTGGGGGATCAGTAATACAGATAAGATTATTAAAAATAACATTAAACATCTGCTTCTGTGCCAGCTTTCATAAAGGCCAGAAAAGCTAAATCAAATGATCAAAGATTGCTTCGAAGATGCGAAACACATGCCTACAAGACACATTTCACAGATTGAGAGCTAATAGCAAATTATTTGGAATATGTTTATAATTAATTATAATTATGAGAATAAATATACATACTTCAAAAATCAATTGAAATAACTCACTTGCCTGACAAAAATCCGTAGACCAGCAAGAGAGACGTGCTGAGTCATTCCGATAAAGTGAACAGTTTATTGGGCATTGGTCAGGACAAAAGTCACCTAGATTAAATCGCGCGAGATTTTGTTTTCCTGGACGATATGAACTCGCCAGTCCATAATGAAAACTGCTTGTGAGAGCATCCCAGTCCACAGTATCCACAAAACACATAAAAGGATTATCGATCAGTGCAATGTGATTAGATTTTAAAGTAGTAAGCTTCCGTAATCCTAGGCCTTTTAACTTCGTATGTCTGATAATCAAACTGTAATCTGATATTTGGCGGAATTTTAAGCTTGGTTCAGCAGATATAGTGGTCGGATTTCGTATGATAGTGAGATTTGGAAGAAATGTAGACAAATCCCCGGAACAATTACCATTTTCTATTATCAACCGACCGGTGATTTCCACCAGACTTGGCAAACTACAATCATTCTTATGGCAGCAAGCATCGTTTAGATTTTGTATAATAAGTGTCCCTTCGACTTTTGAACAGTTTCTTAGTGAAGATAAAGAGTTTGGCTCACTCAGATCCACTATGCGTGCAGGACAATCTAGAAATGGGAATGTGAGTAGAGGTTTTGTTTAAATGTGTAAAAATTAGAAGTCGCCCTATAGTAAAAAAGCTTCTGTTTGGAATAAGTTCCAACACTAATTTTGTCCTAATAATATTTAATGCTTGTTGTCGTGATATTAAATAAATACACCACAGAGTATCCGCTTGTAAAATGTAACCAGGTTTTCCACGAATCGAAACACAGTTAGATCTGGGTATACTAAATAACGAATTTATTTGGGACATGAGCTTCGAAGGATAGTTGAACATTATAAGAATTTGGCCATCCTTACCTGATTCAAGTGATTGGAATAACAAAGCATAATAAGGGGAACAGTGATTGTACGTGTCAAAATTACTGGACTTTAGGAAACGTTAATCAACGCCTCTATTAGACGAAAGCATTATATATATACATATAAGTAAAGTGGTGAAATTTTGTAACTATGATCTGTTTCCACTAATATGGAGGTATTGTATAATTTCGGGAAATTTAATGAAATTTAGAGAAATTATGTTTATTTTAGGAGCCAACAAAGAGTCTTTATGGAGTAAGAAGATTACTATATGTGTAAAACTTGGGCACTGTGGTAGTAAGTAATTCGACATCGACTCAAGTTTCGAAGTTGTGTGATTATAATTGATATGATTATGAACAATAAATGTTGTTCGAAACGTCATCCAGTAAATAATACTGTTTCACTGTGTGATACATCTAATAAACAAACTAATATGGAATTAAGAAGATTACTGTTTTGCTTACAATTGACTAGCACTGCCTCTATCTACTTATTTAACTGGTGCCAAATCGATTTAAACAAAATCTATCGACGTAATAATACTGAGTTTGATAATAAAGATTCCCTACATAGATATCTCTGGCCGGATAAGACATTCCCACCATAAAACTCCAGTTACAGTTGCAGATAAAAAATATCCTCAGACAAGCGTTAGGAGTGCATCACTAAAAATGATAAACATGCAGTTGTTCAACAAAAAAAGCATTCCCACTTCATAACTACAAAACTATTTTGAAAGTTTAGAATCAACTCATCACTTGTTTCAAAGCAGTTGTTGTAAATTATAAAACGGGAGTAGTAGGTTAAAGAAATATACTAACCAATTCTACGATAGTTCGGGACTGACGTTAGGGAAAGTGCGAACTGAAATGTCTGAAAGCTTAGTGGTGGAAGACATTAAAAATGCACTAGATAGAATCTTTCCAAGCTAATATTTATTAGCCTCCTGGCCAGATGACTACTTTATTAGCGTACAACTTAGCACTTCGGAAAAGCAAACAACAACAGAGCAGAGCATGAGCAGTTACATTAAAATAAGAGAGGATTCTCACATTCAGTATGACGATACAAGATACATACATCTACACCTTCGTGGACGATTGAGAACTATGTTGTCAAAAGTATCAAACCACTCCTTATTATTTATCAACATGAACGTGAAGTTAAGTACCAATTAGGAGAAGGAAGTTACAGTATGCCCCCAAACGACCAAAGATCGCCTATTTACACCCTATAATTCGCTAAGAAATATTTACATGACGTGAAACAAGCACGCAGTAAAAATAAATGTCAGATTTTCTTAAATTTTTAGGAGATTACGCGGCTTAAGATATGCAATTATCAAGTTTTCAATGTAGTCCACACGGTAACAGTCATTTTCTATAGCATTCATAAGTAACGGACAATGATAACACTCAGTGCATTTCAGATAAATGTCTGTTTAAGGCTAAATATTATATTTATAAACTATAAAGTTTTCAGTTGACAAAACTTGAAAATTGATAGTTCCTTCTACACTGAATTTCAGCTCAAATAAATCTTCTAGATCACTAAATACAAAATGACTGCCACTTACATTCACAAAAGCCTCCACTCCATGTCAAAAAGGACCAGAAAATCAGGACAAACCACCGGTATGACATTAAACATGCGCCAAACAGACATCACTTTTCCTATTGGTTAAAGGAAGACTCACTCTGAAGGTCAATCTAACTTCAACGATACAAAACAAGTGACAACTGCCTACAGAATTTATTGGTTATCAGTATAACGAAACCAAAACCTGTACAGATTAGTCACTAATTGATTCTGGTTATGATGAACTATAGCAGCTACCAAATGAATTTGGGTAAACAGTCATGTCACTAGTCATGAATGTGGAGCAGGTTTTACTTCTGCAGTTTTCTCACGAACTGATTTATTTACTTTTAACTTCCGAGGTTAGGATATGAGTCATCCACTTCGTTGTCGCGATGCGTAGTTGAAGTGCTTTGAACTTTTTGGATTTGAAATACATTCCACTCACCTATTACTTGTATTCCGAAGATTTGAGATCCTAAGTCTCCTAGACCTTTTATTGCTCCCCAGATATTTATGTCAGCAACTAAAGGAGAGTTGCCAAGTTAAGATGCCTTGACAAGGCACTGATGAGTATGTAGCGGTTGGTAATTCCCCAGAATTACTAGCCACAGCATTCATCACTCAACACTGAATGCTAACTCTCACTGTTCATATTCAGATGATAAGGGTAGTAGGCTCTTGCGATCTGTGTTAATCCTTGCAAGATATATCTCTGCAGTGGTCTAACTTCTGTTTGAAAGCGTTCACCGATGGAGATGATATTATTGAATCAGGTGGGACCTGTAGTGTTTGCCCTAGATATATCGAAGCAGAGGACAACGACTAGCTTACGTGCTTCGCGACTACTAGTGATGTAGTCGAAAAAGCCGAAGTGACAAGTAACGCAGGATCTATGTTTAGGAAATCCTTATCAAAACCTTTTAACATGTTCTTCCCTAAGTAGATAGACTGACAATTAAACTTTAGCAACTTTCTCCATGATTCGCGAGGTAACTGAGGCTATACTTACAGGTCTGTAGTTGCGAACTTTTGCCTTATCACCAGATTTGTAGTTTGGAGTAATAAAGCTGGTTTTCCACTCATAAGGGTAAGTGCCAGTGTTCATAGATGTTGAGAAGAATTTAAGAGGTAAGAGAGGAATGTCACACCCAGTGTTTTTGAAAATTATTGAAGCGAGGCCATCTGGTCCTGTGCTAGTAGAAGGTCTGAGGCTTTTGACTGCTTGTCCTATTAATTGATCGATGATTACTATACTCCCGATGGAGGGGCTAGTAAGGGGTGCAGTTTCACCAGTGGTGTGTTTCTAAACATTTAGTGAAGTAGTGATAAATCCTTAGTGGAAAATTACTGTTTGATCAACTTCCTTAACTTAATGCGGTGTGTCCTTGGAATGTATGCAGCTTGGTGCCTACTTAATTTCACTACCTTCCTAAGAGCAAAGGTATCTAGACAAAGGGTAACATTCCTGTAAAACAGGGACACCACAGCCTCCAGGGATTCAGTGATAAAATAGTCATCCCACTGACAGAGTCGAATGAGTTCCTGGACTAATCCCCAATCTGTATGTTCGTAACTACGACATATCATGCTCCCTGAATCTTGTTTGTTTCCTGTATTTGGTAATGAGAAAGGCAGAGGGCAGAGTACCTTTCTGTGGTCACTACTGGAAAATCTGTTACCAACATAGGTGGAGACTGGGATTATGTTATGACAAAACACAAGGTACACGAGTAGGTAGATGGACGTGTTGCTGCCATCCATAACAATCGACAGTGGCAAGTAATTCGTCTAAGAGTTGGGGACCAGAACTACTTAACCAGTTGACATCTAGAAGATTGAAGTCTCCTGCGATTATTCAGTGATTAGAACCAAACGAGGATGCGCGTGTAAACGATTTAGCTAATAACGCATTAGTTTCTTTTCTTTTGAGCGTGGTGCTCTATAAACACTGCCTATGAGAATTTTGTACTTACCTCCCTGTAAGACGATACAGAGTCAATCAGGCACCTCATTCAGCATATAATCTTCCACCTTACTGACTACGAATGAGTTATGTGCATATATGAGACATCCTCCACCACGCTTGCAATATTTATCTGCATGGTGCAGAGTGTAATCATCTATACCTAAATGCACATCAGGTATAGAGGATAAGTACCGTGATTCAGTTATCAGAACTACAGTGGGCTTGGCGATTAATATCAATGTACTTAGTTCAGATATCTTATTGACTAGGGAACGTGCATTAATTAGTTATATCGTGAATAAGTTACGGGATACTACAAACTGGCTTAAAATATCGCAGTAACCTAATTCTATTTCTACGTCAGCACCGGGAGAGTTTATGAATGATAAGGGGGTCGGACTGAGTGTCCACAGATCGAAGTTAGAGGTGCTCCTAGGTACCATGGGTCGTACCAGTGATTCGGAACACCCATATAACGTACTGTGTGTTCCTGGATGTAGGGGTAGTTGTTGTTGTTGTTGATTAGAGGGCATGGCATTGTAAGGTCGACCCATCAACCTGCTATTTGGCATACCGGTACGTGTCATGTTGCTGTTCTTATAACCGGAAGAATATTTTAGGGGTGAGGGAATTTGCTTCGGTTGCAGGACTTTGGGGATTCTACAAGGCGGAGTATGGTGAAAACACCAAATATACATGTGTTTTGAGAGGGTTTCTTGGTATCTAGTGTGAGTATGTTGACACACTTACTTTCAGCAGGTTTATTGAAGGTGTTCCTCCCCATCATTAGACTCAATCCTGCGAAATTCGTTCACCTTGGTGAGGTTACTACGCTTATCTGAAAATTTCTTAGGACAACTTGCAGCAGTACCAGCTATTTCAATACCTTTCAAAGAAGCTTTGTTTACAGGTATACTGATATCCAAATCAGTTCTTCGTTCCATTGGCAGGCGTGGTTGTTGTGTACTTCGCTGAATGCTACTGTCAGTACTAGTTGATTGTTGCGGTGCACGATCCCATTTAGGCAAATTTAAGTCAGAGGGGGTGGACGGATTATAACTACGCACTGAGCTGGGGTCACAGACTTATTACTACTATTCAGTCTAAATTAGTCTTGAAATTTAGTAAACTTACTAGCATCAAGAGAATTACTAAACTTAGAAATGATAGGACAATTAGACTGGGTCGACTATTTACGAAGTCGTTTGCATTCACAATGCACACTAGACATTCCGCAGCAGTTCCGAATTTTGGTTTTTATAGTATTCAGAGGCATTGAGTCCGGGATATTGTAAACTATAGCCTAATGAGAATAGGCTATAAGCTTCATCACTTTGGCTGTCAGGCAGTCAATGAGATTTTCTGCTTTATTTATGTTTTCCGGAAGGAATTTTAGGATTTTATTTTTAAAAGACAGGCTGTGGAGTCTAAGTCCGCCAGCTTGTTCTGAGCTATATCCAGTAGAGAATTAACCTGTCAGTGTGAGAATGGCTATCCGCGATATTTGAGATTGGCAGTGTCAAGCACTCAAACTGACCTAATTTTTTCAGAAGTTCATTTACTTGCCTCTGGATATCTTTCACAAGGTAATTTAATTTACAGAACTCAGAGTTCTCTAACAGAACATCTTTCACCTGTATTACAGAAGTGGAAACTGCACTCGAGCCATTTTGTGACCTGGTAGTTAATACTGTATTACAGGGCGATAATGTAGTTGTAACCGAGCTTGAGCCACTATCTAAAACAATTGTGTTACTACGAGCACGTATTTGGAAATTAGAACCGTAAATTTAAGGATTACATCAGTTAGCAATGAATGAATATCATTGAAAATACGTGCAAAAATGTGACCAATTTCGAATCTACCGCGAAAGTTTCATCTGATATTTCCTCAAGGGCTGCCGCCTCAGGCCGTCTGGGATAACGGTCGAAATATGTCAGAACATGAGATCTTGCAAGGGGTTCAATTGGAACCATATTAACGTGGTCACCGGGAGTAAGGGAAGTGACATGGGGGATTTTAGCGTGTCATATTGGCCTTTAATTCCGACAGGCTAGACGCTCATGGACACAACACCTCACCTTCTTATTTGTGCCACACCAGCTAAACCGATTCATGATGGGCTTAACAGATGTTAGGATTCCCAGATGAGATGAGATATGTTCTGGTGATAACTACCAGGCACAATGGGGGAGGAGTGCCGGTAGAAATGTCACAAATGTTTGTAACATTAGATGCAAATATTGTAGATATGTGCTGAAAATTCCACACTGTACCACTAGTACTGTTTCTGGAATAAAGCAAATTATTATTATTTTGTTCTTACGTATGCCTAATATTTTCTGGGTTGGTTACAGAACCGTTTGCAACTACTCATGCTGCAACTCGGTTTCCTCTTTCTATAGACAAGTCAGCCTCACAAGGTCTATGCCACCTATTTTAAAGGAGGACCAAATGCACAGCAGGGCAGCTGCCACAGGGTTAGTGATCAGGGGAACCTGGCGAATAGCCTATGCAAACTCTGAAGCGTAATCTAGGTGTCGTCGTTCCTCTGATGAATACCCATCTAAAGTTGAGTTTAGAGATTGCGCAGGTGGCTTGTCATTCGTGATAATTATGAATTCATGACTCCTCATCGAGTGCCTATGGAACAGAACGTATCCAGAGGTTTCCTATTGAAGATTTTGTGATTTGTTTCTGCTGTTTGTAGTCTTCTCGAGTTAAAGGCAAGTCGAGTCACTTCTCTTTGACCACTTGCTTCATAACGAACCGACTGTAGTGTCAGGTCCACCAGCTGAGATACCTAAGGGTGGATCCTGAAACACAATTAGGGCGGCATCCGCAGTGGCCTTTCTCTCTTGAACAAAGGCGAGCTTAGCGAACTCGTTGAGAGCTGAAATTCTAAGAAGGTATCTAACAGAGTTTCAAGACTCTGTCGTTCCAGAGTGACCACTTGAAGATGTTCTACTGATCCAGCAAATTCCAGCTCCTGGCAGCGGCGATATCTCCGGAATTGTGTCAGCCGAAGCAGAGAAACTATCGATACCAACTCTACTCAGTGTTACCAGCACAGCCTGCGCCAGCAGCGGTGACTTAGATAAAAACATCTTTCTAAGGAGACCC